TAGTTTGCATTAATATGTCTAAAAATCCAAAAATGTTTTCTAAAATCAAAAATAATTATTTCAAAACATCAAAAAAATGTAATTCATTATTAATAAATGATATTGTTAAAATGCAGGTTCTAATATTTATTTTGGCAAGGCAAGGCAAGTTTATTTGTATAGCACAATTCATACACAAGGCAACTCAAAGTGCTGAACAAGATAGCATTAAAATCATAAATAATCACAGAACATTAAAAGGAAAGATAAAAACATAAAATCCCTCACACTGGAGAAATTTACATGTCACATTTGGCATGGATAGAATCACTCAGAGTGTGCAAAAGACATAAGTGTGCAACAGGTTATGGTTAAAAAATATAGTCTGTGCAGGATATAATCATGTACAATAAAAGAGTGGCAATAGCAGTGCAGGGTTTTTTCAGTCCCAGTGCATTGACTTCAAGTGACTCATTGTACAGTCTGACAGCAGTGGGGATAAAGGCCCTGCGGTAGTGCTCTTTCTTGCACTGAGGGTGCTTCAGTCTTCCTCTGAAAGAGCTCCTCAGCTCCTCTACAGTCCTGTGGTCGTACTGTGGTCGTACTGTGGTCGTACTGTGGTCGGTCCGAGAGGTAGTCGATGGTCCATGCAGTGAGGTTACTGTCCACTCCCGCGGCTTCCATCTTCCCTCACAGCGCTCCCGGCGGGCTCCAGGTGGGAGCGTCCGCTGCAGTAAGTAGATGACAGTGTCCTCCACGCCGATGTTGGGCTGTAGACAAACTGCAGTGGGTCCAGGGTTGGGCTGATCAGAGCGGAGATGGATCGATTTGAACGTTTAAAATCAGAATGGATTTCAGAACTGTTTGCAACAGATTTGGACAGTCACTTTAAAGTTGTGGCATTTTCTTTTGCCATTGACGAGAGCGCCCATGTTATAAATGTTGTATATTCATTCGTGGCGTTTTAGAGTTTGTGCCTATGCAGCATGCCACAACAGCTGAAGACGTTTTCTGCGCTGTTGCTGGTGCGTTGAACAGAGTACGTGTGGACTGGTCCCGCGCTGTCAGCCTGTTACCAATGGTAAAGGCAGGTGTTGTAACAAAGTTCAAGGGTGATGATTTTTGGACATTTCATTGTATTTTACACCACAGAGCCTCTGTGCTGCAAAATACAGTGTAGTCCGAACTATTATTTTCCTCAGAGCCAGAGGACAGAATGTATTTATTTATTTGTTTGGAGGATAAGAATCATGGCCAGTTTGACTGCTTTTTCAGAGACTATAACATAACCCATGGACTACCTTATCACACCTAAGTAAGATGGTTAAGGTGCTGCGGTAACACAGTGGCTATAGGTCCGGGAACTGGAACCTGAGGTAAAATTGCTATAGAGCTCCAGCATCTTGGTTCCAGTACCAACGCGGGTCATTTTAGCGCCCTAGTAAACTACTAGTATTTATTATTGAACAGTCATAACAGGTAAGAATGATGTACTTCCCTCGAGTTTATTAAATTAGGCTGTTCTGAGCCAGGACTGGGCCAGGACTGGGCCAGTACAGGACTATCTAGTGGACACCTATGAAAAACTCACTATTACATTTAAGTTACAGATTTACAGTTAAAACTGAATGAGTTTAATTTAAGTTTTATATAATTATGTTTATGTGCACAAAATGTTGCACTTTGTACTGTTTGTGGGTATGTATTCTGAGAATTTTCTGGTCCAATATAAAAAGGCACATACTCACCAGGTGCTGCATCTTGTCCAAACCTAACAACCTCTTCATCCTCACTCAGGCGGGCATCAACAACGAGCCTCCCTCTGCTGTCCCAGGAGGAGACTTGGCCATCGTACGGAGAGCCCTGTGCATGCTCAGCAACAACACGGCCATCGGGGAGGTCTTCGGACGACTGAACCATAAGTTCGCCCTGATGCTTTCCAGGAAGGCCTTCGTGCACTGGTATGTGAGGGAGGGGATGGAGGAGGGGGAGTTCTCTGAGGCTCAAGAGGACATTGCCGCTCTGGTGAGAGACTACCAGGAGATCAGCAAAGAGGGAGAGTGGTAAAATCATAAGAAAAAATAACTTTAATTTGTCCTGCAGATAATTGAAAATCTGTGAGTGATTTAAATTTAGTCTCTACTTTGTTACAAGAATAAAATGATTGATTATGATAATGTGTTTTACTGTATGTGCATAGGTCACTTCCATTACTCACTTCAGTGACATCATAAAAACAGTTGGAATCACATTTATTCTTCTAATGGACTTTATTTACTTCAGAAGAAAATACTACTTAAATCTGAATCACTTTGATCCTAAACACTAGAGCCATGTTTGAATGGTAATGTTTGAAGTGTGTAACAAATATTTGAGTTACTGAGATTGTAACAAGTAATATATTGCCAATTGTTTGTTTTGTAATATCACAAATTTCAACTGGGAATATATGAAAGTACATATTTTTGTCATGACTTACTGCCAACACCTGAAAAAACCAGACTAGAACCATTGATCAAAAGGCTCAAAACAAGTTTGTGTAAAGTTTGTGAAGTATACAAGGGAAACTGACATAACTGTATGGGTGAAGGACTTTTTACATTGTTATATTATAGATGTATAATTATGAATAAACATAAAAAAAAATCACTAACATGGTATTTAGAGACACAAAGAAGTGTTTGTAGACTTAGTGTTAGAGATGGGGATGGGATGCACATTTATTGTCAAAATAGAATATATGTGTTGTGTCTAGTTAAAACAGTCGCCTGTCTGATTTGTTTTGCTCCATTAGCTGATAAGTTACATTACAAGAAAACTTGTGGCCATTATTCAAGTGTGGCCCATATGAGGACAAACTGGACTTTCTCTTTGCCTACCCGAGTTCTCTCTAACTCTGGTACAATGCATCAAATGGAAGCATTGATGCTCTGATTGTACATGCTTCCTTTTAAAATAAACCAATTAGATTAGAATAAAAATATAACTGATGCAGTTTAAATACAGGTAGCTCAATAGTATTAGTAATAGTGGGAAATAATACATCTGTTTACCACTCAAAGACTTTATCACTATTGTGTATGCAGTGAATGAATAAGACCTACTGTAGCCACAGCTGTCCTGGGGCAGACTGGCAGAAGTGAGGCAACCACTATGTGCCATCTGCCCCTCCGACCATCACCAGCCATTCCCACACACACCAGACTCATTCGAGGCAATTTGGGTGAAGTGTTTTGCCGAAGGACTCAACAACAGTTTGGCACTTTGTAGTCGCAGCCGCCCCTAAATTACTGTACTCGCATATTTTAGTGATAATTTACAAAAACATGATCCTATTGATAATTTACTTAAAAGTTTGTTTTATCCTGATAAATATGAATCAGATTCCATCACTTTTTATCATAACAAAAACCATGATCTAAGTATATTAGTGCTGACAAAGGAGGTAAAATCATTGATCCAGAATATCATCATCTCCATGGAGACAAGCATGTGTGATGCATTCTCTTAAATGTTACGCATTGCCGCTTTAATATTTGGCATTAAACTCCTGGTCACTTCAAATTAGGGTTTCTGTAATTCTATGATTTGTTCTCATCGGGCTGTTGTTGATTTTCTAATTGTTTTGTGTGTTCATAAATGATTGTCGATCAATTACTGTTTCACTGGTGTCAATAAAGCTTAGAGTATAGAATCTTTTGTGGTTTCTTCTTCTAGATCTGGTTCTCTCCAAAACATAATTTTATTGGTGATGAATACAATACACTAAATGTTCAGTGAAGTTAATATGACAAATCAAACTGTCAGAATAAACAATGATGCACTGGTATGATGTAATGTATATGGAAAACATGAATACTGCTGTGGGACATCCGTGGCCCATATGTCCCTGTGTCCTGTCTACATTTGTGTTATTCATCCATGCATTTAATGATCATTTAATTATTGTTATTATAATTATAATTCGTATTTTTTTAAAGATGAAGCCAAAACCCCATCGCTTGAAACAAAAAGTCCCGGTAGTTGTGAAGGTGTCACCTGAAAGTATTCCTCCGCCAAGTGTAAACACAGAGTCCACAAAGACTGTGTAGTCACAAAGAAAAGAATAGTGTGGGAAACATCTTATGTCACTGTTCACAACTTGATCATGAAGGATTCACAACAGACCTCTTTCCTATTCGCGTAAGGTCCATCAGTCCTGATGCTCAGACGAGTTACATCAATCTGAAGAGAAACACTGAGAAACTGTATGCAAATCATCATCAGATTATTCACAGTAAACAAATGGGTTTTTTTCTTTTTAAATACGAGACTTTCCACAACCTTATTTTTACCGCTGCGTTCACAATATTGTATATATTGATACAGTAATTTAAACTAACAATCGAACACTAATGATATGTAATTGTTATTTCTTGGTAGAAAATAATGAGGATAGCATATGATAAATATGATTATAGTTACAGCTTAAGTGTGTACAGTTTATGGGTTTATATTTTAATCACAAATTTCCTATTGTTTTGCAATATTGCAGGACCAAATGAAAGATATCCATACCATAAACAATATAACTATGTCCCTAGGCTTAGATTGGCGTGCTCAATAAAGTTTCCTCAGTAAGTCTTAATGGTTTTCCCTGATTGAATAATAAAGATCAGAGAACATTTGAGGTGCCTTCCCTGGATTGAGGTATCTCTCAGCTTTGGCAGCTTGCATGTAAATGAAATACTACATTATGGGTCTGTGGAGAAGGCAATCCATTAGAATCGGAAATACATGGCAGATGGCACGTGCACATTCTGGAGTAGTCGGTGTCTATTTTCTCATGCGGACGTGCTCAGTGCCTTGGAACAGTCCGCCTGTGTGCGTAATGAGTGTGGTGTGTGTGGTGTGGATGTGGACTCTCTGACAGCCGCGGCTCTCTCACGGCTCGCATTCGTGGATTAATCACATCTCCAAACTCCGCGTCCGTAGCAGCGATCGGACCCCGTGCCACCTCGCTCTGGGCTCGGCCAAAAACCATGAACCCACCGAGACCCGACGAGTTCAAGCCGCCTCCCGAGTGCCCAGTCTTCGAGCCCAGTTGGGAGGAATTCGCCGACCCGTATGCTTTCATCAATAAAATACGACCGATCGCAGAGAAGACTGGCATTTGTAAAGTTCGACCGCCCCCGGTGAGTGACTGCATGTACCCGGACTGCGCCGTGGGGTCCTGGGCTGCTGGTTCTGGGTTTGCGCGGAGCAGACAGCAGTGGATGGAGCGAGGGATTTAAATGGACTGTTCAACATGGCGGATACAGGGCTACTTTCATTCTTTGTGCTGTTGCTGCTTCTGCCAGGCTTTTATTCTTGTTTTTTGCGTTGAAACTTGCTATTATTCGTGTGCACTGGTCCTGTTGGGGGATTGCTGTACGTTGATGGTGAGAAAATGTTGTTTACTTGGGCGCGTATGAGGATCCGTGTGTCCCTTTAGCCAGGAGGAGGCTAGCATTAGCAAACAGCACCTACCAACCTGTCATATTAAGGCATTGACAAGGTGGCAATGCGGAAGACAAGATGCAGGTTATTACTCTGGATAACACACATTAACACTATCATATACGGGCAAATGTGTTGTCTATTTTCATTTTATGCTTGGCACAATTGACGATCATCTGATGAAGACCTCATGATGCACTGTTACTTGGTGACTCTTATAGGTCAACAGGCCTTAAATATTGTCATTACAATTCCCATTTTTTTGGCTGTCAGTTGCATTTAGATTCATGTAGTTGGATTCAATGCCATCGTCACATTAATACACTCAGTTCTTGGATGTGCTCAAAGAAAGCTTTCATTTTTGCAAGAATTTAAAATGTTGAATAAGTGGTCCAGGCGTGGTATAGTTCATAATTTTTCACAGATTAAGTAAATTATTGATTTTAATTATAGATTCAGCATTGTTATTGCCACTTGAGCCTTGTTGGGTGGTGTCCTCCATGTTGGCTTTGTGGTAAGCTGCTGGTGAATGAAGCTTCCATCTGGCCATTTTGTTTGTCAGTGGGGGATGTGGACACAGGACTTACATTAAGATTTTTGGTCTTTGGTGGCACAATTATGAAGCACGTGATCCATAGGCTGGTTAGTCCTTTCACAGTTGACCCCAAAATGATGATAGAGGGAAGGTTGTTTTTGCTGGACTCAAACACCATTGGGGGACTTGAGATATATAGTATTTATATACATATACATATACATATAGTATTTATATACATATACTGAATACAAGATTCAGTTTAGACCTGTGTCCTTATGATAATGGATTATGTCTTTATTATGATCTTACACGTTTGTAAACATGAGATAAAATGACTTAGTTGCTTCAAGTTCCTTGTCATTAGTTAGAAATGTCAATTAGTCAGAACATCACAATTTTCTAGGTCACATTACAAATAAAAATGTCTTTGTCAGACACTATTTTGTATTTAGAGCATTATAAGTGTGACTAGATATAATTTTTTGCAGCATACCACTCATTAGTTTGAATTTTGAAAAATTGATTACGATTTATTTTTGTGTTTTCTAGGGTTGGCAGCCTCCTTTTGCTTGTGATGTTGACAAACTACACTTTGTTCCCCGTATCCAGAGGCTCAATGAGCTTGAGGTAAAATGCATATCTCTAATATGCATAGTATTATCATTATTGTTATTATTATATGTAACTTGGAAATGATGAATGACAGTTTTACTTCCAACCACTTTATTAATAGATTAAGATATTACATTGCCATTCAATTTATTTCATTTAGTGACATTAGTGGTTGATTAAAAGTAGAAGATGATAGGGGAGGAAAATAGTATTGTAACCAACAAGATATAATGCTATCATTAACTCTGTACTGGTGTAATGGTTTTGTTTTGGTTTTTGTTTTGTCACAGGCTCAAACCAGAGTCAAGCTCAACTTCTTTGACCAGATCGCCAAGTTCTGGGATTTGCAGGGATGTACACTGAAGATCCCTCATGTCGAGAGAAAGCTGCTGGATTTATACAAGCTGAACAAGGTGGAGTTATTAAAAACACTATTGTTGTGAGAAGATTAAGTACAAACTATGAACCTCAGAAGAAACACTGTGACCTGTCAGAAAGTATGGCATTTAAAAAAAACACCTGCATGACATTTGACAAAAGCAGTTATTTCTCTGGGGAGAAAAAAGCACTCACCACCTACTCACCACCAGAGAAAGGCTGCCCATCATTTATTGCGACTTATTGTTATTAAGTCACTATATTGATATTTGTGCACGGTTAGCGCTTGTATTTCAGAGCAAGAAGTCAATTCCACCTCCAGACAGGCTAATTCTAGTTTGCATATTCTCACTGTGTCTGCATAGGTTTCCTCCATGTGCTCTGCTTCCCCTACCACTTTAAACATTTAAAATAGTTCAGGGTGAATGAGTGTGTGTTTGTGACAGGTGAAAAAATTAGCCCAAGTCTACACTGGAGACTTGTGTTCATTAACATGCACTGTACCAAACAAATAATAAACACTATAATCCATATACAGTGGGGCAAATAAGTAGTTGGCAGTTGTGGGTTGTGCATTTTGAAGGTCCTGAAATGGCCTCACCGGACTCCAGACCTCAACCCAAAAAAAAATCTCTGGAGGGAGTTGAACGTCTTTGTTGCCGAGCAACAGCCGCAGAAGATCACAGCTCTAGGGAAGATCTGCATTAAACGAATGGGTCAAAATACCAGCTACAAGTGCAAACCTGAAGACCTACAAGAAACATTTAACCTCCATCTTTGCCAACAATAGTTACTTTTTAAAGTATTGAGATTTGTTATTGGTCAAAGACTAATTCTCGGTCCTATTCTTACAAATACATTGTTTAAATATAATACCAAGTGATTTCCTGGATTTATTTCATATTCTGTCACTCACAGTGACAGAGTACGTGTTATTAAATCCTCATGTATTATTCTTTATCCAACTGTTAAACTGCCTTCACTAAAGAGTCTCCTGTTTGTGTTCAGCTTGTAGCAGACGAGGGTGGCTTCGATGTGGTGTGTCTTGAGAGGAGATGGACCAAGATCGCAGTTCAAATGGGTTTCACTCACGGAAAAGCCATTGGCTCTCACCTCCGAACACATTATGAGAAAATCCTCTATCCCTACAATCTGTTCCAGAGCGGAGCCAACCTGCTCGTGAGTCACTCTCAGTGTCAGGGCTGTGTTAGCGCTGGGGCCATGATGGAACTGTACCATTGTTTCATTTGTCCTGCGTCCGTTTCGCTGAACTAACGGATTCCACCAGGATTGACTAACATTGTAATGGACAACTAGATTATGTTTTTAGGCATTTACTTCATTTTTTTATTGCCAAAAGATTTAATCTGTGGGAAGTTAAATAAATATATCTAAATGAAAACTTGAAATTAACTGTTCTATTTGTAACATATAGAAAAGTGTTCAGGAAGAAGTCAATTAGAGCTAACTCAATCAGTATCAATTATTTGTATTGTCCTTAGTAACAGGAAGTCACGAACTATTTGCTTTTGTACATGGTGCAATCAAGTAATAAAAAAGTGAAAAATGTATATAAAGCCATTCAAAAATATGAGATTGTAAAGTGACAGAAGTGTAAAGTTACGGTTGAAATACAAACGTCTGGAAAACCAACAGCTGCCCTCACGATTCTGGGAAATTGACAATGGGGAGCACTGCAGACTTTGATTGAATTATACAATTTAGTGTTTACAGGAGCAAGAAAAATGTTATCTTCCTGGTTGAATTTGCCTGATATTTGTGTATAAAACGTGTGTATAGTTAGAGCACTCGCCTCTTGTCATCGATCCACATTTGACAGAGAGTTTGGGCATAGATTGGTAAATAAATTGTGGCCTTGCTTTGGTCACTTTACATTCATTCCCGCTCTCTCTCTCAGACCCCAGAGGCAGCTTCCAAACTGATGCGTTTGGAGGCTGATCCTGAAACTGACCAGGTATGTTATTGGGCCTCACATTTAACACGCATGAGTATTACTGCTATGGCTCTACTCTTTCATGTTTTTACTCAGGACACTTTCTATTCCAAGTCAAACACAGTTATTCAAATGTCAAATGAAACAAGGAGTGGGTGACGGACCAAAAACAAGTATCACGCAGTTTAGACATTTGTCCGTTGAGAGTCCGTAAAACCTCTCACTGAACAATGCCTCTTTGATATTATAGGGAGAAGACAAATATCATATTCAATGCATCTATTACACACTATTTTAACATAACAAGATTTATAATTGGCTGCCTGCTGTTTAAGAGATCTCAGACCCTGATTTCCGTCTGGCCTCTGCTCAGATACTTGGGGGCGCATGTTACTCTTTATCTGCTGTGCTCACTGTTTGGAAGACAAACTGTAACTAACGTGTCACTAAATAACTGACTTTATTTCCCGTGTAACTGCTTTCTCTTTTGTTTGTTATTAAGGGCTTTGTCTGCTTTAAGCCACTGGATACTTGTTTGTATTACTGGGTACAATGTGTAAACAGTATAAAATAATGACCCTTCATATTGACACTCTGCATAAATGAGTTCATGCAGCTCATATTTGTATAGATACAGATGATATGCACCAGTATTTCAATGTGTTTTGCCACAATTCAACAGTGTATGAAAAGAACTTGTAAGAGAATATTGTCAATTTTGAAATGAACAGATATGTATTTATATTTCTTAGTTCTTTTGGCATTGAGCAATTTAATAAAGCCAATATTAGCCTTTGAATGTAATGTATAAGACTTTGACAGCCCCAGGTTTTGATGTAGTTCATGATGTGCTGTTTGTTCCTCAGTGTGTTCAGAAACCCGTGGAGAGTAAAAAGGTTGAAGAGGAGGCAGACGTCAAAGACCCCGTCCCCAAACTGAGTCCAGACTCCAGCACCCGCAGAGCCAAGCGCATGAAGACTGAGGTGAGCTTTGGAAGAGAAATACTCTTATTAATATTTATTGTACTTTCTTCGTTCACAATTACTACATCCACTTTCCTTAAATGTGAGGATATTACATTTCTAATGTTCTCTACTGGGACAATAAAGCATACCTTAAATATAGTGTACTTAACCTTACAAACAATACTGGGAACAACGTTAAAAAAAAGAGAGAAAAAAAATCCCTTGAACTAGTTTTTGCATGTATTTTTGACCTCTCACAGATGCTTTTTTTCAGCTCAAAAAGTCATAACAGTGACTCACAGAGCTCTTATCTTATCAAGTTTGCAATTTCATAACATTGTTTTTTTCCAAAACTTTCTGTTGGGGAAAAAACAAATAATATTTAAAGAGTCTGAAACCCCAGCCTTTCTTTACCTGATCCTATCAAACTGACAGAAGCTTTTACTTGTAACTAATGCATGATTGTTATTATTTACAAAAATGCTGGGACATGCAAAGTTGTTTTCATTAACTTGTCTGCATTAACCTGAACTGCACATGTTTGTCAGAAGAGAAAAGAGATGGGGGAGGGGTTTGGTGTACAGAGTTCCTGACTAGACACTTTATGACCATCCAGGAGCATCAAATCATTAGCTTGAATCCCTTATTTAAATTTCATAGTATAATTATTAATAGAAATGCATAAGTTTTTTTTAGCAATATTTGTTGTTATTATTTTTGTTTTTAATCCACAATTATATGACAGAATTTATGAAAAGGCTCAAAATGTGTTCCACAGGGTGTCTGTGTCAAGAGTGAGCCAGGGGAGCCGGGAGAGAACAGGCCGAACCTCAGGCGAAGGATGGGCTCATTTGTTGCCAAACAGGAACCAGGTGTGTATTATATCACTATCACTTTTTCATTACATTTAAACCCGTACGTGTTTGTGAATTGCTTAGAAATTCTGTGTTTTTTTTCTTTGTGATTTTAGAAAAGGAGATTCCCATCCAAGTGAAACAGGAGCCAGTTGAAAACCCAGAGCCTATTGTTGAACCTGAGAAATTAAAATCCCGTTACAAGAAACAAGTCCTGCCTCCCGTTCCCCCAAACCCAGTAAGTCCTGATTTATTTCTACAATAATGAGTTGTAGGTATTGCTAAGTTTTCATATGTAGAACCCACTAAACCATGTAATGTTGCAAGTTTGAACATGTATTTACAGGTAGAGGTACATTTGTAATTGTAATTAAACAATTTTGGCATTTTTTGATATTACTTCATGTACATTAGTATGTGGATCATTTAATTAGCTTGAAACTGGAATATATAGCACTTTCTCAGGAAAAGTGGTGAAAACCGTAACTATGTTATTTGTATCAACGTTAAGCAGTTGGCCAATTCTGGCCATTCATGAAATTTACAGCACATGAATTTTTATGAATTTCCTTACATTTATCATTACCATACATTCTTTTCATGGCACGAGTTCACGTATAAAAGTCACAGTAATCCTCAAGTGAACATGTGTCCCCTACACTGTAGTGGTGGTGCATGTGTGAAGAGGCGTTCTGACTGAGTAGTGGTCACTGCAGAGTGCGCCCTGCTCTGCGTCTGTGCAGGTGGACCTGGTGGTGTGTTTGGTTTGTGGCAACGGAGAAGACGAGGATCGCCTGTTACTGTGTGACGGCTGTGATGACAGCTACCACACTTTTTGCCTCATCCCGCCGCTCCACGACGTTCCCAAAGGAGACTGGAGGTGTCCCAAGTGTCTGGCCCAGGTGAGAAAAACACCTCCGCTCACATTAAGGGTACAGCCCTTATTGTTATGGAGGGGGGAGGATATATTGTCTGAAAACTACAAACTATTCACTTAAAGTACTCACAAGAGCCACCAGATGTATACATGGGATCTGCTATGTACCACTATATCACAATTCTAAATTAGAATATGATAGTATGAAACTAATATCTATAATACTATTATTCACTGTCACATAAAACACAAGATGACTTTGAGCTCAAATGATTTATTATTGAAAATCTTTGCAGGGTCCACTATATGGTCTTTTCTTTAACATGGACAAACATGGGACAATCTGTGAGAAGTTGATTATGCATTTTGCAGACAGGGGCACATTATGTATTCTTTAGATATTTTAATAACACAGGGGTTCCAAAACTGTCCAGGCCAGGACTCTCAGAGTAAACTTAAAATAATGTGTTTATATGCAATAATTTATTCAAGATACTGTGATAATGTAAGAGTATATTTTTAAATCATCAAGAAATTTCAAAATCCCGAGAACCCTTTTTTGGGATCTATTGTTCTTTCAGAAACAAGATCTCCCTTCCATCTATCGGAGGACAAAGATGGTTGCATGGAGTTATCAAGCATCATGTTACAATCATTTTAAAATGTCAAATAGGGAAAAACCAATAGTTAAATAAAACTGCACTTTAAATCACACAAACGTAAAAATAAAAAAAAACATTGATTCATGTTGTTGTAACTAATTTGAAATCATAGTTAGAAAGTCCTCACAATTTGCTCAAGAAACCATCGGAGCAAAAGAACGTAATGGAATTTGTTGTGAGAGAGCCTCCTGTTTGTCTTGAGTTCCGACACTCCACCCTTTATAGCCTGATTATATCGCAGGGATTTTGCGAACACTATTGAGTAATGGGTTGATCAATAGACTTTGTGCTTTTCTACTTCAGGAGTGCAGCAAACCGCACGAGGCGTTCGGCTTCGAGCAGGCGTTCCGAGACTACTCCCTGCGAGCGTTTGGACAGATGGCTGATGCTTTCAAGTCCGACTACTTCAACATGCCGGTCCATGTGAGTGTTGATAGAATATGGAAATGAGACTGTTGAGTTTAAAGGATTGCAGGGATTACATTTAGGATATCTGAAAACTGTTTAGCTTTAATATCAGATCATTACTATGAAAGCTGCGTAAACCAGATTTACACAAGTATTGTTCATAGCTATTTTATGTTTTTAAAGGTATCCTTAGAAACATAATCTTTTTGTATGGTATTTTTGTTTTCTGCAATGGCATGACTTTCCAACAAGTGCATAAACCCTGTTTATGCACTTGCGTCTCCGTTGACGTGCGTTGGCTGCTGTCCGTCGGACGTCCGTAAAACGGACTAGTGGTCAAACCGGCTGCAGCAGCAGCTTTGGCTGTGCGTTTATCAGCCTGCTTTGTTTTTGTAGGACACGTTTGGGCATTGTGTGAATAAATTAATGTTTGGCTGATGGAGGAGTCATGTGTGTGTCTTTGTGTGTGTGTGTGTGTGTGGTGGGAGGCGTGTGCGTGCATGTGTGTTTGGGTCTGTGACCGCAGCGTTTATTATGATCCAGCCTCTTCGTTTGTTTTCTATACTTATTTAGCGCGTGATACACTTTTATCGGACCCAACTCTCCTCTCCGCGGCTTTAGGCAACAGGCAGAGCTATAGTTTTAAATAGAAGAAGCAGTGTGTGATGTGCATGAGCTGTGGCTACGATCAATGCAAAGCACAGCATATTGAAGCATTGAGGACGTCGTGATGGATGAGGCAAAACTGCAATTGGAAAAAGGGGAGAGAGAAAAGAGAAAAGAACTCTAACATATCCAGTGTTGTGAGATCTGTCTCTCATGAGTGCAGCTCTGTGTGTAATGTGTGTGTGCGGTGAGGAGAGAGCGCCTCGCAGGTAGACGGGACAGAGCAAGGTGTATGTAAAGTTTAGCGTATTAACATTACGCGAAAAATAAATGGTAGATGTACGATCAGGAAACAATTATTTAAATTAATACATGAAAAAAAATTACACACGTTTGTTAATAATCAGTGTCATTAACAAATACTTATAACCAAGGACTACAGCATATATCAATACATGTTTAATAATGCGGTAAATATATTATTCCATTGTATTTTCAATGGAAAACTGACCCGACACGCGTCGACGGACGGAACAAATAGGATTGTTTCTATTTCGTCCGTCCGCGTCCGTTGCACCCTGCGTTGACGGAATCCGTCCGACGTGCGTTGGACGGACGCATGTCGGAGGCAGTATAGCCACTTCCATTCACCCTCATGGAGATAACGGAGACGGAGATGAAACGGACATGTTTGGACGGATCCGTCGTCCGTTTTACGCGCCAGGTGGAGTCGGGGCCTTAGCCCTACTCAACTAGTCTCTATTCTACCTGGTTGCGTTGCCATTGGGTTTAGGATCTGTTACAGTATTGTAGCATCCTTCCCACAACAAACCCGGATCTGTGGAAATTCCTCGGTAACCATGGCTTCCAGCTGTACTCTGGCCAATCACTGTCAGTTAGCACAATTAAGTATCAGTTCAGCCTGGATATAACCAGGGCCAAGCGGGTTCTTGAAAGTACCTGGTACCAGTGAAACGGGTGGAAATTCCCCCTATCTTGGTCGAGCAGAGCCGAGTCGGGCCAAGTAGGGCTGGTGGAAACGGGGCTATACTTGATGGCAAATTTAAAAAATACAAGACTTGTGTTCTTGCATGCCATCCTGTTCCATGACAATTATTATGTATATTCTTTTCATAATGTCTTTTTCTCACTTGACTTTTGTAATAAATCTTCTTTTCTTGAGTGTCATAAATGTCCATAATCTAAATGGGTCAAACGTGCAGTGATGATCTGTATGTGTGTGTGTGTGTGTGTGTTCTGCAGATGGTGCCCACGGAGCTGGTGGAGAAGGAGTTTTGGCGTCTGGTTGGAGCCATCGATGAAGATGTGACGGTGGAATACGGCGCTGATATCGCCTCTAAAGAGTTCGGCAGTGGGTTCCCCATTCCCAACGGCAGGTTCAAGGTGGCACCAGCAGATGAGGTACATTTATTTATTGATGACGCCTCAGTATCCGACAGGCCTTTGGTGATTCATGGACTGTGCCTCAAGGCTGCTAAACATTGTAGAGGTTTAAATTGATCTTGGTGAAGGGTCATAGTTTTATCATGGAAATTACTCTGATAACAGATTTATTGAGCAGATGTATGGTTAATATCAACGGTGTGTAATTACTTCACCTATAATAAAAAGAAGGTTTAGTTGAAGGGATTGAAAAAACCTGTATTGAACAGTTGTGAATCTTCTGAGTCTATAGTTTTCACTTTTGCTGTAATATATAACTGCTTAAACAAAATACTACTTTTTAGAAAGTTGCCTTACAATGTTGGATGTAAGGCAGTTAGTTTCATACATGGGGCAACTCAAAGTGCTCTAAAAGCTAGAAAAAATGAATTTAGAACAATACATACAATACAAAAAAGAAATTTTCTAACTTGGGTTTGAAGATTGTCAGAGTAGAAGCTTTTCACATTTTCAGGAAGACCGTTTCAGAATTTACCCATAAAGCAAAGTGTCACATGTACTGAGGCATCAGAAAATAAAACATCTATGGACGCAGTGTGATCCGTTGTCCAGATAGATGTAAATAGTTTAAACTTTGCCACAATATTAGCTTTTAACATTTTAAGTGTTTTTTCTTTTCTCTCAGAAATACCTGAAATGTGGGTGGAACCTGAATAATCTTGCGATGATGAACCGGTCAGTGCTCACTCACGTAACTGCAGACATCTGTGGAATGACGCTGCCCTGGCTCTATGTGGGCATGTGCTTCTCCTCCTTCTGCTGGCACATTGAGGACCACTGGAGCTACTCCATCAACTACCTGCACTGGTATGAACCCTCCAGCACTATCAACCACTATTCTTTACTTCATGGTGAATTGCCTTCCTTTTAAATTGCATTGATTATTAAAGAATGTTGTTTTTGCTACAAATAATACTGCATGTGGTGTCACCGTCATTCAATATACAGATTTAATACTTTCAGACATTGAAACTCCCACAGATGTTTCATAAAGAAAAGGTCACTTCACTAATAAAGAACTAAATCCATTGCACTTCTTTAGCTGATTTTTAAACTGGGTCAAATGGAGAGGAGTTACCCTTTCATAATAACAGTGCTTTCTCCTTGTGCAGGGGGGAACCTAAAACGTGGTACGGCGCTCCAGGTTTTGCAGCGGAGCAGCTGGAGGAGGTGATGAGGAAGCTGGCCCCAGAGCTGTTTGACTCTCAGCCTGATCTGCTGCATCAGCTCGTCACCATCATGAACCCCAACGCCCTGATGGCACACGGCGTCCCGGTGAGACGCACAACTGTCCCAAGCATTTATCTGGGGTTTTTCATGTGTTTAAAAAAGCAACAATAAATGGTTTATTTTATCTCCTTGCTCCAGTTCTAACTAAAACAACAGGACTTAAAATCGCACCTAAAACATTTTAGTTTAGCGTGACAGAAGGTTACAGCACACACTCGGCAGAGAGGGTCACACTTATTGAAAAGCAGACCTTAAAGTAGGTTTGGCCAAGGACTGGTGGTTCATGCGTTTAGTAATTGGCACTAGTGTAAGTAACACAAAGCTTAAACTGAGGGTGTTTTTTACACTCTTCAGAAGGGAATGAACCCTCAATACGTCCCTGAACTGTTTCAAACGTGAACTGTCTTGAGCGACTGGTGAATCAGAATTGGTCCAACTAAAGTAGGGCTGTATTACCTTAATGGAGTCATCTATTCACTTTTTCACTTAACAACTTCCTTAAAGACATATTCCATAAGCCTTTTAAACACATGTATGCTTCAGAGTGCAATGAAATGTTAATTGCAGTGTTCGATGCGACACGAAACAGCTGTGTAAAATACAAACACCACAATTACGTGCTTTTGTTCTGTGTCCTACAGTTTTACATAGTTTCATTATTAAAAAAAATAACTGGCTAATCAAGAGAATCATATTGGAATAAAAGCTTTTTAATGTCATAATTTAACATAGAAAACATGACCGGACCAGTTGGAAAGATGTCACTGATGCTGTTTCAGTGATTGGTGACATAGTGGTGCAGCGTAATCCTGAGTTCAATTCCACTTCCTGACAGGGCCTTGCTATGTGGAGTTTGAATGTTCTCCGCGTATCTGCGTAGGTTTCCTCCAGGTGCTCCACTTTCCCCCTACCCTTAATAACATGTACAATAGGTGAGGGTTGAATAAGTGTGTGTTTGTGACTGTGGGACAACAGGTGTAAATTACCCAAGGTTTACTCAATCCAGGTGTATTCATTAACATGTCCCAACCAAATAAACAATCAAAGGAACTACAACATGAGCTTATTGACAATGGGATAACTTTGACAACTTTAAATGTTTTTTTTAATTTGTTTTTTTATCCCAGGCATCTTTGTAGTATTATTTTGCTTGTAAATACTTTTGTTGCTTTTGTATGTATTTGTAATGGCAAATTTCTTCAATCTATATCTGTGTGTGTTTAGATCTACAGGACAAACCAGTGCGCTGGAGAGTTCGTTGTCACTTTCCCCAGAGCTTATCACAGCGGCTTCAATCAGGGCTTCAACTTTGCAGAGGCCGTCAACTTCTGCACAGTCGACTGGGTCCGCAAGCAACATCCATCTTGCTATTTATAACTGAAGTTTATATCCTGACCTTTGATTCATTTGTTTGTCTTGTTCCTCAGATGCCGTTGGGGAGGCAGTGTGTGGACCATTATCGCTCTCTCAATAGATACAATGTGTTTTCTCACGATGAAATGGTTTGTAACATGGCGTCCAAAGCAGACACCCTGGATGTGGTTCTGGCTTCAGCCGTTCACAAAGACATGGCCCTGATGATCCGGGAAGAGCAGGAGCAGAGGGAAAGAGTCAGGAAGATGGTGAGAGCGCTTAATGCTTTTTTGTCACTATATTATGATGGATGTTTGGGTTGAGCCATCCTCAGTTTGATTTGAAAACATAAACGGTAGAGCCTCTGTATATTATGAATATGTCTCTGTTTAAACAATAAAGCAGCTGATTATATAAATAGGATAGAAAATGTTCACTCACTTCTCTGAACTCATGTGGATCGGATGAAATGTGTAAAACTACCACTACTATAGTCAGATGTATTTGCATCAATAAGCCTTTCATAAAGTTGTCCTTCCATTTGGAGAATTAGCAGTAGTCCACAGTCCACAGTGATTAAACCAGTAGTTCGGACTATAGACCATAAGGCTCAACTTCTCAAGAAAATTGTAAAATAACAATAATGCAAGAATTCATTGTTTATTCAGAAGTATTTATTAATTACTATCGAAAAATTTAAAAAGTGCAATACAATAAGGACCTTGGAAGCGTCATATTATAAGTAATAACATAAATATGAAAATTTATAGAAAAGGATAAGAAGAGCCACACTCGCATAGACTGTACATAAAGCTTAACCTGGACCCACCTGAGACCAAACCTGGACCCAACCCTGATTATACACAGTCTGATCCACACTTCCTTTCCCGGTGCAGGGCGTGGCTCTTCTGAAAGAAGCCAAATACGACAACCTGCAGGACGACGAGCGTCAGTGTGTGAAGTGCAAGACCACGTGTTACCTGTCTGCGCTGACGTGTCCCTGCAGCCCTGGGGTCCTGGTCTGTCTGCACCACATGGACCAGCTGTGCGCCTGCCCCACCTCCAGCTACACGCTCAAGTAAGACTTAAGTTCTAGTAAAACCAGGAACTGTACACGCTACATCCATTGAAGTGTACTTTCTAATTCGTTGGATAATTTTCATTTGAAACATAATGGACTATTGTCTTGGTAGTTTCAGATACAACGTGGACGACCTGTTCCCCATGATGAGCGCAGTGAAAGCACGCGCTCAGCTGTATGACGACTGGGCTGTGCGTGTGAGCGAAACTCTGGAGGCCAAACTGGAGAAGAAGAGAGGTGAGGGAGAGCGGCTTTAGACAACATCCATCTAACAGTGCTACATGTTTAACTCTGTGTCTACTTGTTGAAGGTTTGCCTGTTTTCCGGAGTCTTTTGAGCGAATCTGAATCGAAAACGTTCCCTGAAAACGATCTGCTGCGTCGGCTCCGTGTCGTTACACAAGATGCAGAGAAGTGTTCGACCGTAGCACAGCAGCTGCTCAGCGGCAAGAGGCAGACCAGGCATGTGTCCCATGTTACTCATCATGAAACACAATGACACTATGGGTGGCGCGTGAGGTCATATTGATATTAACAATTTGTTGTTGCTTTCAGATATTGTTGTGGAAGTGGAAAGTCTCGAAGCCAGCTCACGGTGCAGGAGCTGCGTTCATTTGTCCGACAGCTTTACAATCTCTCCTGCAGTCTCCCTCAGGCCCCAAAGTTAAAGGTAAATGTGTTCTAATATGCAGCAGACACACATATGTGATGTGTGCTTTGTAGATTAAGGAGTGAAAGATTCAATGTCTGTTTTAAGGTAAATAAAATCATAGATATTAACAGTACATTAAAAAGAGTGAAGATACAATCCTTCAGTTTTTTGCACAGCTAAACAGAACTGTTTAACCGGGATTTGAACATCATCAGAATAGAAGCCTGTCTCACATATTAAGGAAGATTGTTCCAGATTTGATATGCATAAATCTGAAATACTGCCTCTCCATGTTTGTCCTAACTCCGAGGCCAGTCCCTATGCTCCTGAGAGTCATTAGGCAGTATCCCAGTAATTCTGAACTTCCTCTTTCCATCTCTCTATAGGAGCTCTTGAACCGTATCGAGGACTTCCAGCAGCACAGCGAGAAGGTGCTGTCCGACCAGGTGCCCAGCGTAACAGAGATTCAGGGCCTGCTGGACGTGAGCTTTGACTTTGACGTGGATCTGCCGGAGCTGCCCAGACTGCGCGTATGTCTGGAGCAGGCCCGCTGGCTGGAGGCGGTGCAGCAGGAGAGCGGACAGCCCAAAACCCTGAGCCTAGAGAGCATGAGGAGGCTGATCGACCAGGGCGTGGGTCTAGGGCCGCACTCCTCTGTGGAGAAGGCCATGGCCCGGCTCCAGGAGCTGCTCACCGTGTCCGAGCACTGGGAGGACAAGGCCATCAGTCTGCTCAAGGCCAGGTGAGGGAAAAAGAGACTCTTAAATCTGATGTCAACATTGATCAGTGTCATGACGGTGGATGATATGGCAAAAAAGGTAATTTTTCTGGCGCCACGTCACAGTTCCAATTTTCTTTTTCAGGAAATTACCATATCACCCTTAATTGTTTAAATTAAATTGTTGGTCACTCACAGCCTTACACTGTCTGACCAATAGGAGCAGTGCTTTTTCAAAAGTGTTGAGCTGCGTTCAACAGAACATGTGTGATGATTCGACCATTTAAACAATAATCATATTTCACAGGAATTGGCTCACTGTTTTGTCACATTTGTGCCACATCCAACGTCTTACCTGCCTTAAAAAAATGCTCGTGACTGCACTGTGTGCGAGATGTCATTTTCTAAATGGTACTTGAGTTTTTAATATGAAACAATAATTATATATATATATTTTGTGATACTGATCACAAAGAATTGTTTAGTTGTTGAGTTCATTTGGAAATACAGAAAAATTCAGTCTTGACTCGAATTGTAAATATTTCTGGTCAATAGTGTTTCTATATGTGTTTTCCTGGATTTAGACTGAATAACTCACTGTACAATGTATTGGTTCTGTCCTATCATGCTTTAATTACAGCTATTACAAAAAGCACCCTCTTCATCATACCCAAGATCAACAAAGAAGTGAGCATCACACCGTTTGCCGTCTTTGGTGCAATAAAATTATTTCAACAAACATACATTTATAACAAGAGAAAAATCTTTTTAAACTGTAGTTTACTTTACAAGAGAAACACAGGCTAAAAACAAGCTTAAGCTAAAATTAGGAAGTTAATTGTGGAAGTCTATTAAGAATGATGTCTCCCGATTTTCAGACCCCCACACTCCATAGAGACCCTGAGCGGAGCAGCGGAGAAGGCGTCTGTGATCCCCGCTCACCTCCCAAACTGTCTGCTTCTGAAGGACACCATCAGGAAGGCCCGCGAGTGGCTCCAGGAGGCCGAGGAGCTGCAGGTCAATATACCTCTGCTTTGGTTCTTAGTGAGAGGTTATGACCTGGTGAGAAGTGGCTTAGTGGCCTGAGAGCCTGTTTGTGATTTTAGGCTGCACAAGAACATTTCAGTCATCTCGGTAATCTTCATAAGACTGAGGATTTACTAATAGAAAATGAAACACTGAAAACAGCCAAGATAAGAATTATCACAAGAAATATTGTAGCGCATCCTCTAGACCAAGATGCACTACAATATTTCACATGACAAGTGACAAGTGTCAAAAACGCCTCAGTGGTGACTCTGCCATTCATTCGACAAGACTCGGCTCTCCCCGGTTTGCGGGCTTGGCGCTGTCGATCACTCTTTAGCTGCTGCGTCAGCTGTTGCGAAAATCAAAACAAAAACACGTTGCCTCAACCCATAAAGACGTCCGAATAGAAAACAATTCCTTGGTCGCTTGATGAGGGCAACACCTTCTTCAGTTTGAGTAGAGCACACCAGCATGGGCTCGATGGTGCCACCAGAAACAAAATTAAACATAAAAAAAAATGGCTCTTAGTCCCTGACTGGTTGGCCACCCCTGCTCTAGTCCTTAAGTCTCATTGGGAAAATAAACTACCTTCTACAAACATTGAGAGGGTGTCAGTGCAAATATCTGAATCAAACCCCAGACTTTCCGTAAATAAAGAACGCCACAAGTGAAGCTCACGCGTCACAACCAAATAATCCAAAAGATATGTGACCTTTTCAGGCGGATGGTGGAGTTCCTTTGGCAGACTCGCTGTCAGACATGGTGCTCAGAGGACAGGCCATCCAGGTCCACCTCGAGCCACTGGACAAACTGGAGACACTTATGTCTGAAATCCAAGAGTGGAAAGAAGAGGCCGCTTCAGCTTTTCGTCTCAGAGACTCGTCCCTTTCGCTGCTGGAGGTCAGAGAACACTGTCTTTTGTCTTATTTGACGAATGCACATTACACACAACTGTTGCCTTATGTCCATTTAAAAAAAAACTGCACTAAAGGAATGGGCTGAAGCAAAAATCTTATGAGCACCCGCACCCACTACTAAAGTAGATACAAATTTGGGATAATTTTGACATGACCAATTGGAAATGCACATTTCTAGAAACACAGATTACATTCATAGATCTTGCGAATGCACATTTGTATCTTTTGATGTATTTATGAAAGGGATGACATATTAAAACAGTGCTGATGCATAGGCCTGTAACTAGCAGGACATAATTTGAAATCAAATCTATAATATTATGAATCATTTGTTTTGCAGATCCTTTGCCCTCGATGTGAAGTTAGTAGTTTAGGATCTCCAAAGCGGAAAGCCAAAAAAGGAAAAGAATTTCCTAAAAACAACAAAAAGAAAACTCCAAAACCCAGCATTCTCGGGGAGGTGGAGAAGGCACTTTCAGACACCAACGATTCTACCTCTGCAGTAAGTCTCATAGTATTCAAGTTTATTGATCCATGGTTCGTGTGAAGGAACAAAAACAGCAGTGAAAGGTTTTGTCTTAATGTTTGAAAACACATAATTCTTTTACAATGATCTAATCTGAAACAAAACACTGCTATTGTTTAATAGATAACTTATTAGTCATCTTTTACAGTAAACACAGTATCACAACGAGAACACTCGGTGTGCGCATACCCCGCCAAAACCATAGAAGAAGTTAAAAATAGTAAGAATCAGCAACAGCCCTTCAGTTCACAGCTGCAGAGGTGGAGTGGCCACTGGGTGGAGCAGGACGGTAGAAATATTCCTACAATCAAAGTGTTGGGCAGGATACTCTGTATTCATTCCAGAATACTGAATACATGACCTAAAATGTATTTTGTACAGTATTTCATTACTTTGGAGTAGTACCTCTATTCAGAGTACTTTTATTTATACTTTAAATTATTATTTATGTTCTATTTATATTATGTAAGAATCCATACAAAAAAATGGCATTAGGGAAAGTAGCATATCAGTGGCACACCTGCCAGTAAATTAAAATCCTTTGATGAACAGGGAGAGAGCTTTAGTTTCCTGCTGAGTCGGTTCGTAGCATCTTCAGGTTCCTTGTATTTTTGTACCTTTTACACAGCACTCTCTTTTTTTTTTTTTTCAGCTTGCGACCTTGGAGGAGCTTCGACTGCGGGAGATGGAGTCTTTTTTTAACCTCAGAGCGGCCAACGAGTCCAAACTGCTGCCGACCACCGACTGCATGGACCTGCGAGTGTGCGTGTGCCAGAAGCCCCCGATGGGCGCCATGCTCCAGTGTGAACTCTGCCACGACGCCTTCCACTCCGCCTGCGTCTCGGACCTATGTGAACGAACACAGCCTTGGCTTTGCACACGCTGCCGGCGCTCCGAAAAACCTGCGTTGGGGACAATAATCTCCCTGCTGGCGTCGCTGGAGCGCCTGGGGGTGCGGCTACCCGAAGGAGACGCGCTGAACTATGTAGTAGAGAGGACAGTGGACTGGCAGCAGAGGGCACAGCAGATTCTGTGTGCGATACTCAAACTGGAGGAGAGAGCTGGGACCCCCCCCACTCTGACACGCTGGGCTCCTGGCAACACGGAGCTGCCCAAAAACACACAGGTCAGTCTCTCTCTTCACCACGTCACTCGACCTGGCACCTTTTACCCAGTTACCTATTTCTTTTGTTTCCTTTTTTTTAAAATTATATATTGAGAAAAGTAAAATGATGGTTCTGTTGCTTTTGAGTGCTTCTATATTCCCTCTGTCCGTGAAGTGTACGTTGCAACACTGAAATTCCCCTACTGTGAGATGAGTAAAGGTTCTCTTTTGTTCGTACTGTAATGACAGTAGTGACTAATAAAATAATAGCTATATTAGAGCTGCAACTAACAATTATTTTGTAATCGATTAATCTATCGATTATTCTTACGATTAATCGAGTAATCGCTTGGCTGTGAATTGTGTAGAAAAAAATTATTTTTTCATCACAAAAAGCTAAAGTGGCAACACTATTGATGGCGTAAACTTAAAGTAAATGTTTGTAACAGGCTCTTTGTGCTAATTCTGGTATCTGATTGGATGAGACAGACCGATATTCATGAAATTATAAAAACAAAGTCGGTTTTAATCAAAAATACTACATTTTCATGTCATTTTTGCTCTGTTTGAGTCCGTGTGAACCAGAAAACGATTAATCGGTTACTAAAATAGTTGTCGACTATTTCAATAATCGATTAGTCGTCGATTAATCGATTATTTGTTTCTGCCCTAAGCTATATATTCAATACAATACAATATTTTCTTGTATAGCCCTAAATCACAACAACAGTCATCTCAGAGGACTTAAAGGACAACTCACCCTCAAATCCACTTTTTTTTTGCTGATAAACGATTTAAATGAGTGTCCAATAGTGTTGTCTACATATCCTGGTCATAGTTTTTTCACTTTGGTGCAAATTAGTTGAAAGTTAAACTTTCTGCCTAAAACCGTCTGTGAGGCGCCATCTGCTGGCGACCTGTATTACTACATTTGAATTTTGAATCTGGCGCCAACACTGGCACAGAAGTTGGACCTGACGTCTGCAAGTTGGACCTGACGTCAGCAGCCCCCCGCCCAGAGCAATATAAACGGCCCAGTCTCGTTCACGCCCCCTTCAGTCCTCCAGGCTACGCCCATTTAGAGGAAGATTTGAACAGGAAATGTGAGTGACGTAAGCTCCGAGGAGCGGGGGTGAGAACCACTTTAACAAAACCGTTGAAATCGCCAACACGGATCAGAGAATCAACAGTTAAGACAAAAGAAAATAGAACACATGTGTATTGGTCCATAGGGAGAGACCAATTTCCATGAATGTTGATAAATGTCCATACGTGTTGTAGAATATTCAACCATTTACACCTGAAATTGTTTCGTATTTACAAAGGAAATAGCAAAACTATTGCAAAGGATACGATAGATAAAAATGTGGGTATCATTTAGTAGTGTAACTCAAAGGGCGGCACGGTGGTTGAGTGGATAGCACTCTCGCCTCTCAGCAAGAAGGTTCGAATCCCGGCCGGACCAGGGCCTTTCTGAGTGGAGTTTGCACGTTCTCCACGTGTCTGCGTTGGTTTCCTCCGGGTACTCCGGTTTCCCCTACCACTAAAAACATGTGGGTCACAATAGGTCTGGCATGCGCCTCCTGTACTGGCGACCCCGCTCCCATCTCTGTGTGGAGTGAGAGACAAATGCCCAAAAATAATAACAATTGTAAACCGCTTTGTGACTCTGGTCTGTGAAAGGCGGTATATAAATAAAGATTACTTACTTACTCAAAGAGCAGTACTTTTTTCTGTATTAGTAAAGTGAAGCAATCAGGCTAATTTAATCACACTGTGCTGCTTATACAACATTATACCTTTGCAAATAAAAGTTGGTTTAATGAATCTGAGGACGTGTTGTTCCATGTTGTCCCTGTCCCTTTTACAGGCTCCTTGTCTAACACCAGAGTGGAACAGGATCAGCCACGCTCAAACCGTTTTCTACACTGAGCAGAAATGCATACCTCTACAAGGTGAGAGCCGTTCACACTGACGGGGGTCATGTATGAACCTTAACTTTAATCCTAACCCCAGGGGAAATATCCACTCGTCTCATGTTCATAAATCATTAACATTCAACACAAGTGTAGTTTTACAGATTGAACGACTAAATCTGCAAATTACAAACTTTGATTACACATAAATCACAACAAAGAGTGGAAGACTAGCCCTGATCCAACAGATGCATTTGAACCATTTTTGAGCAATTCATGTCCATTGTTAGATACGTTTCTGCATTTTCTTTCATGTGTGCTTTGACGTCTCTATTTCCTACTGAACATTTGAATCTACAAAGAATCTGACTGATGAAACTATGTAATATGTAAGCTAATGCTGTGCACTCTTTTTCATCTCTTTTCTCTGTGGTGTCCAGGCTTGAGCAGAGACATGGAGGAGCTGTTGGTGGAGGGACTTCTTCTGCAGGTGTCGGTCCCAGAGGTCCAGAGTTTGTACCATGTTCTACTGGACCAGGCCCAGGACCAGCTCTCAGACCGACTGTCCCCCACAGCCCCTGAGTTCAGCCCTCAGGAAGACTCCCTCCCCTCGCCGCTGGTATGAAACCTGGAGACACTTTGGAAGCACTCTGTATCTTTCATAAAGAAGCTGTTGTTTTACAAATACCAGTAAAAAACATGTACAATTCACTCAACGTCTGATTGTGTTTAGGTATTATTGCCTTGACTGAAATATTCATGAGTATAAAAAGCCCTCAATAGATAAGGCAAGGCAAGTTTATTTGTATTGCACAATTCATACACAAGGCAACTCAAAAAGTGCTGAACAAGACAAAATAGATCATAAATAATCACAGTACATTAAAAGAACGATAAATATAAACTCCCTCAGTTGTATGCACAGCTAAACAGAACCGTTTTTAACCTGGTTTTAAACATTGTCAGAGAGGAGGCCTGTCTCACACTTTCATGAAGATTGTTCCAGATTTTAGCAGCATGAATCTGAAAAGCAGCCTCCCCATGTTTAGTTCTGACTCTGGGCACTAACAGGAGTCCAGTCCCTGTGCTCCTCAGAGTCCGGGCTGGTTCATATGGGACTAACATGTCACTAATATATTTTGGTGCGAGGCCATGGAGAGACTTGTACACAAGCAGAGCTGTTTTAGAGTCTATTCTCTAGAGCTTTTTTAACGCCTTCCTAAAGGATTGGTCGTATGTAGAAAATGAATGTTAAAAATGCTATTGTACAGTACGGTAACTTTTTTTGTTTTGATTGTTAAGACTATAATAAGAAAGATAACAAAACCATTATTTGACTGATTACCTCTGATATACCAAAGCTGCCACATGAGGTCCTCTACTAGAGATGTCTCTGAGCTCTGAATATGGGTCAAATGCACAAACATTTTGTAATAATCACAAGCAACTATTTTCTTTTTTTATTGTTGTTCACCATTACTTGTCTTGTCTTCATTCTAACCCAGCTGTTGTTATTTCAGGATGTGGAAGCCATTGTGTCAGAAAAGAAATGTAAGCGTCATATTGAGCGGGACAGTTTAAACACAGACTTCAGGGGCAGTGAGAAAAAACACCCTCTCAAACGACAGAAACTGAATAAAAAAAATCACCTGCATCGACGGCCCGCCTCCACCTCCTCGTCTCCACGATCGGACGGATCACAGTCCGAGAACTCTGAGGACGAGACAGACGTGTGTCCAGCAGAGAGGTGCCAGGTGCCAGAGGGAGACGAGGTGAGGAGCAGACTTTGACGGCACAAATGGACATCAAAGTGCATATATCATTGTATTATTTTGATTCATTCCTAATACATTTTTTATGCATGCAGTGGCCTTGCGGTTTTGATTTTTTTTATGTTGACATTTTGCCTGTAGCTTGTGTTCGCGACAAGATATCTCTGCAATCGTGCTTAAGCAGTTGTGAGTTCAGGTGGTTAGAAAAGTGTTTTTGTAGCTGGTTTGTTGCTCACTGCTGGTTCTTGGCAAAAGCGAAAAGGCTCTGTAGGAAGCTGAGAAGAGGTGAAAACAGTAAAGGACTGAAGCAAAAATACAGTAACACTGTGAAAAACCATTTTTCACAAAGAGGCAAAAAAGAAGCGGTAAAATTATGAATAAAAAAATATTGTCAAACCGGTATACAATTTGTGAGCGAATTAGACAAATCCTAATTGTCATGATGTTGACGGTTGAGTGAAAAGTCGAGGGTAACCTCTCATACACACTTTGAGTATGAGTATGTATGACCTCAGATCTGAGGCTACACAATGCTTATCTGATTTAAACTGTTAGTTTAACTTTAAACCACCATCATGTTCTAAATCTGTTTATATTACAGTAGATGAAATGTACTTTTCATGGTTCTCTGCCATGACCTGTCGCATGTGTTGTGTGCGCAGGTCAACTGGGTGCAGTGCGACGGCAGCTGTAATCAGTGGTTCCACCAGGTCTGCGTGGGCGTCACAGCGGAGATGGCGGAGAAAGAGGACTACATTTGCGTCAGATGCTCAATCAGCGACGTCTGAAGAACATGAAGAAACATTTTTTTAAGGATTGTCTGGTTCCTTCGCCTTCTTTACCTCTGTCCCATCCTTTTGTAACAACGGTGCTATCTCCTTTTGACTTATTGTCCAGAATTATAATTGTGACTTTTTTTATTGTTACATATATATTACTATATTGTATTCTTTCTCTTCATGAATTGTGGTTGTCTCATTGAAAAAATCAGGTTGTGACGTGTGCTGCATGGGATCCCGTTATAATGGTGGAAGGGAGAACTTTTACATCACAAAGCCCCAGTAAGGAACGTTAGTAAAGGATTTCCATTATCTTCTCTGGGAACTTATTGCATGTTTAAAAGCATTGCATAAGGGGCATTAGGTAGCTATTACGGTTTTCATATCCTCTTCCCACCTTTTTAAAACACATTGCAAACATTTTACTTTCCGTGTTTAGTCAATGCATCTCTTAATATAAATAGTCCCGGTTTTGTAGAATAGGTTTTTTTTTTTTATCTGAGCAATAATGTTTTTTGCGTTGACCTAAATGACTAGATTTCCATTGAGTTGTGTTGGTGTGATGTACAGAGACGTACGTGGTTTTGAAGTAGTGGACGAAGGAAAGATGCTGCTGACGTGTGTGACCCCAGCATGTAGCCTGACGTAGGTACTGGACAGAATAAGGGGCACTTAAAGATGTTACGAGTTTATATTGGAAAATAAAGCCCTTTTGTTCTATGACAACTCTTGTGTTTTATCAATATTCACTGTCTATGGTTTTATCTCAGAAGCAGCATATATGTTATGCGGCTTATAAATATGGCTTATTATGTTTTATAAATAATCAATCAGAATTAATTGTTATTGCCGTTGCACATAATGTAAAGTCTCAAACTAGAAATTTGGTGCAAAGTAATATAAAAGCAAAACATTGAAATGGAGGCATACAAAAACATATTAACAATAAACATGAAGATAATGAATATCCAAGCACTTGAAAAGGATTTAGGGCTTCTTAGCTTTGTCAAACTTGTCATTATGGCGAATCATTACAGATGGCTGCATGTATTTTTTAAAATCCAAATGTGCATTGTAAAAAAAAAATAGACTTCACAAATATAATTACAGACGAGTTGACTCTTAAAACTCTGAGAGCGCATACCCCGCCAACACCACTTTGGATGCAGCTCCCACTTCACCGCAACAGTCTAAAATACAGCTCTGACTGCAGACGCTGCTCCCACTTCACACAAGCAGTGATACGGCGACCGCGTCACTGCACACGCTGCCCTGTGCCATCTGCCAATCTCATGCTCCATTCTTCTGTGAAAAAGCCCCTGAGATACTCTTTTCCACCCATCATTGGTGACCTAATTAACTAATGCCTTGCTAAACCTCTAGAGATGAGAAGAAAGAACCATGCATTATATTGAAGTGAATTTTATAATTGGAGAAAAGCATTTTATTGGCTCTATTAACCTAACTCACAACTACTTGACTCTTATTGATGATAATAAGAATATTGTTCATTCGTTCATCAATGTTTTTATCTGTTGGCTTCTCTTAAAGTCTCACCTCTGCCTCCTTAACCAATGCCTCTGCTGAAGTGTGCTGGTAATGGCTGCAGAGTGCATGTCTATCAGAGCGTGTCCATAAACCATATGTCACTTCTGAACCAGGTCAAGGCTGGAGGAGTAATGTGTGCTCTATGATCAAAGAAGCTTTAACGTCAAGGGCACAAGTGACTTTTATGAACCACATCCTGTTTGCAGCACAAGCATCCTGTGAACTGTGGGCCAGGGCTGACTGCCACTCTCTCACAGTATGTACCATAAATGATTCAAATATTGTGTCAAGTAACTCCAAAAAGTCTCCGAAAAATCATTAAAAAAAACAAGAATAATATCAGTGTTGAGTTCTTCTTGCCACCTTTGGATTTTCATCTGTTTTTTCATAATTTTTCAATATAAAGTTATATTTTATTTGGCCTTTTAAGCACCATAGAGTATTCAGTTGAAATAATCATGTTAAACCTGTAAAATCACTTGACTTGCTGTAATGTTGTGTCAATGTTTGGGTTTGCTGTAGACACAACTCAAATACTTATGTCCAAACATGAATTTGGGTCAACAGTTTTTCTTTGCTTCCTGAAGAGGGAGACAGACTGCACTGTGACCAGAGGCTGATCTGAGCTGGTCACAGTGATTCTGACAGGGACAACATCACAAAGGAGCGGTGTGCAACTAATTACGTTCTTCACAAAAACAGGAAAGAAATCAAGTTCCATGGGTGAATTATGTACACCCAGTTACACCACTATTATATTTCAATGTGGCAAAGTCAAACATGCGGCATAGACACATGGGGCAAAAAAGTAGTTAGTCAGCCACCAATTGTACTTATAAAGGTGAGACATGTCTATAATTTTCATCATAGGTATACCTGAAATGTGTGAAAGAAATCCAGAAAAAAAACCTTGTCTAATTTTTAAATAATTTATTTTCAAAGTATTAAGTCAATGCAAAAGTCCATCTCAATACTTGGCAATGACAGAGGTCAAACGTTTTCTTTAAGTCTTCAAGTTGAAAAAACATCATACCTACTGGGAAGCATGGGGGTGGAAACATCATGCTTCGGGGCAGGTTTTCTTCAAAGGGACTAGAACGATTGTGTAAAGGAAACAATGAATGGGACCATGTATATGAGATTCTGAGCAACAACCTCCATCCATCAGCAAGACCGTTGAAGCGTGGCTCTAAAAGAGATCAGTATGTTAACAAGAACGAAAAACGTATATACCAACAAAGATTATTTCCACAATCAATTACCACCATTTAATCATTTTAAAACCATAAAAAAAATATATAATATGTATATATATATGGTGGAAATTACGGGCATATTTTTAAGTGAGAGGACTTGCACATTTGGTGGCTTTTTGATTTACAAATTACAGACATAATGGAAGTTATAGAAGAGAGCCAGTGTTGAAAAGATTCACAAGAAGCAGAGCAAAACACATTCAAATTCACGCAATTCCCAGAGGAATTGGTCCACAAATGTTATGCATGGTTCAAAACTAGCACTGCTCATCACCCTCATCTCCAAACTTGGTGCTAGGGACAGAGGAGAGAGTCATGGCTGATGGGAAACTGGGTGGAGCAAAATACAGGACAATATGTGACAAAATGCTGCTGGTGTCTGCAAAAGACTTCTTTGTGGTGGATGTTTATCTACCATCAGAGACATTTCCCTAAAGATAAGGATGCTCCAGTCAGTCAAAGCCCAAGAATAGGCAAAAGTCTATACGTCATAATCTTGTGGAGACATACCCCAAAATACTTGAATCTGTTATCGGGGCAGAGAGAGTTCCACAAAGTATTGACACAATATGAAAATAATTTAGAATTCGAATCATGTATCAAGTTTTGTTCATTTTGCATTTATCACGTTGGTCTTTCACACCAATTACCAATGAACTATTTTCCTGTTTGTGGTCGTAAATGTTACTTTTGAAACACACAAGTACTGTACATGTTTTGCCACAGTACAGTGTTTGTGTATACTCAGTCACATAACTGACCTTTCCTGTTAAATTATACTTCCTACTTTGACCGCAAAACTTGTTGCTATTGAATTGATGTCATGCACTGATCAAGACACGCAGCAAACTTGGGAATCCAGATTTACACTGAGACGTAAAGGACTTTATATTTATAGTTTGTCTGGATCATTTACTGAGTGCATTTGAAGTTAAAACTATATGTGGAATTATGAGTCAAACTTTCTCACCTTCTCTACATGTGACACCCCCACCCAGCTATGACACAGTATTTGTTTCTTTACGGGTGCTAAATATGTATCATGAACGCACAGATCACTAACACTGGGCGCCAGCCAGCAATCCACACTCAACTTATATTTATATATTGCTGACATCCTGTGAGAAAGTGATAAGATTAAATACAACAAATACATATCCATTCTTCTGATATTTCTGTCATTCACTAGTCACTTTACCTGCTGCTATCATTACCATCATTTATTCTGGTCATATTCTGCGCTGCTTAAGTACAATATACACATCTGTAAATACCTCTAAGCCAAGTACAATTATAGCTCCAGAGTTAATATTCTATTCTTTTTATAATTATTTTTTTTATTATATATTACCTTAAATAATAGATCCTGTTTGATGTGTGCAATCTGAGTGCTCTTATTTCCTACTTTTATTCTGCTGTGTCCCCACTGTGGGATGAATAAAGGACTATCTTATATTAAAACTCCCCCCATGAGCATGAACGGGCCTGCAGTAAAAATCGAGTTATCAAGAAGTAACGTGAGTCCTTTCTGCATAACCTCATACTCCTACTTGGCACTCCACCTGCTCACAGACAATAGCCAGACTGCTTACATTCAAAAAACAGACCAAGTCCTGGTTTGTTCATCAGCAGCAGTGTGGCCCTGTGAAAAAGGCGCTGCCAAGAAGAGTAGGTTGAGAAGAATAGATGAAAATAGATTTTTTTCTGAACACTCATAATCAGAATAGGTGACTGCAATGACAAGCCTTGGGGGGAAAATGTGTAATAGAGGTAGGGTAAACTGGAACACCAGGGAGAAACTTATGCCAACATGGGGAGGAAAGGCCAACTCCACTTGCCGCCTCTAGCCACTGAGCTGCCGTGTGTATAACATAGTAACCATTGAAGAATATAACAGGAATATGATGTGAAAGATAATGTAATTAAATTAAAATTGAGAAGCAAAACTATACCCTTCCAAATAGGTAGCCCACAAATGCAGAGGATACAGTATTTGTAAAAACAGATATCTCTGTTTCTAAAAGTTTTATTTCTTTCACTACAATCTTCAACATGTACATGTACTTGTAATGGCAGAACAATTGTAAAGATTTCCTTATATCATGTATCTGTTTTTGCTCTTTCGAATATACACATTGGAAAAAGAATAAAAGAAGCAATATATGATACACAGTAATGACTTATCTATTCTATATGGGTATTTTTACCAAATACACCTTATTATCACAGGAGCAAACGGCTGTCCTTTTATAAGTCACCCCACTGTATGTGTTCAGTGTGTGTGTCCAGTGTGTGTGTTCAGTGTGTGTGTCCAGTGTGTGTGTGTCCAGTGTGTGTGTCCAGTGTATGTGTTCAGTGTGTGTGTCCAGTGTATGTGTTTGGTGTGTGTGTCCAGTGTATGTGTTCGGTGTGTGTGTCCAGTGTATGTGTTCAGTGTGTGTGTTCAGTGTATGTGTTCAGTGTGTGTGTTCAGTGTATGTGTTCAGTGTGTGTGTTCAGTGTATGTGTTCAGTGTGTGTGTCCAGTGTATGTGTTCGGTGTGTGTGTCCAGTGTATGTGTTCAGTGTGTGTGTTCAGTGTATGTGTTCAGTGTGTGTGTGTCCAGTGTATGTGTTCAGTGTGTGTGTCCACTGTCCAGTGTATGTGTTCAGTGTGTGTGTCCAGTGTATGTGTTCGGTGTGTGTGTCCAGTGTATGTGTTCAGTGTGTGTGTTCAGTGTATGTGTTCAGTGTGTGTGTGTTCAGTGTATGTGTTCAGTGTGTGTGTCCAGTGTATGTGTTCAGTGTGTGTGTCCAGTGTATGGTGGTGTGTGTGTGTCCAGTGTATGTGTTCAGTGTGTGTGTCCAGTGTATGTGTTCAGTGTGTGTGTCCAGTGTATGTGTTCAGTGTGTGTGTCCAGTGTGTGTGTTCAGTGTGTGTGTCCAGTGTATGTGTTCAGTGTGTGTGTTCAGTGTATGTGTTCAGTGTGTGTGTCCAGTGTATGTGTTCAGTGTGTGTGTCCAGTGTGTGTGTTCAGTGTGTGTGTCCAGTGTATGTGTTCAGTGTGTGTGTTCAGTGTGTGTGTCCAGTGTATGTGTTCAGTGTGTGTGTCCAGTGTATGTGTTCAGTGTGTGTGTCCAGTGTATGTGTTCAGTGTGTGTGTCCAGTGTATGTGTTCAGTGTGTGTTCAGTGTGTGTCCAGTGTATGTGTTCAGTGTGTGTGTCAGTGTATGTGTTCAGTGTGTGTGTCCAGTGTGTGTTCAGTGTGTGTGTCCAGTGTGTGTGTTCAGTGTGTGTGTCCAGTGTATGTGTTCAGTGTGTGTGTTCAGTGTGTGTGTCCAGTGTATGTGTTCAGTGTGTGTGTCCAGTGTATGTGTTCAGTGTGTGTGTCCAGTGTATGTGTTCAGTGTGTGTGTCCAGTGTGTGTGTGTGGTCCAGTGTGTGTTCCAGTGTGTGTGTCCAGTGTATGTGTTCAGTGTGTGTGTCCAGTGTATGTGTTCAGTGTGTGTCAGTGTGTGTGTCCAGTGTATGTGTTCAGTGGTGTGTGTCCATGTGTTCAGTGTGTGTGTCCAGTGTATGTGTTCGGTGTGTGTGTCTGTGTGTGTCAGTGTGTGTGTGTCCAGTGTATGTGTTCAGTGTGTGTGTCCAGTGTATGTGTTCAGTGTGTGTGTGTCCAGTGTATGTGTTCAGTGTGTGTGTCAGTGTATGTGTTCAGTGTGTGTGTCCAGTGTATGTGTTCAGTGTGTGTGTCCAGTGTATGTGTTCGTGTGTGTGTCCAGTGTATGTGTTCAGTGTGTGTGTGTCCAGTGTGTGTCAGTGTTGTGTCAGTGTGTGGCAGTTGTGTTCAGTGTGTGTGTGTCCAGTGTATGTGTTCAGTGTGTGTGTGTCCAGTGTATGTGTTCAGTGTGTGTGTCCAGTGTATGTGTTCAGTGTGTGTGTGTCCAGTGTATGTGTCAGTGTTCAGTGTGTGTGTCCAGTGTATGTGTTCAGTGTGTGTGTCCATGTGTGGTCAGTGTGTGTGTCCAGTGTATGTGTTCAGTGTGTGTGTCCAGTGATGTGTCAGTGTGTGTGTCCAGTGATGTGTCCAGTGTGTGTGTCCAGGTGTATGTGTCAGTGTGTGTCAGTGTGTGTGTCCAGTGTATGTGTTCAGTGTCCTGTGTGTGTCAGTGTGTGTGTCCAGTGTTGTGTTCAGTGTGTGTTCAGTGTGTGTGTCCAGTGTAGTGTCAGGTGTGTGTCCAGTGTTGTGTCCAGTGTGTGTGTCAGTGTGTGTCCAGTGTGTGTGTCCAGTGTGTGTGTCCAGTGTGTGTGTCCAGTGTGTGTGTGTCCAGTGTATGTGTTCAGTGTGTGTGTCCAGTGTGTGTGTGTGTCCAGTGTATGTGTTCAGTGTGTGTGTCAGTGTGTGTGTCCAGTGTTGTGTGTCCAGTGTGTGTGTCAGTGTGTGTGTCCAGGTGGTGTGTCCAGTGTGTGTGTGTCCAGTGTTGTGTCCAGTGTGGTGTCCAGTGTGTGTGTCCAGTGTGTGTGTCCAGTGTGTGTGTCCAGTGTATGTGTTCAGGTGTGTGTCCAGGTGTGTGTGTCCAGTGTGTGTGTGTCCAGTGTGTGTGTCCAGGTGTGTGTCAGTGTGTTCCAGTGTGTGTGTGTCCAGTGTGTGTGTCCAGTGTGTGTGTGTCCAGTGTTGTGTCCAGTGTGTGTGTCCAGTGTGTGTGTCCAGTGTGTGTGTTCAGTGTGTGTGTCCAGTGTGTGTGTCCAGTGTGTGTGTGTCCAGTGTGTGTGTCCAGTGTGTGTGTCCAGTGTGTGTGTCCAGTGTGTGTGTGTGTCCAGTGTGTGTGTGTCAGTGTGTGTGTGTGTCCAGTGTATGTGTCAGTGTGTGTGTCCAGTGTGTGTGTCCAGTGTATGTGTTCAGTGTGTGTGTGTCCAGTGTATGTGTTCAGTGTGTGTGTGTCCAGTGTATGTGTTCAGTGTGTGTGTGTCCAGTGTGTGTGTCCAGTGTATGTGTTCAGTGTGTGTGTGTCCAGTGTATGTGTTCAGTGTGTGTGTGTGTCCAGTGTATGTGTTCAGTGTGTGTGTGTCCAGTGTATGTGTTCAGTGTGTGTGTTCAGTGTGTGTGTCCAGTGTGTGTGTCCAGTGTATGTGTCCAGTGTATGTGTTCAGTGTGTGTGTGTCCAGTGTATGTGTTCAGTGTGTGTGTGTCCAGTGTATGTGTTCAGTGTGTGTGTGTCCAGTGTATGTGTTCAGTGTGTGTGTGTCCAGTGTATGTGTTCAGTGTGTGTGTCAGGTGTGTGTGTCCAGTGTATGTGTCCAGTGTATGTGTTCAGTGTGTGTGTCCAGTGTGTGTGTGTCCAGTGTATGTGTCCAGTGTGTGTGTCCAGTGTGTGTGTCCAGTGTGTGTGTCCAGTGTGTGTGTGTCCAGTGTGTGTGTCCAGTGTGTGTGTGTGTCCAGTGTATGTGTTCAGTGTGTGTGTCCAGTGTGTGTGTCCAGTGTATGTGTTCAGTGTGTGTGTCCAGTGTGTGTGTCCAGTGTATGTGTTCTGTGTGTGTGTCCAGTGTGTGTGTCCAGTGTGTGTGTCCAGTGTGTTTGTCCAGTGTATGTGTTCAGTGTGTGTGTCCAGTGTGTGTTTGTCCAGTGTATGTGTTCAGTGTGTGTGTCCAGTGTGTGTGTCCAGTGTATGTGTCCAGTGTGTGTCCATGTGTCCAGTGTATGTGTCCAGTGTATGTGTTCAGTGTGTGTGTGTCCAGTGTATGTGTTCAGTGTGTGTGTGTCCAGTGTATGTGTTCAGTGTGTGTGTGTCCAGTGTATGTGTTCAGTGTATGTGTCCAGTGTGTGTGTCCAGTGTGTGTGTGTTCAGTGTATGTGTCCAGTGTGTTTGTCCAGTGTATGTGTTCAGTGTGTGTGTCCAGTGTGTGTTTGTCCAGTGTATGTGTTCAGTGTGTGTGTCCAGTGTGTGTGTCCAGTGTATGTGTCCAGTGTGTGTGTCCAGTGTATGTGTCCAGTGTGTTTGTCCAGTGTGTGTGTCCAGTGTGTGTGTTTGTCCAGTGTGTGTGTCCAGTGTGTTTGTCCAGTGTGTGTGTCCAGTGTGTGTGTCCAGTGTATGTGTCCAGTGTATGTGTTCAGTGTGTGTGTCCAGTGTGTGTGTCCAGTGTGTGTGTTCAGTGTGTGTGTCCAGTGTGTGTGTCCAGTGTATGTGTTCAGTGTATGTGTCCATGTGTCCAGTGTGTGTGTCCAGTGTATGTGTCCAGTGTATGTGTGTGTGTCCAGTGTGTGTGTCCAGTGTATGTGTTCAGTGTGTGTGTCCAGTGTATGTGTCCAGTGTGTGTGTCCAGTGTATGTGTTCAGTGTGTGTGTCCAGTGTGTGTGTCCAGTGTATGTGTTCAGTGTGTGTGTCCAGTGTATGTGTCCAGTGTGTGTGTCCAGTGTGTTTGTCCAGTGTATGTGTTCAGTGTGTGTGTCCAGTGTATGTGTTCAGTGTGTGTGTCCAGTGTGTGTGTCCAGTGTGTGTGTCCAGTGTGTGTGTCCAGTGTGTGTGTCCGTCGTTATTATAATAGATCCATGGTGTCCCTCCAGTGTGTGTCCAGGTCCAGTCCCACAGACGGTCCTCCCCACTCCGTCAGTGATTGGCTGAGTCTGGGCCAATCATCTCCAGCTGGACACATCCTCAGAGCGCACAGAGGAACACGGTCGGTGAGTGTCTCCACTGCTTTACCCGCATTTATAATTAGCTATTAGACAGTCAATTAGACACCCAACATCTTTATAACGTTGGACCTCCATTCAGGAATACACCGATTTCTTAAAAGCCATTGAAAGCGCCCATCTTATCAGCGCAGTTGTGGCAGTATTTTGAGGGCTTCACGCTAGTACCAGTGCGAGCTAATCTCACTTACGCAGCTAATATCAATCTGAGGACATTATAAAACGGTCTGAGTGGGGTTTTAAAGTTGATTTGTGTATCTTTGTCGCTGAGGTATGATCCGTAAACACTTTATGTATTTAGCGATTATTGTTAGCGGTGTAAACAGTGCATGTAGTGTTGTGGAGTTTACCCAATGCTAACTGCTAAACTAGCTTCCCTGTTAATGCTAGCTACACAGTGAACAGATTTAACCAGTGTCTTTCCCCGTTTTACTACATGCACTCCTGATTATTAATACATGCATGTTCACTGTAAAATGTCTTTTTGAGCGTATTTACAATTGCACTTTAGACATACGTCCTGCTATGATAGCTCCTCCCATGTGGCTAACTGTGCTAGCTAAACATTTGGCATAGTCGTAAAACGCAAACTAGTTTTATATGAGCAAAAGCTGTTGTTTTTAAGGATGTTCAAATGATCACGTGTTTGATGTAATCACTATCTTGCCATTACTGTTTAGTGTAAAAACTGTGGTCAACTATTGTATTTGGAAACTAATAGCCACACCCTTCCTTTCGAAACTACTCAACCTCACAAGTTCATAAATGTTTTCAGAATGATACATGATGTCACTGTATATGATGAAATCCATTTGCCATATGGTGAATACGCATGTAATGACGCATGTCGTATGTCTGATTTACATTAAGTTTTAGGAGGATAATTCCGGTTAAAAAAGTTTCAAACGCCTTTGCCCCCTTCAGGCTATTGGACACATTGACACATCTTCTCCTATCTGTAATTAGCTAGTATAGGAAGCTTTTATTTTCACTTTTATTTTATGAGTCACTGTCAAAATATAATGTTTTCTCCTGGTATATACTAGCAACAAGTTGTTAAGTAAGTTTTTTGTTTGTTTTGGGACATGTGACAGCTTGCCTCCTGACACAGAAAATGCAATATGTCACTCCTCATCAGGCATCATAGACACAGATTTGTTTTTGTATCTGTATTATTTGGATGTAACTGCTGGTTTTGTTGCCCTTTCTATAATTGTTTTCATATATGTTGCAGATTGTTGACCACCTCACCTTGCTTCAGTCCAGCGATCCCCCTCCCCAGATGTAGAGGGTCTGTCATCTGAGGCGTAGAGTATTAAAGGTAGGCTTCTTGTGTATGCTTTTGTTTTCTTTTATGTTGTCAAAAATGCATATCCATCATTTGGTAATCTCAAATTTTTGCTGCCTGCCTAACTAACAATTTGTGAAATAAAAGTTATTTGTTTTAACTGTGTAATTGTGTGTCATAATGAATGTAGTATTGCCATTTTTAGCTGTCGACTTTCTATTTTGTGAGTCTTGATAATGTTTTATGGCCAGGCAGGAGTAAAAGATTGGGATATGGTGATTAGTCATACTTATATTTTATTCAAGTTGTGCAAGAGACTTAATCATACTAGTGTTGCTGGTGTAAATTTTTCTGACTCTCATTCTCAAATCATCTTTTTATTGTCGTTTACAGTTTTTTATAATAGTGTTTTTACATGGTTTGTTGCATGTCATTTAAGTCTGTGGTGATATATGGTCCAGATCTGTGGTGGCGTAGAGGGGACAGTACAAAGGCTCATTGTGGAGGCTCTGGGTGGGTTTTCTGATGGTGCTTCATACGTCGTCGTTAGAATTGCAAATGCCTTTCGAGTGCGACACAGTTCTTGTTGTAGATGATTTGATTCAACATCTGACGACTCGCCACAGAGGCCAGTGTAATCTGGGACAATTGTATTCACATAAAGAGCAGATTTACATTGCATAATTATTGACACTCCCATTTGTTTAAAGAAGACGTCAGCAGTATTGTATCATTGTGTGATCTCTAGCAGATCTCGTAAGATTATTTTCTGTACTTGTCAGGCTCAAAAGGGATTTTTAAAAATATAGTTTTGGAAGAAAAGGTGTGTTTTATGCTGTTTCTGAAGGTGTTGAGTGTTTCTGATGGAGGGATTTCAAATGTTAGGACCCACAAGGTTTGGTTCTTGAATTTGACAGTGGGAGTGAGGTTTAAATCTGGGGAGGGGCTCATGGCTGTAGGAGTTCTGTGGACTGCTTTGCCAGTGATGACAAAGATTTTGAAACGGATACGATGCTAGTGGAGTTGTTTAAGACTAAACTCTGATGCAGGTTTGGGTAATATTTGAATTATCATAATTACAATACTTTATAATTCTTTATTTTGTAACATATTGCAGTTGTTGGAGATTGGAGGAAGGGAGACCACTGCAGTTAAACTTTAGGGAATATAGATAATATTAAATGGTAAGGTGGCAGGCAGGGTGAGGTTGGACTTAAGAAGAATCCAAGATTTCTGATCTGAGCAGCTGTGACTGTGATAATAATTTCTTGTAATTCATTTTGAGGAAATTGGTGATCATCCAAGATTTTATTGCAGAGATGGCGGTAATAATGGACATGGTGGCCAGGAAAAAAATTGGTAGAAAGGTATAACTGAGCAGGGTCCTCCCCATTTTTTGCATCAGCCTGTAATTTGAAAATCTCTCTTAAACACCATTTCCTGTATTTTGAGGGCCAGGCCTTGAAGTAGATTGTTTTAATTGTTCTATTACAGACTTGAACATGTTTTGTTTTTTATTTGTGATGGCCATAATAAATGAGTCATGATAAAGGGTTACTCATGCTTGGTGCAGAACAAATACACTGTATTGACAACAACCTGTACATCATAAGTCGCCCTATCTGTGGAGATAAAAGATATTTATATTATCATAATTACAGTGCTTTATAATTCTGTTTTGTAACATAATCCAAAGCTTTTTACTTTGGCATCCTGTCTACTTTGTTATTTTCACTTGAATTCAATATTAGACGAAGCGTGAGTGATCATCACCATGGAGACTCACATTGTGGGCGGAGCTGCTAAATTTGTACATTTCTCTCAAAATACACACAATGAACCTGTTGTTTCATAAAAACTGATAAAAGATAGCCGCAAAGGCACAGCCGGTTATTGAAAAAGTGAAGGAGTGAGAAAAGTTGAAATAGTGGATGAAAATCCCAGCACACGGGCCCCTGGTGCGTTTCAATTTAGAAAAAGAAGAGAAGTGGGCCAAGCACAGAGCCTTGAGGTACTGTTAGTGACGAGGATGCAGTGAGAGAGCATACGATTGTGGATAACGTAGTGAGCTGTTGGAATGGAAGCCAGGAGAATGCAGGAGGGGTTGAACTGAAGACTGGAAAATAATGGAAGTGTCAATGTTGTCAAAGGCGGCAGAGAGATGGCGGTCGGTAACTTTGAGGAGCAAGGTTTCTGTGCTGTGGTGAGAGTGGAATCTGGATTCAAATTTGTCATGCTGCAGGTTGAGAGTTGAGGGGTCTTTGTTTTCTGACCAAAAACGAATATTCATTATGAAAATAAATGATGTTTTTGGGCAGAAAAACTTTTTGATGCATATTTTTTCCTTTTTCTGCAGACTCTGCTACTTTCCTTTCATGTTTTTTTACAGGAAATGTGAAGATCATGTCATATTCACTATAACACTCTTCTTCTCCAGTTTCCTGTGCTGTCTGGTGTTGTTGCCACTATGCGCGAGTACAAGTTGGTGGTTCTGGGGTCCGGAGGAGTGGGCAAATCTGCACTGGTAAGGCCTCCATATGTGCCACTGGAAAGAAGATTTTTTTTATTGACTTTTAAATATGTCTAAACTTGCATTGTACAGAGGCTTGCGTTTACATTTTGACTCTGCCTTCATTTTAGACAGTCCAGTTTGTGCAAGGCATTTTTGTGGAGAAGTATGACCCTACAATAGAAGACTCTTACAGAAAGGTTTGCTCTCATGACTAAGATTTTATTTTTATTTTTATGGAAACGTACTGAATAATGAACATTTTGTGCTTTTGTGTGATCAGCAAGTTGAAGTCGATGGACAGCAGTGTATGCTTGAAATCTTGGACACAGCCGGAACCGTAAGTCCACTCCAGCTCTGCGGCCGGACGTGAATGCTCTTTGGCTGACATGACGCTGTTCTTTTATCGGTGACGTTTATAGGAGCAGTTTACGGCGATGAGGGACCTGTACATGAAGAATGGCCAAGGCTTTGCTCTGGTTTATTCCATCACAGCACAGTCGACATTCAACGACCTCCAGGACCTACGGGAACAGATTCTGCGAGTAAAAGACACAGAGGATGTAAGTCGATCTCTTGTTCCACCTGGTGTAGAAGCATCTTTATTTTCAGCTTATCATTAAACTATAGAGGTGCATTTTCCAATAACTGTGAGTGGCCTTGTGTTAAAGTGATAGTCTGTAACTCTAAATTAATTACAAATTTTAGGAAATGTGTTAAATTGACCTCCTGGCCTTAAATGTTGATATAAAATAAATCATTTTATTAATTCTAATATTACGGGCAAGTCCCGCCTTCCCTTCTCTTAGCTATAGTTCAGAATCCACGGTGCCCTCCACGTTAACCAATCGAGTCATGCCAAGGGCTGTCAATCATCGGCGCTGATGCTCGCAGCTGCGCACATGCTCAGTTGTTAGTTTTCGCGGAGCCTCCGAATCAAGCCTCTATTATGCTCTGGAACTACATGAAAACTGAACAAAGAATTCTGAACATCCGCGCTGAGGTACTTATGTATATACTGAACCTATATCCATAATCAGATCCTCAGCAGATGTGTCCTATAATGTGCAATTCATGATCATAGCACTTCCTGGTTTGCCGTGATCGCTTTTTTAGGGCATAAAAACATTATTATTTTCATTAAAGCGTTCACAAATAATTCTGAAAACCTCCGTGCATGTGTATTAATAATGTATTTGTATAATGTGTTCTCTGATTAACATTTAAAAGTGTTACGGAAACGTAGGTGTAGACCAATCAGAACGGAAGGGGGAGGGAGCTTGCGTCGTTTTTTTTTTTTTTCAAATCAAGTACCTCTCTGTCTCTCTTTCTGACAAACTCCAGACAATCACTTTAATGAGTCGGAACCCCTTTGTGCAATATTGTTAGCGCAGGTAAAAGCTGGCCCTTCATGTTAAGGATCTTGCAGCATTAGCATGAAGGGGGTTGAGGTTTACAATCATGTCTTGACTATATTGTGTCCAGTGACCTCCAACCTTTGATTTGTAGTGTATAACTTTATTCTTTTTCCTACTGAAGAAGGATCATGCAAGATTGTGTTTCCAGTGTTTAAGGCAGGAGTGTCAAACCAGTTCCAGAAAGGACTGGTGCAGCTGCAGGTTTGAGTTTCAACCTGAGCAGTAGCACACCAAACTCCACCCATTTCCTCAAATCTTCAAGTTAAAACCATAGACTGTAAATATTAACGGACATAGTCACGCCTATCTCCGCCGTTTTAACTAATGTGCTACAACTTCCGCGGTCTATGGGCAGTTTCAAAATGGCCGCGGGGGCTGGCAAATGTTAAAAAACGCATCTGCGCTTGCCTTAAAAAATTCACAATGACTAAACTAGACTGGTCCAAAAAAATTCACTCCCCTCAGCATTGACACACAAGTGGAACGGAGCTTTGGGCCAAGAGCCAACTTTTGGACCATCCTGTAAAGACGTTTTCGAGAGGTCATCTAAAGCTATATGATAGCATTGAATAATTCTCATTCCGGGTCCACCCCATCGGCCTGGGGTGGTATTGCAAGCATGTCAGCGCACGTCATTTTGGCCACTTTTGAGCCTGGACCCCTCCACTGGTTGAAACTGGACCCACCTGAGGAAATGGGTGGAGTCTGGTCTGGTGTGCTCCTGCTCAGGTTGAAACTAAAACCTGCAGCCACACCCGCCTTTAAGGACCGGTGTGACACCCTTAAGTTGTGCATGTTTACAGCTGTAACAGAGTCCTCCCCATAGAGGGCAGGAGTGAATGTATTCAGATACACTGTCACTAGTTTTTTAGATTTATAATGATAGGACTGATATTGGCTGCTAAACTTTATGAGATGATAAAGAAAAATACAATGAAATGCGTCGAACATGCAGTGGATTTCTGACAGAAGTCTCAGTCTTCAACATGATAAAGAATAATGTTATAATAATGTTAACTGTTGGATATTGAAAAAGCATGTTTTAAATGTTTTCAATGAAAGATAATCCAAAAAATCATTTATATTGTCACAAAGAAATTGTAGAGCGCAAACTTCTCAAAGAGGCAGATTTCTTTTTAAAAGTCCATAAAAATCTATAAAAACAGACTATGCATAACAGAAGTGTATAATTTGTTCTTTTTCCCATTTGATGAAGTTAACTTAAAATTAAATAATAAATCGACTCTTGAGTTATGTTGCTCACAGTCAAACCCTGGTGCTAACATAACCTCCTTTGCTGCGCTCATTAAGTCTTCTTAATCTGTCTGTTTGTGTAACAACCCTGACACTCCACCACTTGTAGTGCGTACTGCTACCATTGTGTCAATGGGCAAGACACTTCATCTGCAATTTTTCGGCAAATGTTACTAAATGGACATGCTCAAAGTGACAGTCGCATCCCCGACTGTAGTTTGTGGCATTAAGAGAATCACAGGTGGGTGGTATTTGTCGAGTCTCCGTGGTGATGGCCTTTGTTGCGTCTTATATAATTCTGGAGACCTCTGAGGCGGATTCTTTTAGTCGCTCTGTGGGAGAGGGGGCAGAGCACAGAGGGGCGTCTCTAAACTCTGCAAATGTCAACGCTGTTAAGAAGCGACAGCTTTCACTCTCCAGACGCTGCAGCGGTGTGTCACAAGGATTTCAGGATTTTAAAGATGTCATCATTAAATACTCCAGGAAACAAGAGGAGATGTAGATAAAACTGTTTTGCCATTTCAGAGATTCACTTTATACATAGTGCTGTGTAGAGTTAAGCTGGAAATTTAAGATGATATTGTCCAAGGTGAGAGGGATATTTCTGCTCTTCAGAAGGAAATGTTAGTCTTTACACATCTGGCAGACTTTTTCTGTTGGATCCCCAGAACAGGTTGAGTATCACGACCGGTCTCAGTATGCACTCATGTCCTTTTGGGCCCTAGGTTCCGATGATCCTGGTGGGGAACAAGTGTGACCTGGAGGATGAGCGTGTGGTGGGGAAGGAGCAGGGGCAGAATCTGGCCCGTCAGTGGAGCAACTGTGCCTTTTTAGAGACTTCAGCTAAATCAAAGATCAATGTAAATGAGGTAAGTCTTCAGGGTCAAAACCATCTGCTGATATTTATGGTCATTCTTTTCATTGTACTAAAAAAAAAAAAGGGAACTTTCTTGTGTTCAGATTTTCTACGACCTGGTGCGACAGATCAACAGAAAAACGCCGATGGAAAAGAAGACGAAAAAGAAGTCGAATTGCACATTGCTCTAAATCCCCCTGTGCTTTAGGACAGGTCAGTAGAAGGACAGTCAACATTTATGAATAAACCTGCTCTACATAACATTTCTGGTGCAATTGGATTGTCGCCATGGAGATGCTATGACCTACAGCACTTTACAGAAACAAAAGATAAGAGAACCTTTTATTTGCCATTTTTGCGTTGCCGCGCCCATAAAGGACAGAAGTAAGAATACACAAAATATACAGAGATGAGTAGCTGTGGATGCTTCATAAGAATAGGAAGCATACATCAATATGTGTGTTATGTTAGTGCAGAATAAAGTGATTGGACATTCGGAATATTGCACATGATTGCAGTATTTTTTTTAACTATTTTTTGCAGTATTAGTTTACTATTTGCGGAGGAGATGCTCAGCAGCTCTCATTGTAAACGTATACATTATTATTAAAAATATTTTCCCTTTCATATTACAAATATTTATAATTTACGTCTTGGATATAGTTTGTTTAAATTAAAATGTGCAGAAGACCGGATAAGAACTCAGGCTTGTGCGATCTTGTGCAGCAGCGCCCTCTGTTGATAAAGATCTATTAGTAAATGATCATGCCTTGTCATTTGCATTTAAGTATTGGCTAAACTGAAAAACATTTTATGAACACATTCAAAATGTTCCTATTTATTTCTCATGCTGCTCTGAGGGTCTGTCCTAAAATCTTCTGTCCATGTATTGATGCAAAAAGTCTAACTGTTCTGTAAAGACAACACCGGACTATAAGCCACAGCATTTTTCCCTCACTTTGACTGCTGCGGCTTATAGTCTCTTAGGGCGACAGTAGCTCAGTTGGTAGAGCATTGGCCTTTGAGCCAGAGGGTCGTGGGTTCGAGTCCGGCCTTAACCACCCACTGTCTGCTGTGTGTCCTTACCCTCTGGGAAAACCAGCCACTGTGGGGCGGCTGCGGCTGTAAAGTGCCAAACTGCCGTTGTGTCCTTAGGCAAGACACTTCACCCCCATTGCCTGGTGTGTGTGTGAATGGTTGATGGTGTTCGGAGGGGCAGATGGCGCATACTGGTTGCCTTGCTTCTGTCAGTGTGCCCCAGGGCAGCTGTGACTACAGTAGTAGTTTATCACCACTGTGTATGGAGTGAATGAATAATGACACATGTAAAGCGTCTTTGAGTGTCCAGAAAAGCGCTATATAAAACCAATGCATTATTATTATTATTATAGTAAGGGGCGGCTTAATTTACGTTATTTTTTTTCTGATGGCAAAAACATTTTGCCAAGTAGCGTGTAGACCAAAAGAATTGTTGAGTAGTTCACTGAAGTCAAATTAAATATTGTCAAACATTGAAAATACTAGAATTATGATGATTATGAGGATGATCATTTGTGCATTACAATTACAAATGTACGGTATATTTAAAGGTCACAGGCACAGTGAGAAAAAAGCATTTTTAATAAGTATTTGTTTGTTTCCGTGCAGATTAAATACACTTACACTAAGTCCTCACTTATAATATCTTTGTGTAATTATCTCGTATTACAAATTGTTTTTTGGTAGATGTTACTCCTTATATTTCTGCTTGACTCTGGAAGATTAAGTTAAATTAAATCAATATTACAACGTGGTACAGGTGAGTCTTATAATGCAGTGCAGCTTGTACAAGTACAAAACTCAATTTCTTTCTAAAAATTGGAGTCTCTGCATTGACTTTCTATGATGCCAAGTGCTGTATATCCCAGTCACACAGGAAAAGTGCAGTATAAAAGTGAAAGTCAGGAAACTAGAATATTGTGAAAAGTCTGTTTACTTCTGTAATTACACTTTAAGTTTGAACCTACTGTATGGCACTCACGAACAGTGAGATGAATCAAGCCTCTTTTGTTAAATTTGTTGATAATCGGCTCAACTTTTGAAGGGTATTCTAATTTTTTGAGTTTCACCTGTATATTAACTTATTGCTACGGGTTTATTGAGGCTTGTATTGAATATTAAGTCTTTTCATTTCTATTAAATGTAATTGAAAGTTTGTCTAGTAACTTTGTTCTAATAAAGCATCATTGCATTAATCCTGTGTTTTCTCTCTTACAGAAACTATTTCCCAGTGGACTGTGCCAGTGTATTCTCTCCAGAACATATTTGAGAAGGCTGACTGAAAAACCACTCGCTCGAGGCAGGAGAGGGCACATAACTTCTGCTTTTTTAACTGCAATGAAATTCTCCCACTTTTTGTATGGTCAGCCTTATGACAACTGTATTCCTTCTTCTCCAAGTTGTCTTGCTTTTTGAAAACGTATGTATGTAAAAAACAAAAAAAGGAGGGCGATGCATAAGCGTTTTATTAACTTTGGTAATGGGGAATTAACAAAAGAGTACCATGTGAAAACTGTTGGCCTTGTCACACATTACTGCACTAACTGTGCCAGAGATGCATCAATATTAGTCCATATGTTACTACTTTATAAGGATGTGTATTTGAAGACATCTTTCCTAAGTGACTTTGTTTTATATTCAGAGCTGCAAGCCTTCATATCCCCCATAATATATTCTACTTCCATTTTTGCATTTAATAAAGCAAAGACAAATTAGTATTTTATAGACTTGAGGGGGTGTGTGTGGTTTGGTGGTTGTCTTTGGCTCAAATATATAGTACTAAACCAAGTCTAATATTGCTTCTTGTGTTATCCTGTCACAGATGGTTTTCCAACTTTTATGAATGATTAAATTTTAGTACATTTTCATTACATAGTGTCATTTTTTCCTCTTTATACGGGATTGGGTCTTGTCATGTGTTAACAAAGTGTGCAGTTATGTTTTAATTTTAGAGTTATGCGGCTCGTATGGGCAGGCAGGAGGATACAAGCTTTGGGTATCGAAGATCACATTACAGCAAAAGCTAAACTATGAATGGAGGAAAGCACAATTGTGCAGATGTGGGACAGTCCCTGTCGAGCTCTCTGACCCTGCTGATGCTGTAAACCTCTTGTTCTCAAGTGTCTTTGCGCTGTTTACGCTCATTACTGCGGCTGATGGATGCGCAGTGTGAGTGGCATCTCTCGCATCCAGAGCCCGCTCCCCTCCTCCCTCAGCCTCCGCCTCCCCCCCCTTCCATCATTTTCCCGTCTCTTACTCACTCTCTTCCTTACAACAAACATGGCCGCGAAATCTGACGGTGCAGCCGTGTGTGAGCGCGTCGAGCCCCCGGAGAGGGCTCCCCGGGCCGAGGCGCGGCCTGTGCCCGAGCAGCGCTACTCTCTGCGGGACTTCTGCTGGACGCTGTGCGCTCTGCTCGTCTTCTTCTCGGACGGGGCCTCAGACCTGTGGCTGGCAGCGGACTACTACCTCCGCACAAACTACTGGTTCTTCGCCCTGACTCTGGTCTTTGTGGTCGTGCCCTCTCTGGTGGTGCAGGTGCTGAGTTTCCGATGGTTCGCCTTCGACTTCGTGGAGTCGGTGGACGGAGGCTCCGCTGCGGCTGTGGTGGGTGCAGGAGCGGAGCACACCGACCCCAGCCCCAAGGACAGCGGTGAACAGGGCGCTGTCCGCCCCGTAGCCAACGCACTGCTGCCCGGGACCACCGGGACCTCCGGGGGACGAGCTCAGAGCTGCTGCAGCGTGTGCGTGTGGCTCTTCCAGGGGCTCATCCATGTCTTTCAGCTGGCGCAGGTCTGGAGGTAAGCGGCTCCAGGAGCAGTGCACAGAGGTGGAAGTGGCAGACACCTGACTGTGGGGTTGAGCACAGCCTGATGCGCCCATTCACAAGAAATTGTTTAACACGTTTAAGGACAGATGCCCTGTACTTAAGCATCTATCTATTGTTTGACATTGTTCCTATGGCTTGGTGTGGATGACAAGACTCCACCCACTATCCCTCTGCCCTGATGGGCTTTTAGGTCAATAATCTCCTGAGGAAACGGTCAACTCATCCAAACCAATTGCCCTTTGCAGGAAAACGGAAATGTCTGTTTCTGTGCAGAGGATGTCAGTCTGACACAGATGAGTGCCTCTCCAGTATCTCCTGCCAGTGCATTAAGGCTTTTCCCATTATTCTTGAGCCAATCTTGGTAATCCCTATGTGTGTGTTCTGGACCCAGAGAGTCCAGCACTTTGGGACAGTGGGTCTGTGGGTCATGAGCTCTTATTACGGTTTTGACAGATGTGAACTGCTGCCAGCAGAAGGCAACCATCTAAGTGAACAGTCTGGGGAGAGGCTATTAAAGCTTTCAAAGAACATATGATGGATAAAGTCATTACTCATGTGGCCTAAAGGATTCATTCATTTTGATGATAAATGTGGCCTGTGTAGCCTCTGGTCTCTGCTGCTGTAGACAGCCTGAGCTTAAGCACACTGTATATTGATTTCTTATTTCCTCTTGGAGAGTTTGTGAGCTCACTAACAGAACAACTACACAACTTCATGCCTTTTAAAGCCTCAACTTCCTGTGTTAAGAGATGACAAGATGAATAAAAAAAACTTTATTGTCCCTGTTGGTAAATTTGGCTCTGCATCTGACCCATCCTTCCACTGCCACTGTAGGGAAGCCTGCCAGGAGTAGTACAGGGAGATTGATGCTTAGGACTGCCTTTTCTGGAGGGAGTTGCCTAGACTCAAGTATATATCATATAATTGTATCAATAATATTCCTGGTTTTCTAGGAATTAGTAAGGGTAATGATGAAAACGACAAAGGATGCGGGAGTCTGGGATTGTGTCTCAGCAGAAGACAGTTTTCACAGCATTCACTTGTTTAAGTAGGAAGCTTATAAGGAAGGTTTGAAAGATGCCTTTGACCTTCAAATAACCACAACATCAAGTTGAAAATCAGTGACTTTGGCAGACTGTTGTAATGACAAGTTCACTTTTCACACAATTGCACAAAAAGTCTTATAAAATATTCATAAGAAAATGCTTTTAAATAAAGTAACAGAATTGTATGTAACTCAAGACCAGACTTTCTTACTCTATGTCTGCACATTAAGAGGCTTATTGGTGTGTATTAGCCTCTGCTGCTAACTTGGGACTGATCTGTCACTGATACACTGCGTGGTGAGCCGGGATCAATTTTGGGCTGGACACCAGAATTAAATGTCAGTGCACGTGAGATGGGCCGAGGCTCATGTTACTGCTGTGCAAAACTCGCTGTGCATCCTCCCTCACTGTAAAAAAACAAGCATGTGTTTGATGCAATTGTGATCTTTACTGACGTAGACTATTTCTCCTGCTAACTAACATTCGATACTGGATTATAGATAGAACAGTAGGGCAGCAGGAATCCACTTTGAATTTATTATTGACAAAGTTATTGAAACAGTATGTGACTTTCTGGGGATGGAAAATCACCTGGATGATTCTGTGGACCATTCTTTATTGATTTTATCTTATTTAATTTTTTATGTATTTATTTGAATTTAGGACAGTACATATTCATCAATGTGTCTGCAAACAGCGTCAACAAAAATATGCTGGAATTAGCACAATAGCTAAAATGCATCCATGATATGTTTATAGTCAAAGGAACATTTCCATGGAAACAAACAGCAGTACGAGTCAAGGTTTCAACCACATCCCTTTTTATTTCTCTAAGCACCTGAAGAACCCACTATGGAGTAAATAAAGGAAATGATTAGTGTTATAGGGCATGAATGCATTAAATCAGCCATGTTTTTAGTGAAATGTGCTCTACAGGCTGTCAAAGAAGTCGCTGTGATTGCACCGAGACGCATACGCATTAGGATTGAACTGGAACTAATCCTGGACGAAACTAAATCCAAATGCAGTATTTAACAAGTATCTGTAGAAACTTTGTTGATAATATTCATGTACAGTGCAGTATGATAGAATACACTTAAAGCTGGGGAACCTGATTTCTCAACTGCAAATAAATATTGAGGTGTCAAAAGGGGGACGACAATTATTCCAGTGTATTTAATGTTTATGTAGGCTGTAATATGTACAATGCATATGTACTGTGTAATGGAGAGCACAGCAGAGGGCATGATGGGTAATGTAGTCTTTACTGGGTTTGAGGCCGCTGCTCAAGAACGGCCTAATAGTATGTTTATTTGCGGTAAAGTTAGTGCAATATACATGAAAAAATGATTAAAATAAAACAAATATTACAAACACGAGTTATTAGCTCATTCTGATGCCCAGGTTTAGTCTGAACAAAGCCGGTGCTGAAGATGGCAAAAAATGTGTTCAGTAATGATCGGTTTTGGCCATTACAGCAATATTAACATCGGTTATCGTATCGGCCCCAATTATAACATCAATGCATCTGTACTTTTGCAAATAGAAATAGAGGGATATCCACTCGGACAAACAGTTTTCAGCCTGCACTGTGTGTCAGACAGTGAATCTCAGAACTCCTCCCTCCCTATTTACGTGAAGACTATGTAGTGGTCTGATTGTTTTCAAAGTTACCCTAAGTATGGTCTCTTTTATCGATCACATCATGTTCATCGGTGTGCAGCTATAATCCATCCATGGTGTCCACAGGTACGTGCACGCGCTGTACCTGGGAGTGCAGAGTCGCTGGCACTCGGACCCGGAGCGCAGACACTACTTCTGGAGGATGATGTTTGAGAGCGCCGATATCAGCATGCTCCGTCTGCTGGAGTCCTTCCTCAAGAGCGCCCCCCAGCTGGTACTGCAGCTCAGCATCATCATCTACACCAACCGTGTGCTGCCGCTCCAGGGTGAGTCCCATCAGGAGCAAAAGAGCACTGACTGTGACATCATTCTCACTTCCAGGTTCTCAGCTGTGGAAACTTGGCGCTCTGTTTACACTTTTGTTCACATAATCAGATCCCAAGTGAATCTCTGTAAACCACTGGATCACATAAACAGACAAAATTAACAATATCTCACCCAAAAATTGACTTCTTTAGCACTCTTCAGCTAAATTATTTTGCAAATTGAATGTACATAAAGATAAATATTGAGAACTATAATATTTCACTATCAATTATGTGATTGATTGAATGTCATGATGTGAACTTTAACTTTGAACTTTAATTTTGCTCTCCTTCCTGTTCCATTGATGGTTTGCCCCGCTGTAATGTGATTCCCTCTGTATTTATACTCTGTGCTGTGTGTTCCCCACTTGTCCGTCCATTATCTAACCCACATTTGGTCCTGGCTTGTTTTTAGTTTTGGATTTGTGTGCTTCATTGTTACCCTGGATTTGGTTATATTTCATTAAATGACACCCTTTTCAGCCCTGCATTTTGTGTTCCTTTTTTCTTTTCATTTTTCCACATGATATAAGGAACCTAAAATTGCAGGACTGAAAGTATTTTTATTTGTTGTTTTGGACAAATGTATTAAAAAGACATATTTACTGACCTTTTGGGAACCAACAATTAATCGATAGCTTGGCCGATTATTCTATTGATTATCAAAATAAATATTAATTGCAGCCCTAAATGATAATATGGAAATTAAAGGTGTAAAGGAGGATTTTGCCGAACCAGAGGGAACACCTTTTAAAACGTGTATTGCATATCACCAGAATGATTGACAAATAAGAGGACCAATAGTTTAGATGACCCCTCTGAAGAAGAAAATCTTCCCATGGCCATGCACCTTTTAACTTCTGTTTATGTTTAAGGCTTATTATGTTTTTTTAATAAAACAAAGAAAAGCTCCAACTGCATAATTACCTGACATGTTTCACTTTATGTATATATCAAACAATACATGTTGTTATTCCATAAAATCAATAATTTTTATATCATCTTGAAATCTGGTGCTGTGCTGTATTTGCCGATACAGACAACGGTATCTGAACATCCCAGATTCATACTTAGTTATGTATGTTAATACCATCTGAAACTTCAGGCTGTTTTAATTCATATTGATTGCTCAACTAGCCCTAACCCTTGTAGACTCAGACCATGGGAGTGCACTGTAATTTCCACTATAATGGAAAGCATAATTTTAAAAAGTATTTTTCAATATTGTCTCTCCTCCAGGGCTGTCGGCCTCTGCTTCGCTGATCTCCCTCGCCTGGATGGTTGCATCGTATCAGAAAGTCCTGCGTGACAGTCGAGACGACAAGCTCTCCATGTCCTACAAGTCTGTGCTGGTGCAGATTCTGTGGCACCTTTTCTCCATTGGGGCGCGCACTCTGGCCTTCGCCCTGTTCGCCTCTGTGTTCCAACTCTACTTTGGCATTTTCATCGTCGCGCACTGGTGCATCATGACCTTCTGGATCATTCAGGGTGAAACCGACTTCTGCATGTCCAAGTGGGAAGAGATCATCTACAACATGATGGTGGGAATCGTCTATATCTTCTGCTGGTTCAGCGTTAGGGAGGGCCGCACTCGCTGCCGCCTGCTCATCTACAGCTTGACCGTTTTTGTCGAGAACGTGGCGCTAACTACGGCTTGGTACCTGCACCGCGGTTCAAGAATGTCCGATTTCTACGCCGTTGTTCTCGTGTGCGTGGTCGCGAGTAGTTACGCCCTGGGCACGTTTTTCATGTTTGTCTATTACTGCCTGTTGCACCCCGACGGACCTGTGTCAGGGTGGACTTATATCGTCGAAAAGGAAGTTCCAATTGTAGACATTGTGGCTTCTCCCGTTTCTAGCCATCCGCCTGACGTAGTAAGCAGCCCTCCCAGAACTCTGCAAAGAACTAAAGGCACAGAGCCGGGCTGTGGCATAGACGGAGACGTGTTCCAAGTTCGGGCTCTCCGCGGAGCTAAGGCCTTGGCACAACAACAGCAGCTCTCCCCCAGGACAGAGGGGCCAGTAATCCGGATAGACTTACCCAGAAAAAAGTACCCGGCTTGGGACGCACACTACATAGATCGCAGGCTGCGTAAAACCATCCTGGTGCTCGAGAGTGCCGCTCCGGTCACACCCAGGATACACTACCGCTGCCTGGGCACTGAGAAAGAGGTGATGGAGTACGAGACCACGGTGTGAAGACTTGACAAGGCTTAAAAACAGGCTTTGTGTTTAATTCCCTGTCACAAAAATGGCAGGGGGAGGTCTCTGCTTCGGGCCCATGGCGTACGGACCGGCCCTGTCGTGACCCACAGATGAAGAGTGGCCATACGGAAAACAGAAGTGTCTTTATTTGTGATGTTGGTGCGAGCAGCATTTTTATTGTTAGGTTTCCGTTTACTTTCTCAGGTCGAGGGTTGTTCAATGGGTTACGTTCAATGATAGAGTTTGATGTCATGATTTCAAAAAGACGGGAGCAAAAAAAGAACAGTCTGTATGGACTTACAGACAGCCTTATCGTTTCTATCTGACATTTAAACCTTAAATATAGAGCACAAGGTAAATCAGAAGGCTTTGCAGAACAAGAATAAAGCATTAAAACGTGCATTATGCAACTTTTATATGAAAGGAAAAGTTGAAATATTTGTATATTTGGCCTTCTAGTGACCCAGTTTCTGTACGAGTGGTCAGAACGGTGCCTTGGTTGTGTCTACAGTTGTGTCTACAGTGCTTCAGGATTGTTTGAATTGTATTGTTGTTTTCTGGTGTGGGGGTCCGTCAGCAGAGAAAACCTTCCAAACAATTGATCCTATAACATTGGAAAGTAAAGGTACCATGCTGACCACTAGTACAGACTCTGGGTCAGTACTAGGTCAATTATGCAAAAGATTTCAACTTTATTTCATATAAAAAACTTGCATAATGCCAAACAATTGCAACAATGACAAGTGCGGGCAAAGGTGATTTACATAATATTTACATATGAGAAGGTAGTCTATTCTTTTCCATAGAGATGAATTTTGACTGTTTAGGAGAACTGTAATCTTATTAGACACAGGTACAGCACGTTTTCTCTGCCCTATTGATCTCTGGTAAAATACCGGCAGACCATGTTATGACATCCTTGAACCCAACCTATCGGAACAGTAAATCTATTGAACTATGAAAGCACAGATGGCAGTGTGACTATCATTCAAATGCTGAGAGTTCAGGCACGTGTGATTTTGCGTGTTCAGACGGACGCACACCGGCCTTTATTGTGCATGACTATTTTATGGCAGCTACAACTTACAAAAAAAGCCGTAGAAGGTGTGTGAAAGTAGGAGCCTTGGTGAATTTTTAATGCAATCTACAGAAGCTACAGCACAAACATTGGACATTGTTTTTCCCAAAACGATTTGCTCTTTTTTATAGGTGCTGTGAGCAACTGTGAGTAACAACACCCTCTTATTGGCATCGTTAACATATTTTTCCTTCTTTGTGAATATGGCTTTAAACTTGGTACAAGCCCCATTACAGGAAAAATGGGTGTTTGTAAAGGTGATGTTATCAACTTTAAATGTATAATTTTCAAAGGAAAGCACATTATCAACAACCTGGTCCTGGCTTTTTACAGAGTAGTGTTATTATATTAATATGTTTAATATTGTGCCACCCCTTGGCATAACCTCCACCAGTATAATTTGCCTGGAGCAATTAAACCAATGGGGAGGGAACTTGTCTGTCATTTAGAGGAGTGAGGATATATCGGGCAGTTCTAATTGAATATTCTTTTCCCACATTTTGAAAAGTTACCAACTTTTACTTTAAAGGTACAATTTAACAATAACAACATCAGTAATGATATCACTGGTCGATACACAGCACACAACTACATCAGAAAACTTGCACAGCGCACCCTGAAAATACTGCCTCATTTGGAAAAGGGAACTTCAGTAACTTGTTTTGGGTTGAATGTAAAAAAAGAAAAAAAAAAGTTTAAGATGTGATTTTTTTGAGGGTCATCATGCTGCCATTAGGGGTCGTCAATTCCATTTGTGTGGTATGATATCTGTTCTGTCAAGGTAAGAAAAGAGAATTGTGTGTTTACAAGGTATCGCCTGTATTTAGGCCACCATCATTTTCAGGATGCACCTTTATTTAAACGTGTATTGCTTGTGTTGGACAACATCACAGTTCTTTCGGCCATATTCACTCAGTAGTGGAAAGGCTGAGGGGCACTTATATTTAACTCCATGTAAATGAAACTATTCAATAGAGAGGACACAGTGGGACAGCACTGTCTGCAATGTACTCTATCTGTTGTCTGAAAAAACTAAAATGATATACTTCAGACTCTCATAAGTAGGTTTGATATTAAGATACAGGCCTGTGATGCTGTGTTGAACATTGTTTTCAATAGAATAGTGACAAAGGGAACATTGTGTGTGTGGGTTCACATACCAGCATGTGTATGGTGTATGCAGAGGAGCAATCCCCTGCATATAAAACAAAAAGAACATGTTTAATTTGCAGATTAAAATGAGAAAAAAGGACTTGGTATATAAAGCACTACAATCTTTTCATTGCAGTAAAATAAATCTTGAGGCTCATCTGGTGCTAACGGTTTGAGATGACAAATGAACCACCTTATAGATACAGTAGTATGTATGAGAGTGGAGAGAGGAGCTGTACCTCAAACACAACACAGAAATCAAAGCCTTAAACTGCTGACACACACCAGACTGTGCTGTCCAGAGCACCGAGGTGACTATTACATACATCTGATGTTTCTGAATAAAGAACAATGTGTTTACTGGATTGGACTTTCTTTTATTGCAGATCTTTTAAGTGAGTGTGGCGCATTCAGGGACACCCCCTTATCTCGTAGCAGTAAAATCAAGGACGCTCACAGATAATGTCACTGTTTGAGATTCCATCCATCCATTTTCCATCCATTTTCTACCCTTTAATCCATTTCTGGGTCAGGGGGGTGGCAGTCAGAGATGCCACCCAAGTCTCATAGCACCAGCCCCTCACTGACCCTCTGCAGGTGGTGAGTCCACAGGAGGACGGCTGCTCTCTGAGTGTGAGCATAGCCTTGATCTTTCAGCGGGGGCTTTGGGCAAAGTGGGGTTAAGTGTCTTGCCCAAGGACACAACGACAGCAGTCATCAGTGGGAGTCGGTGGAGAAGGTGTAGAGGTGGGAATTGAACCCACAACCTTCTGGCCAATGCTCTACCAACTGAGCTAATGTCGCCCCAGAACTGTTTGAGATTACAATTCCCAAATGCTGTGAAAAGGCCCTCAACACTTTGTGAATGTATTTTATCTACTTATCAATTTGAGGCCTCTGATGTAATACTTAAACGAGTTTAAACGTCTTGAGAGTTCTGTAACAGGATTCAGAATCACTTAATATTCACAGTATATGGAATCACCAAATAAACATATTTTCTTTTATATTTATAACATAATATCGGCTCAACCCATGCTGGTAGGTTTACACAGCAACCAATCAGATTCAAGTTCTAACACCTTTCCGTGTGCGTGAGCCAATAGTAGCGCTGATCTGAGAGTAGGGGCGGGGCCTATGTCGCATTACCGGAACACCACTGTCTCTGGGCTCGGCAGTTTGTAATGGCGGCCGCGGTGTGCGGTCCGCACTACCCCGGTAAAGCCCCCAAAGCGCCCAGAGCCCCCAAGACCCTGGAGCAGAGGCGCAAGGCCCGGGACTCTCGGCGCAGACAGGCGGCCCTGTCGTTTCTCACTAACATCTCTCTGGACGGGCGCCCGCAGGATGCCGCCGGAGCACTCCGCGACTCTGGGAGTTCTGAGCCCGTGTGTTCACCCGCAGCCAGCGGGGCGAACAGCACCGAGCTGTGCGCCACCAGCAGCAGCTCTGCCTCCAGTGTGTCCGGCCTCACGGCTCCACCGAGAGCCTCTCTGCTGCTGAGCCCTGCCCCCGCGGGCCCTGCGCTGACTGTGGGGGCTAACGAGGTGTTTTTAGAGTCGGAGTGTGTGCTGCCCGAGGTCTCCCTGAACCCCATGTCCCCCGTATCCGCTGTGTCTTTGGGACAGACGTCTCTGTCCCGGGTCAAGACCTCCGCTCTGAGCCCGACCCCCGGCTCCAGTGTGCTGGACGCGCATAGGAGGTGAGTCTAGACCAGTGCTCACACTAGTCATGACAAAAAGAACCCCAGGCTGTGTGTAAACAGAATTGATTTCCCGTTTTCAGGTCAAGAAATGTTTCTGGGTCTCCTGGACCCAAGGTGCCAAAGAAAGTCCATTTTATCAAGAGTATAAGGCAGTATGACACCAGAGGGTGTAGGTGAGTGATGCTTAGCACGCAGACACTGACTTTCCTGGACTTACAACAGACTGGTTTCATTTGGGAAAATTTGGAGTCAGCAGTGGCTCGTTCATTCGGCCGATGTTGTAATAAGCTGATTATCCATGGCACTGCTCAGATGCAGAAGAGGCACAGCTGCTTTAGAGCGATTGCTACGGTGAACTTAATCACCCTTAGAAGCTTAACACATGCCTAGAAAGGTGCAGAGTGGAAATCCAACACCATATTGCATCAACAGTGAAGTAACGCCAATGACAACAAGCCTAAAATGCCACAGGGAATGGGGAGTATGCCAGTGACTCAATGAATGGATTGTGCTGTATTTAAGCATATGTGCAATGTATACATTCACTCAAACATGAGTTAGACAAAAATCTAACTTTTTTTTGATGCCACTCCATGTCCACCTGCATGTCACCACAATTTGTGTGTCATATTGTTCCTATGTTATGCATCATAACACCATGTGCTGTTCTCATTTACCCAAAGGTCTGACAGTCGTTGGAAGTCCTTCTTGTAGGCTGCACACTCTGGTTGTGTCTTGATTGTTTAGATGAGTTGATTTAGTGAGTGATAAGGAATTATTGTGAGGGAGCTTAGGAAGAACACATGTCTGGTGTAGGTGTGACGTGAATAGTTTTTTTTTTGTTATTGATTTATACGGTGATATTTTCTAAATGGCTGAATACAATCTTGCTTATTCAGCTCATGATGATACCCCTTGCACAAATGTGTAGGTTGATAACTTAAACCTGTCCTACTGTCCACGGACTGGATGCTAAGTAGGACTTGTTCGCTGTATTGGTATGGCACTGGTTATCATGCTACTTGGTTGCCAGTTCAGTCCCCACTCCGACCAGTGTATTGAGAAAAACTACTGTCATCTATGTCCCTGGTCAATCCCATGAGAGATCAAGGAAGGGAATGAATCCAAGACTTGTTCACCTTTAGGTGGGTCGATTGTACGTTGAAAAACTGCTTCAGTCATCCCTGTCCTCTGGAGTTGTGGTGCCTTGCCTGTAGTTGTGTAGATGCGGTGGATAACGGTGTGTAGACTGACCCGTCTGTCATGTGTTTTGTCTGCTGTACTGCTGTGTCCCCAGGATCATGCTGATTTGTGCCAAGAGGTCGCTCTATGCTGCTTTCTCAGTGCTGCCATATGGAGAGAGTGCTTACCTCAGGTACAAAGAGCTCCATCCCATCTTCATTGTCCTGTGTTCAACGACCACAACTGTCTTTTCGTTTCCATGTTGATTCACTTCATTTGAATTCAGATATTTGTCATTCATATTGGGTTTTTGATCGAGGTCTACAGTCATTTGTGGTGTGGAGTTCAGAAGAGGCAGTAATGTGACCAATGTGATTTTTTTTTTGGAGCTGAGTTTTATGTGTTCTATGGTTTATGGTGTACTTTGTCAAACGAACACAATAAAAATGAAATCCTAATCAATTTTATAATGAGAAATGAAAGTGTATGTTTTATATAGGACTATTTATATCATATGCCTCTTTCTGATGACCTGTGCTCTTCTGAACAGTGAGACAAAAGTGGACTCTCACAGACAGAGACTCTCTTCTGTGGTCACTGTCGATCTGATGCCGTCGCTGGAAGGAATGGAGACGGATTTAACAGGAAAGGTAAACTTATTTATTTACACAAGAAAAATGTTTTAATTCTATGATCGATTGTCAGCTGCACTAGAAACACAAAACAATGATCTGTCGACCCTTACACACAGTATTAGCGAAATATTTATCAATAGGTAAAATTATTTATCAAAGACAAGAAAAAGGTCCTTAAGTGTGACTGTGTAATAACATTGTTTTTGTGTCATGTCAGACGATCTCATACGCTCAGTTCCTGTATCCGACCAATGCTCTGGTGAGACAGAGGAGCCTCCCAGAATCCACCACCACACAAACGCCCCAGTCACGGTTCCGTGGCAACAGTCAACAGAAAGGAGTTACCCCCCGCGTTCAGAGCACTGGACCACAAGACACAAGTACAAACCTGAGCTACTTTCTACAGTCTATATGCAGTTTACGTCTACAGACGGAATAGTCACTCACCCTCACTATTCCTTACAATATGGGGGTCGAACCATTTCATGGGGTAAAGAACCTGTGCTCTCTGATTTCCGAATTGCCTGTCAGTGCACTATATAGTCCTCCAGTTTGAGACGAGATTTTGTGAATGAGGGGTTTGTGAATGGGTAACATTCAGACTAGGGGTGGGCGATATATCGAGATACTGTTTAAGCTTGATATGAATTTTGACATATCAAATATGATTATATTTAACTTTCGCCCCTTTGTTCCCTGCTTCCTCTGCTCTTTTTCATTTAATTCTTTCCATCATGCGCAGCTCCTGTGGGTCTGAGTGTGACTGTGGCTTGTGTTTTCAGACTCTGAGGAGACAGAATATGACCCTAACCTGCTCAGTGACCCACAGTGGCCCTGTGGCAGACACAAGAGGGTGCTGGTCTTTGCCTCACACTTGGTAAGTCGCCACTAAAATACTACACAATCACGTGTCTGTAACCGAGTGCGACCCGCAGTCACTGGTGGCACTGGGCTTACTATAATAAAAGGCCCAATAGTTTATAGATGTACTGCCTCCTGTGTCTCTGCAGATGACGGTAATCGAGTACGCCAAACCTTCAGACCTGAAGAAGAACATGAACGAAATCTTCAAAGAGCGCTTTCCCCACATCAAACTCACACTTAGCAAAATAAGGAGGTGCGTGAGCATGAAATACTCTAGTACTCTTGTAATACCCCAGTACTAGAGCATTGATTGAATTCCACAAGTACTAGTTCTAGTTCATGTTTAATACTTGAGTACTGTTGTAATACTCCAGTACTCTAGTGTACTTGTAGTAACAGCCTTAGTGATGTGCTTTCAGCCTGAAGAGGGAAATGCGCGCCGTGAGTGAGGAGTGCGGACTGCAGCCGGTTACCATAGCGATGGCGTTTGTTTACTTTGAGAAGCTGGTGCTGCAGGGCAGACTGAACAAGCAGAACAGGAAGCTGGTGGCGGCGGCCTGCGTTCTGCTCGCAGCCAAGATCAGCAGCGACTTGAGGAAACCAGAAGTCAAACAGCTCCTCGACGTAAGAGACACACATTTCAGCACATTCTGTTTATGAGCAACAAAAATTAGAAAGGTATGACTATAGCACCCACCCAGCTATACTATGGTAACTATAGCACCCACCCAGCTATACTATGGTAACTATAGCACCCACCCAGCTATACTATGGTAACTATAGCACCCACCCAGCTATACTATGGTAACTATAGCACCCACCCAGCTATACTATGGTAACTATAGAACCCACCCAGCTATACTATGGTAACTATACCACCCACCCAGCTATACTATGGTAACTATAGCACCCACCCAGCTATACTATTTTAATTTGAACTTGAATCAAACTGTAAATACGTCTAAATGTAATGTGTTTGTTGCGCAGAAGCTGGAGGAGCGTTTCCGGATCAACAGACGGGAGCTGGTTCCTCTGGAGTTCCCGGTGCTGGTTGCCCTGGAGATGGGACTGTACCTCCCAGAGAGTAAAGTCATGCCCCACTACCGCAGACTGGTGCTGCAGGCATAGACCAGCCGGACATCCATAAAAACTGCTCCAGATCTATTGTTGTTCCATGTTCCTCCAGACCCAGGTTTTTAAGACTTGAACACAAGCCTCAGTTCTGCTTTAGACCTTAAACTCACTGTAATCACCCGACCTCACTGCAAAATGACTATTTACATTTTGAAAGACTTGAATACAGATTATGGCCTTTTGATTAGATTTAATTCACTGCTTTGAAAATGTGAGTATTTAACAATCGCTTGGAATACAACTGTAACTTTGGCGGTGAGATCAGGTCCTTATTTTTCTTCCTCCATTGGTTTAAACAAGATTAAACAAAAAATGTTTTGAAATATAGGATTCAATTTGGTGAATTACTGATAACTCTTAAATACACATGAATTCAAGTAATTTCAAATGTGTAAGTGTTTGGTGTTGGTGTAAGTGTGGTATTTGGAGCGTGGCTCTCTGTCCTGAACCCTGTCCAACACGTGTGCAGTTGTGTGGACTGACTCATGAGCTCTATGTTAGAGTTTACTCGGCACGTTACTTGTGCTTTTATTTAACGATCAGGTGACATGTGTCTTTTTGGTACAATTCTTTGTCATCTGCCCCTTTCCAACGATCGCACAGTTCAAATCCTATTTATTCGTAGTTTGTCGACAGAACACTGTAGATTTTTCACTCGTCGCCACAGTGACGCCAGTTTTCACGTATCTAGATGGAGAAGTGACCTTTTTTTGATGTGTTTCACGTGTTTACGATTTTAATCTGTGTAAAATGCACTGAAATGTGGAGATAAAGTACGCTATTTTGTTCAGAAACGGTACAAATATGGACTCTGTGTTTGAGAACAATGTTAAATCAAAGCAACATTTTTTTATTCAGTTGAGTCGTTCTCAATGTTGCAGATTACATTATGCAGAAGGTGATAAAAACACATTCTCAAATTAAAAGTAGCAATCTTTTCCCTTAGATCCAAAGCACAAAGGATAGGACGTCTTCTGTTTGGAGTTCATACTTGATGAGGAAGTAGCATAATACTTATTCTATTTATATCTTTATAAATATTCCCAACTGTACTGCAACATGTTCATCTGTTGTATGTGCCATATGTTCTTTTCTCAGGAATTCTGTTTTGAAAGACATGAAAGAAATGTTAAGATTATTATTTATACCAGTTTGTTCAGTCTTTCATTAAAAGTGCAATTTCAATACAGTTCAATTGTAATGTACTCTGTGTGTTCTTACTGCAGTGTTGAAGGGGGTCTGTAGTTTTGCCTTTAACAACATATTTATTCATGAGTTTTTGTGGTTCTTGTTCTGTTTTGTATGTGCTTAATGACAATGGTCTTTCTGAAAGTCCTGTACATGTGTCAAATGTGAGAATTCACCATTCCAAAATGAAGATTTTTTTAAACAGGATTTGTCTTGTGTGTAATTATTTTAGTTTCACTCTTGAAGATTTCAGTTCATTATTTAATCTGGTAGAACAAACATAGCACCCCAACGCGCGCTCTGAGGACGAGCTCCAGCTCGTGGTTCCTAAGACGAAACGTAAAACTCGAGGGGACAGAGCGTTCTCCGTCGTCGGCCCTAAGCTGTGGAACGCTCTGCCCCTCCACGTCCGAACAGCCACAACATTGGAGTGTTTTAAATCTCGTCTTAAAACCCACTTTTATTCTCTGGCTTTTAACACCGCGTGAGTTGTGTGGTCCCTGTGTCTTTTTAATTTTTTTTCTGTTTTATGATTTTTATTGATTTTATAAATTATTTATTTTTTATTCTATTTTTTGTGTACTTTTTTGTGCAGCACTTTGGAACTGTTCTGTTGTTTAAATGTGCTATAGAAATAAAGTGGATTGGATTGGATTGGATACGACCGTAGCTGACATGCGCACCGTCAGCCTCACATTAGAATTCTTTGTCACAATAATAAATAATCTGTTACTGTCAGCAGTCAGTGAATAATTTAAGAGGTATAATATTTAAATTAGTTTTGTTTGGATTAATCATCAAAGTTATGTATCTGGATCTCTTTAATCCTAATCCAAACTCATGTCTTCATCGTCGTCTTTCTTGTCCTTGAATCCCTCCAGGTCCGACTTGGTTTCGGTTTCCATCGCTTTTGCAAACGCCTCCAGGTCTGCAGGAAAAATATATAAAAACTCATTCAGTATTTATGGACCATTTTTCCATACCAGAAGTTATTACCTAATGCAAATAAACAGGCCTCATATTGTTTTTAAATACTTGTATATAACTTAGAACATTTATAAAAACCATCTTTTTAAAGCAGTATGTATGCACTCCTCGTTCAAGCTGTGAATTTGGGCAGAGCGCTGTTTCCACCTCTAAATTAAGATCAGGAGATTGTTTATTCATCCCACAGTGAGGACATTTCAGTGTTGCCTCACCAGTTACAGGGCAGTAGGAATGAGGACCCCACAGCACAAGACGGGAACGATAACTCTGTGCTTGTGCTAAAATCAAATAAAATCTCTAACTTTAGCCTAATAAATGAGCAAGTATAGCCATCTTTGTGACATTGTGCTGCTCTGTGAATGCGTTTGTGAATCGTGTTACACCTGTTCTCACACTGACCTCCTTTGTTCGCTGCGTCCACGGCCTCCGGGGGCAAACCGAACTGATTCATCAAAGGCCCCAGCTGCCCCGACGCCAGAGCACTGCTGAACAAGCTCAAGGCCTGAACACGGTCAAAAGACACATATGAGACGTACGAGGAGACAGACGCTCGGGGACAAAACTCAGAAAATGTAATTAGGTCGATATTCTGCTCCGCACTCAGCTCCAGGACAGCGCCACGATAAATGTCACTCTTTAGTCGGGACGTGGTGGTGCTAAAGAACAGAGCAGTCATTTCATTCAATTACAGGCCTATCTCTTAAAGGAAACATCTGTAGTTTTTAAAAAGTGATGAAGTATAATTTACGAGCTTGTCAGTCATGTCAGTTCAATTCAATGTATTTCAATGTATTCTTTTACAGCCCTAAATCACAAAGGTATATATCTCGGACTTCAAGGAATAGGCCACCGTTTTTACATACTGACATATGTTCTTACCTTAGACTAGTTTATATGTACCTGTCTGGTCTTTGTCCGTGCGCTCTGTCATGCAAATGGAGCACAAACGCAGCCTCTTCCACAGACTGTATAGTACCAAATCAGCCCCCCGTTAGAAGCTACCAAACTCTTCCACGTGTTCCCTATTTAAATACAGTTACGTGACGTGTTACACTACAAAGTATAGTAACACAGAAATGTAACATGTCGATTTTCTCAGCGGATAAAAAGGGGTACTATATTGTGAGGCGTAATAATACGAGGAGCACTACGTCCGCGCACTAACCAGACAGGTACATATCAACTAATCTAAGGTAAGGTAAGAACATATGTCAGTATGTAAAAACGGTGGCCTATTCCTTTAACACAACCATTGAATTCACCAACACAGATCAGAGAATCAAATCGCTCAACACAAGAAATGCAACAATAAAAACACATAGAGCCATTGGTCCATGAAGGGCAGAAGACCAATGTCCATACATTTTGGTAAATGTCCATAAATGTCGAGCACACTGACAATAAAGAACAGCAGGCTACTAGTACCAGTTTCAGATTTTAAAAAAAAAGATTCTTGTAGCATAAATCTTACATTCTCAACAATTAGCTTTTGAGAGGAAAATGAGAAGGGAAAGTTGATCTCACACTATTCTGTCTCTTTTCAAACCCACTGAATGTTTGAAATACCGACCTGCTGAAACTGTGGAGATGTGACTGTGTTGTGGAGCTCCTCAGGGCTTTGTGGCAGCGATTCGCCGCTGGGCAGGTACGGCAGCAGCCTCTGTTGCACCTCCGGGTCGACCAGGATCGGCGCCATCACCTCAGGGGTCAGAACACTGGCCAAGTCCACTGCAACAGACACAAGATACATGCTATATCTGCTGTTTACCTTATCTTTTGTGTGTCCTACTTTTCCTACTATAATAAACTTTTAGTCCAGAGCCACGGTATGATCTTTAACACGATGCCTCTTGGTTCGAGGCATCGAATCAGAGCGGCCTGTTTGTGTCAGGGAGGTGTTCCTAGTGACGTGTCGAGGCAAATGTGAGCATTCGTCAGTCAACTGAGTCCTGCCTCTGTCCCCCGCAGTCCTGGTTAGGTTTCCTTAGTAACCTTTCCTGCCCCTGTGCTGCCTCAGTCCTGCCTCAGTCCTGCTCCAGTCCTGCCTAGGTTTCCATAGTAACCTATAACCTATAGGCTATAACCTAAGCCTCTTCTGTTCAATCTCTACATGCTGCCGCTAGGTTAGTTAATACGCAGAAACGAAGTGTCCTACAGTATCATAACTATGCAGACGACACTCAGATCTATGTCTCACTGACTGCAGGAGAACATGGACCAGTGGACTCACTCCTTCACTGTATCCAACAGATCAGTGAGTGGATGCAAAACAACTTCCTTCAGCTAAACGCAGACAAAACTGAAATTATTGTCTTTGGTTCCCAGAAACAAAGAGAGCGTCATCTGTCACCTACAGTCTCTCTCCCTAAAACCTTCAAACAAGGTCAGAAATCTAGGGGTAATACTGGACTCAGACTTAAATTTTAATAGCCACATCAAATCAGTAACATCAGCAGCTTTTTACCATCTAAAAAACATTGCCAGGATCAAAAACATAGTGTCTAAAGCAGACTTGGAGATTCTTATCCATGCATTTGTCTCCAGTAGGTTAGACTACTGCAATGGCCTGCTCACAGGTCTGTCCAAACAGGCTGTAAAACAGCTGCAGTACATTCAAAATGCAGCAGCTCGAGTCCTGACTAGAACCAGGAAGTACGACCACATTAGTCCAGTTCTCAGGTCTCTGCACTGGCTTCCTGTGGCTCAGAGAATAGACTTTAAAACAGCTCTGCTTGTGTACAAGTCTCTCCATGACCTCGCACCAAAATATATTAGTGACATGTTAGTCCCATATGAACCAGCCCGGACTCTGAGGAGCACAGGGACTGGACTCCTGTTAGTGCCCAGAGTCAGAACTAAACATGGGGAGGCTGCTTTTCAGATTCATGCTGCTAAAATCTGGAACAATCTTCCTGAAGATGTGAGACAGGCCTCCTCTCTGACAATGTTTAAAACCAGGTTAAAAACAGTTCTGTTTAGCTGTGCATACAACTGAGGGATTGTATATTTTTATCTTCCTTTTTAATGTTCTGTGATTATTTATGATTTTAATGCTTTCTTGTTTTGTTCAGCACTTTGAGTTGCCTTGTGTATGAATTGTGCTATACAAATAAACTTGCCTTGCCTTGCCTTAGGCTTCCATAATAACCTGTCCTGCCCTGCCTGTCCAGCCCTGCCCCAGCACTGCCCCAGCCCTGCCCCAGTCCTAGTTCAGTCTTGCCTAGGTTTCCATAGTAACCTATAGGTTTCCATAATAACCTGTCGCGCGCTGCCTGTCCAGTCCTGCCTCTGTCCTGCCCCAGTCCTGCCCCAGTCACGCCTCAGTCCTGCCCCAGTCCTGCCTCAGTCCTGCCTCAGTCCTGCCTCAGTCCTGCCTCAGTCCTGCCTCAGTCCTGCCTCAGTCCTGCCTCAGTCACGCCCCAGTCCTGCCTCAGTCACGCCTCAGTCCTGCCCCAGTCCTGCCCCAGTCCTGCCTCAGTCCTGCCTCAGTCCTGCCTCAGTCCTGCCTCAGTTCTGCCTCAGTTCTGCCTCAGTCCTGCCTCAGTCACGCCTCAGTCACGCCCCAGTCCTGCCTCAGTCCCGCCTCAGTCACGCCTCAGTCCTGCCCTAGTCCTGCCCCAGTCCTGGTGTAGCTGCCGTAGCGCTCTCACCTCCCTGTGCAGACGCGGGCACGTTCATGGTGGCCAGGATGCTCTGCAGGTCCCGCAGCTGGATGGGCTGAGTGCTGGGGGTTGCAGAGAGAGGGGGGACAGCGGGCGTGGAGGGGGAGGAGGCTGGGGGGGAGGAGGCCGTGGCTGCAGAGGGGGTGATTGGTGTGGTGGGCACCTGAGAAGATCCCAGACGACTCACACTGGAGCTGGAGGTCGGAGTCACCGCCGTGGAGGGGCTGAGGAGGACACACGACTCATTCTTCAGATCATTCATGACTAGTGTTTATCCAGTCTAGTATCTTCAAATAAAAAGTGAAGTTGAATGCAAGAGTGAGTTTTATTAATTATCTTTTAACCACGTTAGAATGTTTTCACTTCACATTTATCCATCCATCCATGTTCTTTCTGCTAGTTCGCCGTTGCGGGGTCACCAGTCTGAGCTTCCCAATCCACTCACACCTCCAGCTCATCCGGGGGAATCCTGTGACATAGTACCTCCAACGTGTCCTGGGTCTTCTCCCTTTATCCCCCTCAAATTTCAGTATTGGAACACACAGTTCAAAAACAGTAGGACTGCAGACATTGTCACAACTAGACCACGATTACAGACCGTTTTCGGGCAGGATCTGCTTTTACCTCCACTCACTCATGTGTTGTTGCCTTCACTGTGATTGGCTTAAATATTGTGCACAGTTGAAAACATTTGGCAGTAAAACATGTGTTTTTCTCAAACCAGTTACGATGTTTTTATTATTTTTATTTTTATCTTGACAAAAAAAAAAAAATAATAAGTTGTACATTGACATCAGACGATATGGGACCAAAAATGTGATCAATTTTGTCCCCCAGATCCAGTCCTGGGTTACGAATGCAAAGGATAGCATTTTACTGTAAGATCAAGGCTTTCTGTTTTATATAATGTCTAATATGCTGCTAAAGTTTTTCTAAAATGATTTTACAACTGTCATCCACAGTCTGACAATATCATTGGTCACTTTTGCAATTAAACCTGAATTTCCAACAAACCTGGTGGAGGAGTTACTGGCTGCTGGAACACTGCTGCTGCTGCTGCTGCTGCTGCCCCCGAGGAGGTTGGCCAGTCCTGGACCGGCTAACGCCCCGAGACCCCCTACGTGAACCACCCAGGGGTCAGTCATCAGTGGAAAATGGATTTTATATCGAGAGCAAAGCTACAGTATTTGTCTCACCGATGCCTCCGAGTCCAGTGGGTCCAATAAGCTGCATGAGCTGATTGTGGCTCATGTTTCCCAGCAGGCTTTGCAGGCCGCCCTCTCCTGCACAAAAAACACACAAGAATGTTTCATAAGTGCAACAAACAGATGAAACTTGGCAAAGTTCAATTATTTCTGTAATTCAACATGAAATCTGAAATCAATATATGATATAGACTCACTATACATGGCACATGCAAAGACTTTGTTATAATCTTGATTGTGTCTTACAGCTCAATTTCTAAATATATAAAAAAAAAAATCACCTCAGAAAATGAAAATATTCTTATTTTCTGAAGTGTTTTATTTGTTTTATTTTTTAAAGCTGTGAACCAATTATCAACAGCCAAATATACTGTACCTTATTTTTTCTCACTTGTGTAAAAAGTCAGTCATATAGACAGACCACCACCGACCATTCACACACACAAGACTCATAGGCAATGTGGGTGAAGTGTCTTGCATAAGGACACAACGACAGTTTGGCACTTTACAGCCGCAGCCGCCCCACTGTGGCACCTGGTGTTCCAGAGGACTCCCATCACAGTATTAACCAGGCCCTGTTCCGCTTAGCATCAAGAACGCTGTGGCCACGGAAGATGCAGAATCCCGTTCGAGTTAATACAGCAAACAACAAGTGCCCCGCTGTCACGCGCCCTCGAACATTTCTCACTGGACTGACACAGTTCACAAAAATGCTTTTGTGGTTAGAAACGCACACATCTGCTGCAGCGCTCACAGAAGCACCATAAGCTTTCCTAATTCAGATGAAAGGAAACAGGAAAGACATAGAAGATGGACAAGCACCTGTGTCTCAGCAGGCGGAAATAGAGTATTCCAATATGGACTCCTCCTCTGGGCACTGCAGCAGATCGTCTTGACCATGTCTACAGCCTAAATGCATTGAGTTGCTGCCATGTGATTGGCTGATCAGGAATTTGCATTCAAGAGGAGTTGGATAGATTTTCTAATAAAGTGGCGGGTGAGTGAATATTCTAATTCTCACAACTCCTTCAACCCTAACCCTCCCCTAACTATATCTAAACACTACTAAAAGTCTATGCAGTGAGTGATTTACCTCCCAGAGCAGAAAGGTCGTGTCCTCCTCCTCCACCACTGCCCAGAGCTCCGGGTATTGGAGGATTATTCAAATATTCATTCACTTTACGGCAGAACTCCTCATCCTTGTCTGTCTTGGGCTCCTGAAAGCACAATTACACCGATTGATCTCTCAGAATAATGCAAGTGATCCAGAAAAAAAAAGAAAAGAAAAAGAGATGCATGAGATATTGTCTTTTCACATCATAAAGACTTTGTACCTGCATCCAAAAGAACAGTCTCTTAGATCCAGCTTTAAACTTGAGCACGTACACTCGTCCTGTGGTGCACTGGCTCACTCTTTTGAACTCACAGTCATCAGGGAAAATTATCAGGTCCTAAAAGCAAATAAAAGTTAGATGGTCCAAAACAATAATATATTTGTCGATATGTGTCAAAATGCCAGAACATTATTGAACCACAAATAAATAACATTAAATCAATAGTACACACATGTTGTTTAAGCTTGCAGAGTAAATACAGAAATAACTACAAAAAGGAGTTGTTTAAGTACTGGTATCAAAAAGCAGGTCCTGTTAAAGGTATATAGGAGGATGTTCCCAAATTTTAGGAAAGAACTGCCCTCTCCAGAGGCAACACCTACTAAAACATATCACCAGAATGATTGATGAACCACCGGGAAGAAGAAAATCTTCCCATATACACAAGTGGAAAGGAATTCATATAATTGTGTAAATGTAAAAGTAGTTATTATGACAACATTTAATGACAACTAATTGATTAATTGCAACAATTTTTTTTCAATAATTGACAACTAATTTAGTAATCAATGAATTGACTTTATACAAAAGTCAGCACATTTTGAGGAAGACATGTTATTTTTACACATAAAGAGGGAAGTAATTGTATCAAAATCTTGTTCTCTAACGTCATATTCTTTAAATTATAAAAATGTTGGTTCTAGATTTTTTTTTTTTTTTTAATGCCACTGGCAGTGATTTTACTTCAGCTTTATCTGGCTAAAACTGAAAGAAAATATCTGCATTCTTAACAACTAATTCATTAATCAAAACAATAGTGAATAACTTTTTCAATGTGATAAAACAGTTGATTACTCGATAAATCAAATCCAAAGGAATTAATTGATAGAATCCAGGATTACAAAGATAATATCTGCGCATCTAAAGCCATCAAAACAAGACATAAAGTAACATTATGGCGGTGTCTTGTCAGAGCGACTCTGGACCCACGTCGTCCACGTTCCCCGTGGTGCGGTCCTTCCAGCAGAAGTGGATGAGCGAGTCGTCCGTCTGCTGCACGTACACTTGTCCTTTCCGTTTGTCGGGCGTCACCGTGCTGCCCTTCATCGACATCTTCCCCGCTCTGAACTCCACCAGGTATTTACTGGACGAGCCCCGAGAGCCGGACACCAGGCTGGGGAAGAGGGCCCCAGACGCCATGCTGCTCCGTCAGAAACAGAGGAAGGAGAAATTTACATAGAAGCACAGTCTAAACCATTGTGTCATTTATCACGACAAACTGAATAGTGACAAGATTAAAAACAGTGTTCTTCGTTGACTTCAATTAAACAAAAAAAGAGAACTGCAATTAAAATACAAATAAATACAATAAGTAGTACTTATTCATATTTGCCCATTGAATAAATCTTTATTTTCCGTTTTTCAAATGATGAAGTGGTCTAGCTGAATACAAATGTATACTTTTTTTCCTATCTATGAAAACTAACATAAAAAAAATAAACAATATTGTCCGGATATCTTGGCCTTTACAGACCACCTGTTCTGCCCAAATGTCTCTTCTGAAGACCATTATACAGCTGCACTTATATTATCTACTATTTTGTGAGCAATCAACTTTAATTCAGAAAAACTGTGCCATCTTCTTTGATGTTATAACTGGTTATAATTGTGCTATACAATCAAACTAAACTGAATAATTCCTACTCAGTACAAAGCAAATATGTAAAACACAACTCACTATGTGTGACTGTATCATAGACTGAATACATCTACAGTGACAGTATATGGAGTGACCAGTGTGAAGAATGTCCAAATCTGTCATCTTTAATTGGCTTTTGATCTTAAAGAACAGCTTTTGGAACATTCTGACACAACACTAGTTTGTGCCCTGAGCCTAAATGAACAAACACAATAGAAATGCTTATGTCAGCTTATCAATACAGAGCTACAAACATAGAAATATTGCTTTTTTGAGCTGTTACTATTATGAGAATAGTACAAAACAACATTTCTGCAGGAACAGATCTACATTCATTGGTTATTTGTCTTAATTCCAACAAATTGGGTTGTCCATGTTTTCTGTCTCCATCACTAGACGCAGAGATGACTCCGCATCCCAAAACTGCATCTGCAAATTATGAGCTAAAAATTCACGTTTATTCACGAAACACAATAATCGCATGGACAACAGCAGAACGTACGAACAAAAACAGTAAAAACAATATAAAATAAACATATACAATACTCACATAGCTGTTTATAACGTTGTAGTCACCCGCGATGGTCTTTGGTGAAGATGCTTCCTGTTTGGCTACATGGAATCAGAGCTGGGCTGTGATTGGTCAATGTATCTGTCAATCTAAAGGCGTCGTTCAGTTAGGTTGACAGAGCATAGTTTATTTCCTAATATTTACAGTCTGTGGTTGGTCTGCAGATCAAATTAACACCTTGAATGGATAGTAGCTATGCATGTATAATAGATATTAGCCAGAAGAAGAATAATCTAGGACTAACTTAGATATTAAAGGTCCAGACACATGTACCACTGTATCAATCTGAATACATTCAATCATGTACAACTATGTATGTATATCTGGGCTTAAAAGAAGGTGACACAATAATAGTTTGTAACAGTTAATTATTTATTAAATAAGTGAGGGTTTGTTTGACAGAGGCTGTACATATAGTAATGAGCAGCTTTTCGTGGCTGCAGTTGTCACAAAGTGCTTTGACTTCAGCTCATTCAGAACACCACTTTACAGGACCGAGAAGTTATGAGGATTATTGGCAAAAGAATCTGGGGCACTTTACATCATTTCATTTGTAACGTAGTTTTAGAGCCGTTTTGACACAAAAAATATAATTGTTTGAAAAAAAAACATGTGTTAATAAATAGAATGATTAATATCTGCGTAATCCCCATTTATATTCAACTGGCACAGACCAACACAACCTGTACGTTGTGTGTTGAATGTTATTTGAGTGAATTATTGTTATGAGTGGAGGGAGACTGCAAAAGTTTTTATTGAGAATCATTGATAAAATTATGTTTGCATTTTCACAGTGCAGTAAAAATAATATGGCTTTACTTGGATAAGATACATGTGACAGGTAATAGCAGGTTATTTTATTTTATGGGCAAGTTCACCCCAGATCATAAGCTTTGTACTACCAGGCTAAATGTTTGTGTGTGTTGCTGGGTTCAGATGGATTTTTAACTAATAAGACAAATACTATCCTTAGAGCAGGAAATAGCTAAAATGAATAAAGTAAAATGGCTGGATTTGCTACAGTAATTGGAGAGCTACCCTAATCTCAAATCTACAAATCAGAGCTGGTTCCCTCAAGATTTTCATTCACCAGAAAATGGACTGTTTATAAAAAGACTTTGTGCTTTAGTCGACTTTCTGTCTCATACAGCATTTTGAGGACTCGCATTCCAATAATATAATTCATTACGCAGGATTCCTACAGGTTTCTTCAAGTCTTTTTCGACCCTTGTTAAGTAATTAAAGAAATGAATTACTGCCACTGCCTGTTTCACACACCTACATAAAAAAAAAAAAAACAAAAAACATGTGAATCTGATTTTGTTGTGCCTTATATGTATTGTTCCTTGATATTTAATCAAAATAATCATGGCAGAGAAATCTAACTTTTGACGAGAATGCGATATCTATATATGAGGAGACTTTCTAAGACCGAGATACCAATATTCAAGACTTCTTAAAGTTATATTTCCAAATACAATGCAAGTTCAAAGCTTTTATGACTTTTCACGATGCAGTAGGAACCCTGACATTAGCATCAGTTCTCATCTGGTTCAACCCAAAATTAGAATAGAAACAATTGAAACGACTTCTGCGTCCAAAACTGTTGTGTAGATTTTCCAATTCACAAACTTCTATCACAACAAAGTACTGGCAGCCTGCACGAAACGAAATTAATGAATAAAATTAAATTATCAACAAAGTAAAGGACAGTTGGGATGACGTGTGGGAAATCGCAAAAGAAACGGCAACTTTGAATAATAATAAGGTTTTTTCCCTTTCAACAGTGGTTATAAATCAGATGTTTTATACGTTAAGTAGTCTGAAATTAGTACAAGTTTCAAGTTCTGATTCCCCTTCACATGTTTGAACTATAGTCAGACTATTAAGCCAATTGCTGTTTGCAATCACAGCAGCGTTTAGGCACAATTCCCGTCTTTATCCAATTACAACTGAGAGGAAAACCAGCTGCTGTGGACAGTGATTATCGTCCTCATGGAGTGAAAAGTTGGCATTTCCCAGCTCTAGAAATCATGCAATCTGTAGAGAAACTCCACAGGCCTTAAAAAAACCTAACCAAGAAATCTGTGAAGAGTTTTTAAACACATTTATTGTCCAGCTTTGTGTTAAGACCACTCTAGTCTCTCTCAATGATTAGGAATCTCTTACTATAGACAGCATATAAATGTACCTTTAAATCCAGTATGTTCAAAATCCCCGCAAACAAACACACGTTTAAGCAGCAAGTCACCTGTACGTGTCGACACCTACTGGAGTTCATTTGTTACGCGGCACAGTGACTACTTAGATACTAAATATTTCAACTGGTTATAAAACTGGAAGCAGGAGTGTTTAAATAAGCCCTGATATTCAAGTGAGGTACAGTACAATGTTCCATTTGAAGGTGCAACTTTTCTGATGGATGCTTCACTACTTGTTTCCGTAGAAAGGTTTGTCTGAAATGGTTCGGTGTGGCACGAGACCTACTCACTATGAAACACTATGGCTCCATTTTATTTTAGTAACTTGCCCGTCTTCAAAGATGATCCAACAATCAGGTCTAGGCTTTGAAGTGCAGTCACATTTTACCCCCACCGCTCAAGTGAGAAATTCCATATACTCTGTTTTTTTAAGTAAAAATGTATGCTTGTTCCATTGGCAAATATTAGGCCATAAAAATACACTTGATATATACTATTTACTCCACTTTTTGCAGTGATTTAATCATTTTGTTTTTGATCATAAATAATAATGAGCCTTTATTGCTACTGAATAATGCTGCCTCCTCTCCACAGATCTGGAAACTTAAGCTGCATGTTGTGCATTCCCACTCCATTGTGCTCATGTGCATTCATCTCCAAAAGTCAGGACTTTCTAACATGCTAAAAAGATCTTAAATATCCATTTATACCTCAAATGTTATGTCAAACTATTCTTGACAGACACAGCAGGCGATGGAGCCTCCATCAGGAAAGTTACATAGTGCACCTTTAAGTCACATTTTAAGGCTTTATAAACATATATGTGTTTATACTATTTTAGCATAGTAAGTATGTCACAGTAAAATGGTTTAATATTTTAAGTAAACTAAAATGTTGTTCGACCTTTCATGTGTGCGTTTGACAGCCAGTTGCCAAACACAAAACAATGCTGATGGCAGACGGCAGGCGGCGCTAAAGAGCAGATCCCAGGTCAGTAAATGTCAGGGCAGTCACTGTAGTTCCTGTCAAAGTATCCACCTGTGTACAGCCAGTCCTCTGCTTCAGAGTGAGGGTTTGTGCCCAGACGGAACCACCTGAGAACAGACCTCACTTCATCAGAATAATAATATCAACACGTGCCATTTCCATCACAATTACTACGGTAGTTTCTATGCAAGTATTTTACTTAGGCAGATGACAATTGAAAAAAGAAGAATAAATCAAACATCTGCAAATAATAAAAGTAATCTCCCCAGAAAACCATGCATGTTTTGGTGCAGAAATGCTTCTATAATTCATATGGTAACACTGCGATACCGGGCAATAATACAGTAGTAATACAAGTGATAGCGCTTATGTTACAATATTATATAGTCAATGTAGTATTAGTATATACAATATATACATCTATCAGTACAACTCTTACCAAATAAGGATTGAGAATTGATCAGTACTTTTTGCATTCCTCTTGTTTTATATCAATGTTAGCGTTGTCAGAAATGAAGAAGCCTGAACACACCTTGTGGACCATTCCTCCTCATCTTTCGAGCGCTCTTTCCGCGCCACCCTCTGCTTCTCCTCAAGTCGCTCTTTCTCTAAACTGGCTGTGTCTGTGGATCCACAGTAGAGGGCTCATTATGATTGGAATGAGAAAAATAAACATGTATCGTGCATAGAGAGCCTAAAGTGACCTATGTCTCCGTTCTCCATGGCCCTGATGTCGGGCCGCAGTCTGCAGTCCGTCGGTGGCAGTAGTCGCTCTGTGTTTGGCTCCAGCTCGTTTAGTGTCATGGAAAAACTGGTGAAATTATACATCTGAAAAACAAGAAAGAACATGACGTAATGGTTGGTCCACTATGTATAGAAGCTACATGAGACGATATGAGACTATATGAGATTATAGCTGCAGGAGAGGCATTTAGCTTGTGAGCAAAACATTTTCTGGCATATCTGAAAACAAATATGTATGTTGCTTGCTATGTTTCTTCTGCCTTCTCCCTTTGAGCCCCATGTGGTGTAATCTGTATGGTTTTAGTAAGTATATGGCAGAATACGAATAGTAGTAAAATTATTATGTTGGTAGATTATTATAGTCTGCCATTGGTAGAAAATGCAATGTTTATGTGTTTCCACAACAACAACAATGATAAAACAAAACAATGAAACTGTCATCTGCGTTTGAAGAAGTTGTGATTTTGAACCTGTGCGGAGTTAGGCGGCCGCGGTGTAATCCTCCACAGTAAGGCACTTCCTGGAATCACAGTCACAGTCTCTTGAAACTCTGGGACATCGTCTGAATCTTCTTCTTCACAACTTTGATCCTAAACACAAACAAACCAACACATTGACCCACTGTACGAAGGATCCACGTACAAACTACAGACTACGGTCTCTTTAAACCACTTCAAGACAAGGATGTATATCAAAGAGCAGCTAACATTGGAGTAATATGCTGTTGACGTCACTCAAACAGCAGAGCACACGTCAACCACACCCACTTTGGCCTTACCTTCAAACCACTGCATGTCATTGTGAAAAGAGATTTGAGACACAAATATTGAAAAGGTAAATAAGGCGGACTCTGCACAATGGGATACTAACCTCATTATTGATTCAGATATTTAGAAAGACTAGAGGCAGACCTAACTCTTACCGGTTTTGTCTTTTTAGACTCCTTTGCGCTCTTCTTTTCAGACTTTTTGTGCATTTCGTAAACTTTAGGATCAACACTGTACATGCACTCCGTCCACTTCCCATAAATGACCCGGAGCTTCTTTTTGCTGATGAGACAAGATTTAAGTCTAGCAACAGTAAAATGTGATATTTCAGTGCTATGTATACCTTTTGTCTTGAATGTGGCCTTCTACTTTATGCAGCTCTTTTCCAAACATGCCGCAAGATTTGAAGTTTAAAACACACTTATCTCCGGTGCTGGAAGCAAACACAAAAGAAACTATATCACTAAAAAGGCTGACCTACAGAGTTTTGTTAATTATCTTTTTGTTGTTGTTCATCCAAGTAAAACTGAACGCAGTAGTCATACCTATGGTTGAGGATCTCCACAGTTCCGTATTGCTCAATCCAAAGTTTCCCGAGGATGACGTTATGGACACAACACAGAGGGTTCGTCCACGTGTAGGCTTCGTTATGTCTGAAAAATCCACATACATTGTATTACAATTCATATATATATTTTTTAAATCGATCTACCGTACATTGTGCCCAGAGTCAGAACTAAACATGGGGCAGCATTTCAGATGAATTTTAAGCAGCTAAAATCTCGAACAGTCTTCCTGAAAATATGAGACAAGCTTCTTCTGACGATGTTAAAATCCAGATTCAAAACTGTTCTGTTTATCATGCAAACAACTGAGGGATTGTATCTTTACCTTTTTTTAATGAACAGTGATTATTTATGATTTGAATGCCTTGTGTTTGAATCTTGTTTTGTTCAGCACTTTGCGTTGCCTTGTGTATGAACTGTGCTATACAAATAAAACTTGCACCGCCATACCTATTTCCCAGTGCTACATATTACAAAAGTACTTGCTTCTATAACTGAGAGACTCACTTGAGCAGCTCCAGCGTCATGGTGCCTTTGGGTTCGGCTTCGATGCTTTTCCCCCAGAACTTGAGTTTGGGGTAAATGGAGCCGTGGAAAACAAAGTCCTTGTTCAGAGACTCAGCGTGGAAGGCACTGACCGGAGGATGGTGGCACACCTGCTCCGAGACCAACCGGTAACCCTCGTCCTCCCTGGGTCAACACAAACATCCACTTGAATATGAACTAAAACGCTCTACCAACATATGCAAAATCAAAGCAATAAGAATTCAATCATATAAAATTGATAATTAAAAATATGGAGAAGAAAATTCAAACAGTTTTAAGGAGTGCTGCAGTCCATCTTTAAATGTTTTTGTTTTGCACATGATGACAAAAGATTTTTCTTCTTTTTGCTCCTTTTCATTTGAGTGACAGGACTACAACTATTTGAAATGTAGTTTTAACATGTTGCGTCTTGTCATGTCCACAAGTTAAATAAATGATTCATCCATCCATCCATTTTCTTCCCCTTAATCCATTTCTGGGTCGGGGGGGTGGCAGTCAGAGCTGCACCCAGTCACAGAGCACCAGCCCCTCACTGATCCTCCTGCAGGTGGTGAGTCCACAGGAGCTGAGATCTTTCAGTGGGGGCTTCAGGCAAAATGGGGTCTTGCCCAAGGACACGACGACAGCAGACATCAGTGGGAGTCGTGAAGTAGGTCTCGTGGTGGATTTGATCCTACGACTTTCAGGCCCAAAGGCCGATGCTCTACCAACTGAGCTACTGTCGCCTAAATAAATGATTCATGAATTACTTTAAACGTTGTATTATAAAGCCACCACATGCTTTTATCCTTGAGAGGGGTTTGTTTATGACGACTCTTTTGTTTAGATAAAAGGCAGAAAACAGCTTTGTGCACGACATCATACAGTAGTTTGAAAATGGAGCATATAGACAGATTTCAGAAAATGGCAAGAACTCCAGGTATCACTTTAAAAAGGGAATAATGTTGTAAAATGATTAAAAGCTAAACAAAAAAACAACTATTTTACCTCTACTATTCATCTATTAAAAGGATAGGCTTTGTTTTTGAAGGATATGTGTCCAGCTTTAACCGGTGACATGAGAAAGAGAAAAACATTTATTTCCTTTATCTATGAACAAAATAAATTGCAAACTTTGCAGGTACTTTCCAAAGATCAGTACCTTATGAGTTCAAATGTTTCGCCAAGTAAAGGATTAAATGGTTTTCCAGTCCGTTCCCATTGAGATGCTACAGCCGACACAGCGAATCCAGCTACAACCTGTCACGTACAAGGAAAAAAACATTTACAACATATTACTCATTCACTGCCTTGTCCAATCTACAGTATTTGTAGCCAAATCTCATGTTTAGTAGATAGTAAGATGGTAAGTATGGATATAGTTATATGTAGGCAGCTGTTTTCTGTCAAAACTTCTGACAAATAAACAAACAATATAAAATATGTAAATATACTGCATAAACTCACAACAATGTTTTTATAATGGATAATAATCATTTGAATGTAATGTCAATAACTATATATTATTGACTTAAAACTTTTCTTAATGTTCAAAAGGTTTTATTACAGCAGCAAAAATCATTGCTAATCAGAGTAATTGTGGAAAACCTTTGAAATGCCACCGAGCATATCATTGTTATAAACATATTCACCATCTACAAGCCTTCAGTCTATCTTGTCTGGTGGTGAATGAATGAAAAATGCACTAATGTCTTATGCTTGTGTGACCTGCATGCGGTCGATGGGGTCCGACAGGCTGCAGGCTTCGTGGATGAGGTGAGTGTGCTCCATGTACTCCGAGATCCTCTGGAGAAAGCTCAGCGGCTCATTGAACACCACCGGCATCGCGATTTTGGACAGCTCCTGGAAGAGTTCAGAAGCAGGGCACTGGTTAGGCTGGTCATTTAGTTTAGGAATAGTACTACCATTCAAAACAATGCATTTTGTCGGCTTTACTTACCATGCCAATGCATTTCTTCAGGATGTTCCACACACTGAAGTTATTTCTGGAGACCATATCTGCTGGCAACGTTTTCCTAAACAAACAAAATAATTGTGACACGCTGAGTATCAGACCAAATCCCCTCACCTTCTGTTGTGGTGCAGTGTGTACAAATTCATGGATTTATTTTACAGAAAAATAATGAATATATATTTAGTCAAAATTATAATACATTATTCTAACTGCTTATGGTCATGAACAAAGAGGCTTTTGATCTTCACTCCTTTCACCTCCCACAATTTTTTTTACAGTTTTATTTTAATAATGTTGATATTTAAGTCAAATTAAGGCTATCAACTCAAACTTCCATGAAAACAACAACAATGCAATAACATAAGCATGTGCTCTTTACCTGCGTTGCCACAGGCCGTTCTCCTGAGAGGCACTTTTGGACACTTGGGCATCTTTAAAACTCTGCTCACATGAATCATCTGACTCCAGCCCTGAGGGACATATAGTAACACAGGATATATCTATGGAAAACCTAGTATTTACAATATAAAGTTTCGTTTTTCATTCTGACACTAAAACATGCATACAAATATAAACTATCTACCAACAATGTCAATCAGATTTCAAGTTGATGGGTTTCAAATTATATGATTCTCAAACAAATGAGATACGTTTTTTTAACAATTCAATTAATCTCCATAATCTGATATAAAACACATTCAGACTAAATGATAATCTGTATAGCTTCGTTTTAATATTATTTGCATAAGAGATAAGAGAACCTTTATTCGTGCCAGTGTTGAGTATTTCACCTGTCTCTGCGTCGTAAAACTCCTCTTCACTGTTCATGTTGAGAACTGTGGTAAAAATGTCATTCACAATTTCATGTTTGTCCCACTGGCCTGTTCCAAAGCATCATATTTTTGGACTTGGACAGCACCTGCACCCGGGACAAGCGAAACCAGAAAACAAACTTCTTAATGATTGCCAAAGCATGCACAATTGAATAATAATAAAAGATAAACATCAATATTCACTGGTTGTAATGTATGTTAGCATTTGGTGGAGTCATTATTTGTTAGCAATTAGCATTCAGTGAGGAGGCAAAATAAAGGCATCTTTAAGGTTCCATTAATGAACAAACTAAGACATATATTCATGTGTTGTGTGCATTGTTATTTTAAATGTTATATCGTCGCGACTACCTGATATTTAAGGCCAAAATGAAGATTAAAGAGCGTAAAGAATTCGAGTTAACAACTCTACACAGTCGAGGCGGAAGTGAGCGGCAAGGACACCGTGATTGACTGGTGCGTGAGCCAATCAGATCACGCCATCATAGGGCAACACCTTCTTTGTCTGAAGCGTGAGACCATGGATCTATAATATTACAGTATTACATTTTATTTGTTCATGTTCTTAATTGCTCAAATAAGGGACTTTAATTTACCAACCTTTAGATACAATATCCCCATAGTAAACATTTTATAAAATTAACTTCTCACCTAAAACATGAAATCAAAATATATACGCAGTATTAATTTTCAGTCATTAGTCATCCATGTGTAGATATTGCCTTTGCATAAATCAGGCATTTTTTGTGTGTTTATCTAATATTTAGTCTATGATGTATAGACTCAGAGACATCGCAGCAGGTGGGAGACAGGAGGGCCCTGGACAACATCTATGCAGGACCACGACTGTCACCACCCAGATTCATGTGCACCAATTGGTGGACACTCTGCAGGTCAGAATGTACAATGATAACTGCTAAGCCTGTACATGTGCCACTCATCTGTACTGATAATTCCCTAGTCAGATTACCCACTGCTATTAATTATTGATAAACACAATATGTAAATATAAAACAGGACAACTAACTACTCAGTATTCACTACAACTGTACTTATTTTGAGTGCAATCATAGCTTGATAGCTATTACCTGTTAATCTTAAATAATATTGTTTAATGTGCACGTATCCTTATTTCTCCTGTATTGTGTGCAACAATGACACTGTAATTCCCCCAATAAAAGACAAGGGTTATCTTATCTATTGCAAAGATTTTCCAATAATGTGTAGATTTCTTTACTTCAAATAAAGTTTGTTCAGATCAACATAACAAGTTGCGTTTTTTAAAACAATTTTTATTAAAAAACAAAACAGAAAATTAGGTTCACCATCACATGGCAATAATCTACTGACATGGGACCAACACTATACAACAAATGGATCAAAAATCAAAACTATACATAGTCAAATAAAGTCAACAATGAACTGCAAGTTGTGGGTTACAAAAAGCCATGAAAATTCTATACAGTGTTTTATGTTTATCCTTTCATGTTTATCTCATTATCCGTCCTCTCCCTCGTGGCCTCCCTTGTGAATGAAATGGAAACATGGGACCTTCTGTAGGAGTGGGAAGTAAAGCAGCTTTCTGCTTGGGAGGTATTGATGGCTGTATGTCTTCTGTTTTAGAATAAGGATCCACTCTGCTGTCATCAGACTGTTCAATTCCTATTGCACTTGATTTTGGGTTTTTTATTTCAGTCTCTTTTTTATTTGATTCAGCAACTTTAGAATCTAATTTACCTATAGTTGATTCTAGACTTGATTCCTGATTCTTTCTAGGGGCAGAGCGCTCCCTGATGGGACTTCGACATCTAGGAGGTCCCCGGTGATCACTTCTCAAATCCTGCCCACTGCCTCTTTCTCTGTCATTGGACCTGCTCTCCCTTCTGGGCCGAGGTCTTTCTAGCCTGTCATTGTGTTGTCTGTTTCTGTCCATGCTCCTGTCACAGTCTGGCCTCCAACCAGGTCTTTGATCATCGGTCGGTGGACCACTGAAATCACCCCTATGCCGCCTTTCCCCCGGGCCATCTCTTGAGCCTCCAAACGGTCTATTATGTCCTCTAAAACCGGGATTTGGGTTTCCCCGGATACACCTGCTATTCTCCATGCCAGGACCATAACCTTCACCTTCAGGCCCAAACTCTGGCCTTGGCCCACCCCTTTGTGATGCAGGATTTGATTCATGTCCTCTATAATCTCGACAAGTTGGTTCATCCATGGATCCCAGTCTACGTTCACAAACTCTCTCAAAATCTGGACCCCTGTGTCCTTGATGAGATCTTGGACCACAAACAGGATCCTCTCTGTTTTCACTATCACCAAAGGCTGGCTCTTCAGGACCCCTTCTGTGTTCCCCACCTCTACCCTGACCTGCCCCTCGATGCCCCCCTCTACGAGACCATGGCCTATCCATCGATCCTGGTCCTCCAAACCCTCCTCTTTGGGGTCCTAACCCATCCACAGGGCCACCGCTTTCATAATCTGGTTCTCCACATCCTTCCCTAGGATGTCTCGAGTCATCCATTACACCACAATGTTCCCCACTTATACCAAACCCTGACCCTCTAAATCCGCCTCTATGTGGTCTCAATCTTCGATTTCCTGGACCTTCTATTGGGCCTCCATGGTGTTCAACAAAGCCCCTCCCTCTATGTCCTCCTTGATTTGGGCCCGCGCCCTCAACAGGGGCATCTCTACCAAAACCTGGATTTTCAAATCCCTCTCCATCTCCTGTAGGACAGTCTCGTATTTCACAGCCTCTATCAAAACCAGGCCTTCCAAATCCTCTGTTCAGTCCAGGACTATCCCTTGGGCCTACTGTATGTTCCCCATGTCTGCCAAAACGTTCTCCTCTATAACCCCCTCTATTTGACATTGGGGCATCACTGTTATCTGGGCCTAGAAAACCTCTTTGATCATCAACATGAGCATGTTTGCCACCTCTACCAAACCTTTGGTCACTGTGCCCTCCTCTTTGACATCTTGGGTCATCCATAGGACCACTACCAATAAAACCTGACCTCTCAAACCCATCTTTATGTGGCTGTGACCCACCCATAGGATGCTCTCCATCACAAATAGGCTCACCATGGCCCTCAATGATATGTTCTGAGCTTATTATTCCCCCCATATGATCCTCACCTCTTTCAAGTACTTGTCCTTCAAACGGCCCTCTTTTAGTCCTGGGTCCACCCATTGGAGCAGCTCTCCCAAACCCAGGCCCTCCAAACCCACCACTCTGATGTCCTGGTTCATCCACTGGTCCACATCTCCTAAATCCTGGCTCTCCAAAGCCCCCTCTCTGTGGCCCTGGTCCCCCCATTGGAGCAGCTCTCCCAAACCCACCTCTATGTGGTCCTGGCCCATCCATTGTGCCAACTCCAACATAATCTGGCTCTCTCCATTCTCCTCTGTGATGTCCTATGCTATCTATTGGACCGCAATTTTCCCCACCTCTACCTAACCCTGGGACTCTACATCCGCCTCTATAGGGCCTTGAGCTTTCTATAGGGCCCCCTCTGTTAAAACCTGGATCTGCGTGTGCTCCTCTGTGAGGTCGAGGGCCATCCATAGGACCATCTCTGTTTAATCCTGTTTCTCCAAAGCCGTCTCTCTGGTGCCCAGGGCCATCCAAAGTACCTCTTTCAAAATTTGGCTCTCCATGTCCTCCTCTGTGAGGTCCTGGGTTCACATAGTCCCCTTCTATATCAGACCTTGGCTGTGCAAATCCTCGATGCGGCCCTGAGCCATCAATATGACCGTGATGTTCCCCACCCCTACCATATCTTGGCCTTCCAAATCCCCGTCTTGGTGGTCCCGGGCCATCAAATGGGTCTTGTTCTTCATGTCCCTCCCTTTGCGGTCCTGGCCCGCTCATGGGAGCACCTCTACCAGAACCTTGTGGTTCAAAGCCTCCTCTTAATCCATCCCCATGCATTGGACCTCTATGTTCCCCTCTGCCAAAGCTTGGTCCAGAAAAATCCCCTCTATGATGTCCAGGCCTATCTATTGGGCCTCTGTCAAACTCTGGCTTGTCATAGTCTCGAGATTGAGGCCCTGTTTCAACCAAAGGACCATCTTTACCAAAGCCTGGCCCTTGAAAACCACCTATATTGGGTCCAGGCCCATCCATAGGTCCAATATCAAACTCTGATTTTTCAAGCCCACCTCTTTTAGGTCCTAGTCCATCTTGAGAACCACCTCTTCTAAAACCTGGCCCCCCACACCCACCTCTTTGCAGGCCTGTGCCATCCAAAGAGCCAAACTCCCCAAAACCCTGCCGTTGAAAACCACCTCTATGATGTCCTGGCCTATCCAATGGGATGCTTCTGTCTAACCCTAACCCTTCCCTGTGATTTCCTGAGCTATCCATTAAATTACAATGTTCTCTACCTCTCCCAAACCCTAGACCACCAAATCCCCCTCTTTGTGGTCCAGGGCGACACACTGAACCCCCTCGCTGAAAACCTACCCCTCTAAACCCACTTCTAAGGGGTTCTGGTGTCGTTATAGAGCCTCCTCTGTCAAAATCTGGCTCACCTGGTCTTTCCATGAACCCACTGATGTGCTCCGAGTTCTCCATTGAACCAGCTTGGTGATCCTCACCTCTACCAAATCCCCCTCTCTTTGAACCTTGGTAGTCCATAGAGGCATCTGTGTCTTGAAAGTCAACATCCATTGCACTTCTACCTTGCTGTTTATCCACAGGAATGGACACAGAAACAGCTCCTCTACTAAATGGTGAACCCCCATGTCTGCCCATGTGTGATCCAGGCCCTTCATGTGGTGAACCACTATTAGTAGGACCACTTTTATTCCAGGAGGCATCCAAATCCTTGCCTCTCACTTCATGTTGGAAGGCATCAATGACAATTTCGGGTCTTTGTCCACTCAAAGTGGTTGTGACAAAACCACTATGGGGCACAGTGGTCTCCATGAATGATCCTGAACTTCTTCCTAAAAGTCCTTTATCATCTCTAAAGTTAGAACCCATCAATTCACCGCCACCTCTCATGTCAATGTGTGACTCACTAAAATGTGAGTTCCCAGGTCCAGTATTAAACACCTTTGGATTCATTTGAATGGAATTACTTTCTCTGTCTGGAGTGGGTCTTCTACCACTGTTTAACATTGAATGCTGATCTCTACTTAAGTGATTGGCTGACTCTCTGTCATTTCTAATGCCCCTGTCAGCATTGGCGTATGTGTCACTCATTTGATGTCTTCTGTTTAAATGTTTATCATGCATTCCTTTCCTTCCCCAAATAGCATGGTCTCTATTCAATTTGATGAAAATGTCTTCAGACACAATTGTCTCTTCTTTTTCTTTCTTTAGAGCTGGACTTCCATCCCTTGACGTCTTGAGAACGTGATCAAGGTCCCCTAAGCCCGGAATACTGTCCTCGAGGGGTTCATTTTTAGTTGGAGGGAGTTCAACCACAGAAGGAATGGGATCGTCTAGTTTTTTTGTCAAACGTTTTTCTGTGTCTTCAGATTTAAATTCTAGTTTGACTAAAGCCACAGCAGCTGCTTCGATTAAACCTGAGTGCTTTTGTTCAATTGAATAGTCTTTAGCAGTTGGAATGGGTTGAGGATTTTTTTCAATTTTTATTTTCTCCCCAATAGTTTCAGGTTCTGCGCTGGCCTCTGTTGTGTCCATACTTTCAGTTATATTTTGTTCAGAAAACTTTGGCTCTGGGTCTGGACTCTGGGGAGAATCTGTTATAGGTGGTTCAAGCTCTCTTAACGGTATCAAACTATCAAGTTTGCCATCCATCATGAGATCAGCGGCCCATTTCAATTGTTTAAGGTCTCCTAATATGTTATCACTGCTTGCGAGGTGCTCTTGATTTAAAAGAAGCTCCATCTCTTCTGCAGTGACATTATTTGTATCGTCGGGAGAATGAAAAGGCAAGTTCTCGTCACAGTTTTGCGAAACAAGGTCATTGGCTTCATTCCTTAAATCAGCTTGCCTAAAGGGAGAAGGTTCTCTTCTTCGACGTGGTGAAAGAGACACAGAGTGTTTATTTCTCTGAGTTGATGTGGACCTCCTGCGCCGGCGAGAGCGAGTTTGTGAGGTACTGTCCCTCCGAGTTCGACTATGCCTCTCTGAGCGGTCTCTGGATCTGTGCCTCTCACTTGTTCTTTCACTTCTCTCGTGTCTGTCCCTTTCTCTTCGTCTTCTGGAACGGGATGGCGAGCGCCTCTGAGATCTTCTAGGTGGACTTCGATGGTGGCCTCTTTCACGATGACTCCGTCTTTTTGGTGAATTTTTTCGCTTTTTGCTATGGCTGGAACTTTTTTCAGTTTTAGAAAGAGATGAATCCCGCGATTTTAAACTGGGATTTTCTAACATACCAGCCTGAATTTCATCAAAAAGAGATTCATCTTCTGGATCATATGCTACATCGGAATCCACAACTTCACCAGGAGAGGGAGTTATCTCAATTTCTTTAGGTGCTTCTTGCAGTTCACTTATTTCATTTAAATTGTCTAATTCAGAGTGATCTTTTTCTGATGCATCATCCTCAGCTGTATTGTTAATTTCTTCTGTTGTACCACATTGTAAAGTCACAGGGGTACTTATAGGCAGAGCTGACGATGGAGAAGTAAGAGAATCAGAAACTGAAAATTGAGCCATGAACATTCCCACAGCCTCTTTCTGTTTACGAAGAGCTTCTTCCTGTTCTTTTAATTGTCGTTTCTGCTCCTCAATTTGCCTGTTTAGATCCTCAAGCATACGCTGTTGTACAGTCAGGGTTTCAGCAGAGACAACAACAGCACCTGTAGGAACAGCATAGGCTGCAGCAGGTGAAGCAGTAGTTTGGATTGCCGAGGGTTTACACACAGGAGCAGGTGTCACTTGGGGGGAATCCTGAACAGAAGAGTTTGGCTTTGGTACCTCAGGGCGACCAGAGATATTGTTTGAGTTACTTTCAATGTCTTCAAAAATACTTTCATCCTCAGGATCGTAAGCAACGTCATCATCAACGTCCTCAGATATTTGACGGATTTTTTCTTTAACCGTCACATTATTTTTGGGAACAACACTATATCCTGCAGGATCATACTCTTCTTCTGGATCATACGGTCGATCTAAATCATCATTTTCCTCTTCCTCTATTTCTTTGACTGCGGTTTTCCCTCCAAACTGCTGAACTATTGGATCCACCATAGAAACTGCACACTTTTTTGAACTGACCACTTTTTTTTTGCTACTTGCCTCTGACGGAAATAGCTGTAATATTGTCTGTAGAGGTGTCTCAGTCTTAGTGGCCACACTTTCTTTGTTGCTTTTAGACAAAAAAACAGATTCAGCAGGTGCCGTTGTAAAGGAAGAGGCAGAGCTGAAAGTTGGTCTTGGAGGTGAACTTGGAGGTGTGATGCTGATGGGGATCTCTGGGTCATAAGGTTGTTCAAAGTCTTCTACTTTGTTTGAACCATAAAGACTTGGAGGTTTCGGTATCCATGATGGGTCAGAGGACAATGTTACTTTGGGACGCTTTTCTTCAACTTCTGGAGCCTGACATCCAGGACGTTTTGTTTTTTGGACAACTGCTAGGCCCAGAAGAAGATTAGGACGGCCCTTTTCAAACCCTAAAAGTGTAACATAAGTATACATGAATATCTGCAACGATTAACCTTGTTTTGAAATATTTTCTAAATGACATTCAGTTCTGGATCATTATTACTATACCTGGTCCTTCAAGTGGTTGAAGAATGGCAGGAACAGCTTCTTTTGCACTCAATGGAAACAAGTACATATCCTTTATCGAATGGCTGCTGTTTGCTACAACTCCAAAGCGTCCTCTGCTGCTAAAGTATGAGAACAGTGACACATAGGCAACTTCTTCCTCATCAGTGGCAGGTTGAAATCTGATGACACAAAGGTCCTGTCAAAAAAGAAAGAAGTTGCACACGTTAATATTCAGTTTTAAAGTTCCCCCATTTAAGAAGAGAATATTGCATTATTGTTGATTCATCTTGCCTTTGTAACTGAGGTTTTCAGTTTTGCAACATAGTCCCAAACAGTTTTTGGTAAAATCCGTCCTCCAATCTGAATTGTATCTGGAAGATCCTGAAATTGTGAATGAATAAATAAATAGTTAATACGTGAAATAAATAATGTAATTAACTCACATAATAATTACAATACCGTTTTTAGATGTTCAGATGAACCTGAAACCAGGTATCCTTTTGTGACAAACTTGGCAATGGTCAGCATGTTTAGAAATCCTTTCCAGAGAATGTCCTGCTTTGCAAGAAACTGTACAGTTCCACCCTGAGGAAGAACTTTGGGAGAAGACATTCTAAAGAGAAATACATTGGATTAAATGGTGCATTTAATTAAAGAATATTGAAAACCTATATTTTTTATACCTTGAGGAAGAGCCATAAAGTCTCGGATCCCCTGAATGTGATGGTTTCGTCAGGATAGATTTAGGTAATGCCGGGGCAGTGGGGAAGGGCACAGGTGGAGCAGAGCTATTGCCTTTCGAAGGAAAGTAGGAGTCTGTTTTCTGAGTTTCTTTTTCACCCAAAGTAGCTGAACTATTTGTCAAAGCAGCGTATCTACTGGCTGCAGTACGAGGATCACGTCTTGTTATGGTTACTGTGGAGACAGCTGGAATGACCACTGGTGCGTAGGATTTCCTTGCTGCCAAATGTCGATCGTCAGAGGTTGGGGATGCGGGGGACTCCATAACAGGGGAAGCGGGTGTATCCAGGATGGGTGACGCGGGGGAGTCCTGGGTGGTGGGTGACACAGGCGACTCCACAATGGTCAGGACTGGAGAGCCCATATGAGGCATAAATGAATCCATGTCCGGAGAGTCGGGAGGGGCTCGTAGAGGAGAGTCTTCCTTAGACCTTTTCCATAATGGTTCACGTTTGTCCTCAGAAAGCTTCAGTTTCTTCTGTACAGGCTCTGCCACATCTTCTTGAGGCATTTGACCTATTGATAAAGCAGGGCATTTGTGAAATCAAACAGACAAAGAAACATAACGTTCAAATTAGAACTCATTTCATTTAAAGAACTTCTGAAATAATCAAATGTAAATGGTCAAACTATGGACAAACAGTTGTCCATACAACTGGGATTGGTTTTATGAACAAAAGTGACACAAGAGCAAATTAAGAGTTCCTGAGAAAAGGCCCAGGACACGCTGTAGGGACTGTCTCTGAGCTAGCCTGGGAATGCGGGACTCTAAGGTGGAAGTGTGTATGAATAGGGAAGTCTGGCCGTCTCTGCTTAGAAGGCTATAGATAATGTGGAGGAAAACGGATAGGAACAAACTTATGAGTGGTAATCATATAGACAATACAACAGATGTCACAAACCTGTGCAGATTTTGCATTTGACATCAAATAGGTGCTTATGGTGGTCTGATGTTGTGTCTTTGAGCATACAGGTGAGAATATCAGCCGCAGTGCCTATTGCCTTACTGGACTGGGTGGTGGTCTTTGACTTCACAATAGGCTCAGTTTTCCTAAGTGCCTGTTGAGGCACATTCTACAAAAAAAAACATGTAAGTAAATATTTTATAATAAATGCAATACATTTGTCAAAGGAACTTGGTTCAAATCTACGCACCTTGGTCCTATCAGATCTGGTCTGAATTAAACTTCGCAAATCTAGCTTAACTGGTTCAGGCTTCTGCAGTGAACCAGCCCCACATGGTGCGGCCTTCACCTAAAGATAAAATCATGACTTTTGCTTACACAGGCTCCTTGTGGCCATGAACGGTAAACCATTGTAACATTCTTACCTCTTTGACAGTGGGCTCTGGTAGCTGTATCGCCTGCATATCTTTTTGACTCATTCTGACAAGTCTGAAGGGGCTGATTTCTCCTTGCACCAACCGATACAACAAACCCTATCATGAACAAGTAACACGTACATGATAAAAAGAAAAACAAACCAACCAAGACGGTTGTGTCATGTTGTGCAGGTGACGTTACCTTATTCTTTGGATCTTTCAAGTTGAACATTATAGTGCGATACTTGTTCATATATTTGCTGTCTGTATTGCGGAAAATGTTGAACATCTCTGTCTCAATATTAGTGACGAGTTTTCCAACATCATTTTCAGACATGTCCAACTCTTCACTGTCACACACTCTGCACAGATGGACACGTTTTTACTACATTTACAACATCAACAACAATATACTGAATAAACAGAGAAATTGGAAAAATATCTATATGATACAGTACTATATGAACGTTTATCAATAATTAATTTGATTAATTTGGTTCTTTGCATAAAAAGCATCTTTGAATATACAGTAAAGCACTAGATTTACACCAAGTCATAGAAGTAAATATTTATGATTTCAACCCTTGAACACTATATTATCTCCTAAAGATCACCAAATGTTAATGATATTATCGCACTCCAAACACAGAGCTGCCCCAAATTGATATCACTGTTGAATATAAAAGAAATATAAGTCTTGTCTTTCTGTTTGAACAGTGAACTGCAAGATAGTGAGATTTCCAGTTTGGTAATTTTTTCAAATAAAATTATATTTTAAAAATGTGTTTTTTGTTTTGTACATGTTGTCTGTACAACATGCTGTCTTCATATTATTAAAAAAAAATTATAGTCTCTATTTGGTGCTTGAGGGGTTCTCTCTTTTATGCTTTTTCATCTGAAAAAAGGCAAAACAATATTCATGTAAAAACTAGCGTGGAGAGCCAGTATTGAGCCGTCCCATTATTGTTGTTTGAAAATTAGGTTCCCAAGCTTAAATGGAAAATAGTATTAAGAAAAAAGTAAGTACATAATCTTATTTTATTAAGCGCCTTTCAGAGATCAGTCACTAAACGCTTAACCATTGTTGGTCAGCAGCAGAAGCAGTGTCAGGTAAACTGCTCATGTTTGTTCTCATATAATCAAGTAGGCATGTGACCTTTTTTTGACATAGCCTGATCTCATCAGATCTCAGGAGCTAAGGAGGATAGGGCCTGGTCAATTCTTGTATGAGAGACCATGTTGAGCCGATGGCACGACATGGCAACCTTGCTCCAGTGGGTATGCCCCAGGGCAGATGTAGCTATAGATTACAAATGAATTATATAATTTCAAGCACCTTGCATGTCATGAAAGTTGTAAACACTATGCATTGGTATTAAAATGATCAGGTTCAACATTTGAGAATATCTGATGTCAGCAATAGGGATAACTGACAAACACCAATGTAAAGCCAGCATGTTCTCACCTCTTAAACAGGATGCCAACTAGGGAGCGCTGGATACTTTGCCTGACTTGGTTGTTAGGTTGAGATGGCAGTCTTGAAGATGGGGCACTGGGAGCAGGGGGCACAGGCAGATTACGGGTCTCTGTTTGCACTGCGGGAGCAGGGGATGGCTTCTTGGCTGGCCCTTGGATTGGTGGTGCAGGCACTTGGTTGGCTGGAGGCTGTGGTGGAGGGGCCTTCTTTGGTATAACATAAGCAGTCTTTTTTACCACAATCGCACCGGTTTGATGCATTCTGCTGACGGGCAGAGTGGGAGAAGGGGTTTCAGCAGGTTTAGTCTGTTTTGTTGCGGCTTGTGAGTGGGCCGCTTTAGTCGGGGTGGTGGCTTCACTCATCTTTGGGGAATTTACTTTTGCAGAACTCAGCTTGGAGATATTCTTATTACTGGGTGAATCCTTTGCCTTTTCCGGTGGAGGTTGTGTTGGTTCAGGGACGGGTTTTGACTTGAGGGAATCTTCTTTAGGCTGTGGGACATTTTTCGAAATGGGTGTAAAGTCTTTGAGAGGTGGGATGGTTTTAGCAGTTGAGGTACTGTCTTTGAGAGGTGGGAGATTTCTCAGAGTGGGGGTAAAATCTTTGAGAGGTGGGATGGTTTTAGCAATTGAGGTACTGTCTTTGAGAGGTGGGAGATTTCTCAGAGAGGGAGTACTGTCCTTGAGAGGTGGGACAGAGACAGGGGCCATAGCCTCTGCTGAAGCTTGAGTCACAGCCTCACTGGCCTCTGTTGTTACTCCGAGGTCCTCAACAGTGGCTACAAATGACACACAAACAGGAAGCATGTTGCATTTTAAAATTTGACCAAGTTAAATGGCACATAATAAACCCAAAGTTGAATCTTAAATGACGAGAAGTTGATAACGCCATTCCATATGTTACAAGTGCCTAGTATCATTATTATTAGCATCCTAATAACCATCCATCCATTTTCTACCCTTTAATCCATTTCTGGGTCAGGGGGGTGGCAATCAGAGATGCCACCCAAGTCTCATAGCACCAGCCCCTCACTGATCCTCTGCAGGTGGTGAGTCCACAGGAGGACGGCTGCTCTCTGAGTGTGAGCATAGCCTTGATCTTTCAGTGGGGGCTTTGGGCAAAGTGGGGTTAAGTGTCTTGCCCAAGGACACAACGACAGCAGTCATCAGTGGGAGTCGGTGGAGAAGGTGTAGAGGTGGGAATTGAACTCACGACCTTCAGGCCTGAAGGCCAATGCGCTACCAACTGAGCTACTGTCGCCCCTCCTAATAACCATATGTATCTTAAAACAAAAGAGTGCAGACAGATATTGCACTTAGTGCTTTGTAGAGGGTCGAAGGACAGTGACGATCCACAACATTTACTGGTCATCCTGCTTTAGCCTAAGGACTTTGTGTGTCTTATTGAGTTTCCTGAGCTATAATTGTTTGATTCTACAAAAAAGTTGTGACTGCTGTTGCAAAAATGGAAATGAATTGAAATACTTCTTCTCAATAACTATCCCAATCCTGAATAGGGGTTACCTAACTTTTTGTCTTGATAAATAATATACAAGAAAGAGTCTTACAGAAGTAAATCTATGGAAACCTATCATAACACAACATGTCTCTATTCATCTTGAAAAAACATGAGATCTTTAACAGGCGTAAGAAAGCCCTGTGAGTCAATAATTGAAGCTATGGGACGATGGCAGACAGGCAGAGCGGGGATCCTCTCTTTTTCACTTGTGACAGAGGCTAAGAATACATGCATGTGTAGAGGAGTGATAGAAGCAAACTGTTTTAAGAACGAGGAACTTAGATGGGTTTTATTACAGTTAAATGTTTTCAGTTTTGAAGATAGGTACCCTAATTTGTAAAAATGGCAAGTTCAAGTTTGCGTCAATTTGACCCGAGGATAGCAACACAAACCAGGCAGTAGTCATGTGTTACATTTGGATGTATAAACTTTGAAAAGTGTTGTTGGGAGAACGAGGCAGCATGTGGCCTTTTTGTGCTAAAGAAGGTGTTTGGTTGGATCTCTGCTTTGTGTCACCTGCCTTTCCTGAATATGTGGGTATGACTGGTTTATGTAAAATGTTTTTATTACTAGGTCATGAAGTAGAGGTTAAAAAGTGCTGTAGTCCTATAGTGAGTACTGTGACCATTCGTCAATTTCCTTCTTTTGCACAATCTGAGTGTCTCTATCCATGCCAATGTGACATGTAAATTTCTCCTTTGTGAGATAAATAAAGCACATCTTATCTTATCAATAACCAAGATCAGTCACAATAAAGCGCAGGATCAGCACCATGGACAGAGACAGTGATGGTCAAGAAGGTTGTGATCCAGGAGAAGCTTGTGTTTTCTGGTAAAGAAAAGTTCAATAAGACGTCTCAGATGTTAGGTTATATTTTGTGAGAAAGACATGACAAATCTATATTTACTATGTCATTTCTCTGGTGCTGCACAGTCGGTTGTGGATCTTTCTGCTCAATTGTCACTGCCCTTGTTCAGGCCTATGGTTCCAATGGCAGTATGACTTCTTCAAGCAGACAACCAGGTGACAACACCAATCCACTGTGGAAAGTGTTACAATTTTTCTCTCTTTGTAATTAAAAATGTATCTTTGTCTACTCTGGTTCCAGAAGTAAAAAAAAATCCCAATTATTTTCTGAGCAATGTCCTCAAAGAGGGGATAAATGCTCATAGCACTACCACTCTGTAAAGTGTTGTGTCATACAGAATACATACACTTCTCAAAATCTATAGGCAGAGGATCGCAAATGTTGAAATGGCTCTAATTTCAGAGTTGGCAACACTAATTACAATTGTCATCCACCTTGTTTCAAACTTTATAAGTAGTATAGTCATAATACAGTCAACATTAGAACGCTCTCCGCTCGTAATGTGATAGTCATAATAGTGAACCACATCTGAAAACCTAAGATTGAGATCTGAATGTCCAGATCTACCTGTATGAAACATGTTAAGATGGGGGAAGGAAAGATACTTTGCAAGGGTGTTTGTTTTGGTTTAGACGGGTACCTTTGGGCCATGTCGCAGACTGTTTTTTCAAAATTAAACCTTGTTAAAAAATAATGTATGATATGTGCGGCCCGGTAGCAAATGACCCACGGCCGTACTAGACCGGGTGGTTAGGGATTACTGTCATACTGCAGTAAACAACCGTGTAAACTCTGACTAACTAAAGTAGATGATCAAACGAGAAAAGCACAAGTAGAGTACAGAACTCTGAAAGGAAGCTTTAAGAATTATATTTTATAAAATAATAGAGTATAATCAATATATTGTTGGATGCCCTAAGTTTCCTTTTTGGCATCTTGTGTGTAATTACCTCCACCCGGAGATAATGCTATTACCAGTGTTTGTTTGTCAGCGAGTTAAGTTAATTAACAAGTTACCTCAATAGGTTATTGCCACAGTTTTACAAAATGTAAAAGCTTGGTAATGGGTGTGTGTGAGTGCGTGAGACACCAACCTTATGGGATGATAGCGGGGTATGCACTTTATAGTTACCATAGAAATGAGATTTTCCTCCCCCGGCATATGAAAGTCTGATTGTGGCAGACCTCAGAAGCTATGCAGGGCAGAGCATGGATAGTACTGTGATGGGAGACATCTGGGAACACCAGATGCAACAGTGGGGTGACAATAAAGTGCCAAATTGTTGTATGTGCTTAAGCAAGACACTTCACCCGCATTTCCTAGAATAAGTCAGGAGTGTGTGTGTGTATGAATGAATGATGGTGGTTAGAGTGGCCAATGGCACATTCTGGTTGGCCCTCTATTGTCAGTCTGCCCCAGGGCAGTTGTGGCTACATTAACCGCCACAGTGCATAGTGAATGAATAATTAACCAAGTGAAGCATCTGAGTGTCAAAAGAGCACCGTATAAAACCCATTCTATTTCGTCAACAGAGGCCATACAAATGTAATTTGCAGTATTACAGATATTTACAACAGGCCAAAAAGTGCAAAGGGCTTTTACCCGTTTAGTGTATCACATGAGTACAAGAAAACAAAGATTCTTCTGAAGACATCACAGTGGTTTATCCTGAACTTACATCAATCCAGTTTTAGATTCTTTAACTTTTATACACCCTATAAATTGATGTCACAGTTTTTTATTGGAGAAAAAAGGCCCTAGTACCATAAACTCACTTTGAATGAGAAAATAATGCCATTTTGCTTTCCAAAAAAAACATGAAATCATTTTAATACTTTTGTGTGCCTTTCAATCAGCGCAGGTTTACAAGGGGAGCTTCCAAAATCCAATTTCGAGGCATACATTGTTTGTGTCTTTCATGCAAACTGACTGGAAGCAACACATTTAAATCACGATCCAATTGTAAGATTTGTTTGGGCTCTAGTACACCTTGATGGTACTAAGCACAATTTATAGGCCAATTGTGTATTACATGCCAATATGCAGCTATCAACAGTTCCCATGACACATCCGCTATTGTTATCAAGTGGCTGTTTTAGGTTAGGGTTAGTCAAGGTTAAAGGTGCCATATTTCACTTTTCTTAATTTTTCACAGTCCATCTTATGCACATGTGTGATAATTATTTGGGTGGTACACCATACAACAGTCAAAACTTGTCAAATTATAGCCATTTCGTATATAGAGCTGATGGCACCTTGTGTGAAACGAGCTGATCAGTGCTCCTCTGCCTGTGAGCCCGCCTCCCACCGCCCGAACGGTGACGTAGCATCACGCTAGTTCCGAGGTAAACAAGCGCTAACTGTACAGCTTTTGCTGTTAGAGTCATTTCACACCTGAGAATAAACTTTTTACAACGATGGCAACCCGTCACATAGAGCCCTATGTTCTTGATCCAGAAACAGACCCTAAATATTTAGTTCACAGTGAAGCACGGCGAGTAAGTTGCTTTTGTGCTCACAAACCGAGGTTCCCGTTAGCATCACTGTACTCACAGAGGGTCCTGTTAGTGGCTTTCATGTTGGAAATAACCCCATGTTTCCAGATAAGCTTTTGAGTAGGTCCCGTTCTAAGGAAACTGTAGTTCTGGAACAGTCTTTGCTGGTGTCACCTTGCCTGGCCTGCCAAACGATATGCTTTTTCAAAGACATATAGTCTGGGAACGAGCTTGATCTCAGCGAATTCCCGGTGGGCGTGGTTGACAGACTGCATCAACCAATTAGATGCACACAGGATATGACGCTGCAACTAGCGGCACCCAAGCCGTTTCAGTAAACACAAAACAAGGGATGGCGGCATGTCAGCTAGTGCAAATGTAAACGACTGCTGTCGATTTTGTAACAAAAACTTAAAGATACGAGGAGTTATTAGCAACTCAAAGGTGAAAGGAAGTCCCGCCTCTCGGTGCGTGATTGGACCGATGTGGGTAAAATCGTGAAATGATAGGCTAGGAAGAGGTGTCCAGACGGTTCTTCTTTTGAACAGAAAGGAGGAGTGTCTGGCAGGCCAGGCAAGGTGTCACCATCACTTGCAAAGAAACATCTGCGAGTTTCGTCGCGGATTTCAGACCCGCGGATACGACGCAGATCCCCGTCAACAAAGTCAATCGTCATTCTCCGTCTTCGGGCTAAATACTCTCGTCACATATTTACACCAACAAAACATTTTCTCCAAGTTGACATGAAGCTTACACAGAAAAGCACAGACGCTTATTTACAGTCTATGGACCAGACACTGGACTCGGAGAGAGGCTGCATGACCATAGATAGCGATGATTCGCTGGTTCAGTTTCTCCTCGCTGTCAATCACCTCTTGGAGGCGGGCTTTTGACTT